TTGTTATAAACTATTCCACATATCTTCCTTTAACCTGATTTTGTTATCCTAATTTGTAACGTGCATGGATATATGCATTAGGCATAACATGAACGTGTTGTCATCATCATTGGATGTTTCCAATATATCATATTTTACCCATTGTTGTATAAAAGAATGAAAATGGATTTGGTCCCACGACAGTATTGGAATTGTACATATTTCATTTCTTTTGAGCATCTCAGTCAAATATGCATGTACATGAGCAGCAGAACAATGTCTACTTGGATAATAAGGCGAGGTCTTTGAAACCCAATCGAATTTCCCTTAGAACTAAATAGATCAATTTTTTGGGGAATGTGGATGAAGGGCGAAAACAAAGAGCAATAGATCGATAGAAATCAGCAACAAGTGATGCTCCGTAGAAGGGCCAACTTTCTCTGGTCATGTTGAAATGAAAGCCTTCCTTACATTTTCTATTCTTTCCTGGGAACGGGGAAAATTGGGAATCGTGTAACAAACATGCATTCATACACGAAGGAAAATTTGAGCCGAGTCGATTTTCATGGTCGGAGACAGGAAGCGGATCTGGGGTTGAGCCTGGGAGAATGCGGGTTTGTAGAGAACGTAACTTTCTCCACAGATTTGCGACAGATGGAGCGCTGCATATCACAATCGTTTTCAATCTTCTGTTACAATTCGGATATGACATTGACGAGGAGAAGAGCATATCAACAGGTGAAGAATGCATGTAGGCATATGTAATCCGATTGAACTAAAAAAATGTAATCCCATTCAAAATAGGATAGGTGATGGGAATATCGGTGGTTATAATATAAAGCCAGAATTTATACATTTTATGCTACATATAAATATACTCAAATTGACATACATTGACGAGCCTATTCGACAATATTTGACATATTCCAAAATGATATGTACTTTCTCCAATGTCACAAACGTTGTTATTTAGTTTATTAAATATTATGTCCTCAGAATCCATGCATTCTTCTTCAAAGTTGAGTTGAGCTATCATTTCAAGGAATGTAAAGACATGTATGATGAAGATATTTGAGTAGATTATTTCGAAAGCAATCATCTCGCATTTCCAATTACACAAATAATTTACAAACTCTCTCTCCATGTGTTTGTAAATCCTTTAAAATGTAGCATGTAGCGTATATGTACATATCTTTGATGTCTTAATTAACTTGCTTCTACAGTTTCATGATTTTGTTACGTATATTATTGATACTTCAAATAAAGATGATTAGTGCGTGATTGTTGCTTTCATCTGTGGGATGAAAACCCCACCACTGCACCAATAAGTTACGTGGTATCCTAAGCTAACGAATATATTATGAGACAATCAATAAGGCTTGTGACATCTTAGGCTTACGTATAAAAAATAAATCCTTATCATACAAATCACGTTCATGCAAGGAGGGGAAGCTCTACAACAACAGTGTGGATAAGGATATTGATTGATAATCTGTAGGACGTACCCCAGGGGCAGAATGAGTCGGTCTTGATAAGTCCGGTTTGGACTCATGGGTGACAAATTTGTGGGCGTGGCATCGTCACTTTTGATTCGACACCTCTCACTGAAGCACTCCCAATCCAGGCTGAGTGACGAGCCGGATGGCGATGGGCCTTCCATGGAGGGATTTATGACTGTCACTGTGAGCTTTGGAGGAAGCTTTCTCTGCTTCGTCGGCTCCACCCTTAGCATGAATTTTATTTGCAGTTGTATGTAAATGCACGTCGGTAAGAACAAAAGTCTATTTTCCGAAATATTTATTCATGCACCGAGAGGGGTTTAGTTAGTCTATATTTAGTTTAAATTCTTGGAACCTCACTTTGCAAGGCGACTGAAACACTCTCCGTCTGCGTGGAATCAATCAGAAATTACGACTTGTACCAGGTCCTTCGTATTTGTAATCATCTCACAATTCGGATCACATACATACATAGCTCACGCTGCTATGTTGCGCTTGAGGTTTCTAGAGAATGACTAGACTAGAAAACTAATCATCGTCAGTGGAAAACTAGAGTTGAAGCCCAAAATCAAATCTGAAGAGAGGATGCAGAGAAAGTACGTACATGGACGATGATGGCAAATCCGGATGTTTTTTCTTTTACGGTTCGTAACATAAAACAATCAACGACGAACTCTTCAATCTTGTTATTTCTTCCGCTCACTTCCAATAATGATTTGACAGTAGCTGCAGGTCCTCCGTCGAATGGATTAGTACACGATTTGCAGTTTAATTGAACTATTTTCGAGAAAGTCACGAACTTTTTAATCCCAAATCTAAACTTATTTTCTTGGGTCAAAGTTAGCGATAACGCATTCTATGCACGATGATAAACTGTGTTTTATTTTTCAGCAATTACTTTTTTAGAAGTAATTAACTTTCAACTAACCTGACATAGATTATTACTCTATAGGTGCCGAACTAAATGTCATTACCAGATTGCAGATAAAAAAAAGTAGTCTACATAGGTACGAAAAGCGTGATAAAACACAGAGGGAATCGTTTTGTAGTTCAGCCAATTCAATAAAGAAGGACACTCTTTAATTAATTGGGCAATTTCTGTGAGCATGCCACAGACTGAGGAGTCGGTACATGCGACAGCTTCCAACTCCCTGCTTTCTCTTCGTGATTATGTATAAGAGATGGAGGACGCCTGTAGCACAAGCCAACTATGCCAATTACTGTCCCCGTTTATATGAAAATGTCTCGTCCTTCACTCGATCCACTTTAAAACTGCCAAAATCTACGAGTTTATCTATGCAGAGATATTAGTTTCAAGTTCACAAACAGTAAACTCGAAAGTAATTAGAATTTAAAAGCAATCCGTTTGATTTGGAATAATGTCTGTTTTATGATATCATCAATAACGATGCTCGTCCATCTTGCACAAAATCTCAACTGAAACGAGTCTATTTCTCCCAATTTGTTCCTCTGTCAGTCAGATATTTCCAAGTTGTGCAGTGTACACTGGAGAAGCCGAGTTTTGTTTGACATGGAGAAAATATTGTCGACTGACTGGAGCAGGCTGGAGACTATTCTCATATGTTGGTACTTGTCACACCCATCATCAAACTGTATGGTTTTGAAAATGTTTTTCACTCGTCCGAGATAAAAGTTTTTGAGGGTTTGTGGTTTGGTTGGTGGTTTACTGGGATCAACTCCAGCCACACGAGAACCTGGTCCTTATTTCCTTTCAACTAAAACAAACCCAGGAGAAGATGCTACCGACAACTTTCTCGATACAATAGTAACCACTACCACTTTACTCGACAGAAGAAAGGAAGCATTTGCGGTCGGGCGGACTCCCTGCCCTCGAAATAATATGTATGTACACATCTACGTCAGAATGACACTTTTAGCAACGGAACCTCTTCCGCTAGGTAGATGCAAAGTAGTTTATTTTGGTAGAGAGAAAGAGAGAGAACCACACGGGACAAAAGCAAACAGGGCCACGGACAACATCCACCGCAACAACAACAACTTGAATTTTAATCAGGTTCGTTAAAAGAAAATTAAGCTTTAGACCAAAACTGTGCACAAATACACTCAGGCAGAGTGATTTAGTAACGACCAATTTCGGCCATAAATTCTTTGACACAAATGCGATTGGATTTGATGGCTCGAATTTACGTATGTAGGCGACCTTTGCATCCTAGAAAGATGGTGGAGAAAGGCACACCGAATAAATATTAGTACTACAAGTACTATTTGTATGACGGACACTTGTACCCAAAGCAATAATACGCGCACAGAAGATCGCAAAACGTCAAGTAGTCTGCTGTCCGGAGGGTGACTGACTCTGCAGGGACAGCTTTCTCGCCCTATTCCCACACACAAAATCCTTTCAGAGAGGACATTCAAGAAGACTAAAAATATATTTTGCCCAGATTTACACTGTGAGATGAGATGAGAGAAGACCCAGAGAGTTCCCAAATTCTAATCAGAATCAGGTGCATCTGATGTGAAGCGTATAAGGGGAGACACGACTCGCATCGGGTATTCATATTCACAATACCCCTTTTCTCCGACATGGTCTTTCTTTAGAGAAAGCCCACCGTGTGTTTCTGTCTCATTGGGCATTGACTTGTGTCGACATCACTTCCATTGAAATGGAAAGTAAACTGTGACATGGGAGGATGAACTTTCGCTAAAATATGGATCCTGTGTTCATACTAAAAAGTAGGAATATTCAGGAGCTTACTCATGAATGAATTTCAATGAATCTTAATTACATGGTGATGGTATAGTCTCAGTTGCGCAAAACTATGTACATGCATAGATATTGCATTTACATTTGTTTGAGCAGAAACCGTAATAATTTTAACCTCGGGCAATTTATTGCCACTATATTACATTTGTGCATGACAAATGTTTAAATTCCCAGACACGAACCGCTCATATACACAAGTTTTAACCGTCAGTTAGAACTTTAATAATTTGATCGAGATTAATTAACATAAAGCTTACGCCACTTACCGCTTGGTTTAATGAATTGTTTGTGTGATTACTTTTAATTAAAGCCCAAAACCAGGTCAAAGTTTAAATGCAAACTAAATAATTAAATATGAGTTGAAATTTTGAATCTGCACGGGCATGATCGATATTGCCAAAGTCAAAATAATTTTCCCACAAAGCAAGCCATTATTTTGGAGAAACCTCACGACATGGCTCCAGCGATTTTAGAGATACTGGTAAAATACACAAAAATATGGACGAATTCGCACTGCGGTTCGATATACATTGTTGTACATATGTAGTATCTCGGTACGTGTACGTGTATTCCAAGTTGGAGGGAGTTGGTAGAGTTTCGGTGGATTAGTTCAATTAAGGGAAAGGAGAAAATTGTATGTGTAACTACAAACACGATGGAAAATAGTGAGAATGGTGGAAATACAGCTAAAACATAGATACTTACATGGGCAGGTAATCTCCAACACGGGGTTACATATGGGATGCATGATTTCATGAACAGAATTGGATTACCTGGAAACATTGGATGGCTGCACCCCTCCGACAACAGGTGTTTCCGGGCTGAGACAATTATTTCTCAGCTTTGAATGCCAACGAATGCCGTCCATGTTGATAGATTGTCCACTATAAGCTGTTCCGTCACTTATTACTGTTTGTTCGTTTTTTTCGACTGCTCAATTTATTTGCATTCGAATGTCTGCTTCGCTGGACGACGTCTTATGTATCAAAATGTCAAACTTTGAAGAAAGTTTATCCAACATTGGAGAAAATATAGACTTATGTATACACAAAAGTTGGTATTATTTGTAATAGAGGATACGAAACGGTGGGCTTTACCAAGTATATACACACATAAGGTTTTCTGCTAATCTGTTGGTATTTTCGTACTGAATTATTTCGTTATGTTCGTTCGTATAGATATTCTTCAATATGACCAAATCCCAAACTCATTAGCTTTTTTAGTTTTAAAGTTTATGTCTGCTTTCTGTTTGGGCTTAGATTTTTAGTTTTATATAAATATTTGCAGGTTCTACAAAGATATTTGTAGATATCAGTTTTTATCGTTTTTTTACGAAATGAAAAATCATAAATAGAATTAACTCTCGTTAAACGAATATGGCTTTTACACAAAGGTGAACCAACTCATGGACAATGATCTTCAAAAGGAAGAAATAATCTCCGGTTGGTCTGGCTTGTCCTTGCAAACAAATTAATTTGATGTCTTTCTTTGTGGTTCGACACGAACGTGTAGCAGAAGCAGTTTCTGAAGTTGGATGGATGGATGAACGCTGGGTTAAATCTCACTTTTCGATGTACCTTTTCAAACTCACTCTAATGGACACACAAAGTCCACGTTAAACACGACCTGACTTTCCTCGACTGTTTCCTCTGAGGATGTGCACGAGTCTGTGTGCCTACCAAGTATAAAAGCTTTGTTCTTTGTGGATGGGATGACAAAATTCTGAGATTTTCCAAAGAGCCATCGCCACCCAATTAAAATCAAAGTAAACAATTAATTAGTGCCTGCTTTCTTTTGGAGATTGTTCAAGAGGAAAATGGTGAGAATTGAATCAGAGTTTACTTACTTGCATGAAAATTGCTATTTCACCACACCATTTACCCAGGCAAAGTGTCAGCAAATTTTGAAAACAGGAGGAAAACAATATCGTTAAGTGAGCACTTCACTTCTCGCTGTTGTGTACAGAACTTTTAACGGCAGCCTATTATGTATCACATCATCATGCCCTTTCCACTTCATTACAGTCTAAAAGCTAAAAATAAAAGTTTGTGAATTTGGTTAGCCAAAGGACTATAAATTGTGCACGTGCGGATACCTTTCGCTCACTATATGTAAGTATGTAGCACCTGAACAGGTCTGAGATGCCGTGCATGTGCAGGTGTTTGTGTACGTGTATCTCTTTTCTCTCTGCGAACTTTCTTACTAGAAATGTCTGCCCGTATTAGTTTAAGGTTTATGGATGAGAAATTTTGATAACGAGCCGTGACGCCACGTATGTATTTACTTCTTGCCCCCAAGACTAGCAATATCTCCACTTTCACAAAGTGTATTAGTGCACATATAATAATAATATTCAACTCGTTGGAACGAGGACTGTGTCAAATGGCGAATCTCTGGCTCATGAGTGAGGTAGTTAATTCTGCATGGAAAGTTGTGAACTGAGTTGGTTAGGATTTTATGCAGTCGTAGGAAAGGCAGTTGTGTTGCTGGTGAAAGTCTCAAATTCAGTTCTTCGTTGTGCCTGTGTTGAAATCCGTCCGTCGGTCATAAGGGCTGTGTGACTTTTAAAAGCACAAACGAGCGAACGAACGAACGAACGCACGAAATGATATTTGAAGTTTCACAATCCTTCTCCTCTCACAAGCTCGTCCTCTTGTGATGTTGGATTTGTGCCGAATTTATGTTTGCTTAGTAGTCGGATGCAAACCAACCGAGGGTAACGAAAACATGCTGTTGTAACGACAACTGCCTCATTTCTATTTGATGAAGATAGTGAGTAATGGAAGGAAGCCCTCCACGTCGGTGGCTACATAATGGAGAAAGCCAAGTGCTCCATTTGATACTGGTCATTTAAGCGAGGTGCGATTCAGAGAATGGAATATGGATGTTGTTTCAGACCTCGTGGATACGTCAGCAAGAGGGCTCGCATTCTATTGGGTGATAGGTCATTCGTTCTATGAGTTACCAACACTTTCTTTATGAGAATGGGAGAGACTATGGTTAATTGATTACAGGATAAGTATCCTGGTTCTCGAGATGAAATGGAGAGGCAACTAATAGGGAAACCATCTCAAATTAATCCAAGCAAACTCATTAGTTGTCATCAGGGGTGACAGTGTTTAGCCAATTAAGAACCCCACTCGAGTCAACGGCTCTTTCCGTCTTTATATTTACACGGTTGTACGGTATACACATATTTCAATATTCATTCCCATACATATAAATGTATTTATATATGTAGTTTGCTACATTTATACAATTGTATATACATACCTAGATATCGAATATGAGTATATTCATTATCTGTATTTGGTTTTCATTTAGTTTAGTTTGTACCAATGTTAAGCACCAGAACCACATCGTCTTTAAATATAATGTGCATTGGGATGACGATAATGAAATAATTGGACCATAGGGTGGTAGGAGATCTTTAATCAATAGGAGCATATGTACATATGTGCATACATATACTTGTACATATGATCGGCTTGTGGTTACAATGTGTGTTGCCATCTCAAATAAGCTCATTTTGTTTCGAGTGATCCACTCCTGCCTACTCAATATCTGAGACCGTCGTCAATTACGTCGCAAGTCGAAATATTTACTTTGATTATCCCACTAAAGGTCAATTTACGGCCAGGGCGGAAACATTAGAGCTTTCTCCAAGCTACAGAAAAGTGTCACGTACACAATTTTCTGTGCTGAAATTTAGAAATACTTATTCCTATAAATCATACGAAATATTTAAATTAACCAATGAGAATGCATCATTCATTCATTCTACTGTTAAAGCTCTGATATTAATCGGATCATGTGCCTGCCAGGTGTGTATTGTACATTGATGTATGACTTCAGATTTCTTGGAATTATTAAGAAGTGTAACTTTTCCAATCCCAGCAAGTTTCCAATCTCATTTATTTCTTCATCATTCATGCATAAACGTCGAGTTGAAGAAAGTCGATAATGCGTCCCTCGAACCAAGACAAGTTTCCTTATAATGAACCAAAAGTTTGAAAAGGAAAAGGTAAGCGAGCATTTAGTGAGAGGTGAGCACACGAGCAGACCAAATGTGTATCTGCATACGCTGGTATATGTACGTACATACACATTATTGTGACACTTCGTTCGTCAGAAGGGGTGCATTGACGCAAATTGGTAGCACGCGGATTTTTTTCTCACGTTACAACAACGTACGATGATACGCAGTGTGTGAGATTGGACACAATGAACGTAAGAATAAGTCGTCTTTCTTTGTTTGGCCATACAATGCTGCACAATTACTTTTTAGGTTGGGGAGAAAATAAAACTTATTGCTGACTTTCTCCGCCTCTATCTCTCTCTTTTTGGCTCTGAGAGTGTGACTTATTCGAAAAATGATGCTCCTCATACAAATCCCTTCAAGAGGAAGAATTACTAGTGCAAAGTCAGTCAGACAGGCCATCTTGAGCCGAAAATCTCATATTTTCACGGAGGTTGAGGAGGAGAAAGCAGCCAGGAAGGAGATGTGATACCGTTCTTGAGAATGCGAATACATGTCCGCAAACTTTTCCCTGCGTCTTTTTTCCCTGAGTTTCTTTCAATGCTAGATATGACTCCTTCCCCGTTGCAGAAGGGAATTCAGCCAGTCTGAGCCAGTCAATTTCCAAGATTCAATAACATAACAGTACGCACAGCATTATAGCAATCTTCCAATCTTCGTTGTACTCAAATAACCAATTTCCCTACGATTTCATCAACCTAATATAATGAAAAGTCAAAAAGTCAAATTCAGTGGTTCACTGGGTTGCCTTCATTTATACGCACACACAACAGCATGACTTGAGTGGGATGAGATGAGATTTTCATTTTTACCAGTTGAAACTGCATATTTATGTACTATATACTATATGTAGATACATACATACGTACATATGTACTATAAAGATATGCACTTATGTACCTATTTAGTAAACATGCAGTTCTTCCTGGACTGAATACTCACAATTGTGGATTAGACTGGCAGCATTTGTTAACACTTAAGCCGACAATTAATCAGAGGTGTATGCATCTATTTATATATGAAACTCGAATAATAAGTAATATGGTTAGGTTTAATTTTAGCCCTCGGCTGCATTAATATTAATTCACTCGAGTAGTATCTATTTCTATGCATATTATATACATATATAAAATTACACTTGGGGTTTTGAAACAGCAACATCAATGTAAATTGACAGGAGGATTCGTCCGTTTACACTACGGCAAGATAATTTGGCGACAAAGCGTTTGCTAAATGCAACGATGGGTTTCATCTAAAGTTAACAAACTTAGGATTCGTAATCGAATTATGTGCCTAGCATAAAGGGAAAATGGTGTCCGAAATGTATGACGGAAAGAGAGAGACGCCATTGTTGTGGTGAAAGCAGAGAACATGGACAAAAATGGACTCGTAGATTGAATAAGTAGTGAGACTTGCAACTAATTATGTAACGCGTCACAACTCACTACTTACCACATAACAATAAGGAGAAAGTAGGCATCTGCAGGTGTGCGAGTCAATGGAGCTGAATGGAAACCATGTATCGTCCATTCTTCGTATTTCTTAACTTAAAATAGACTGATCTTGTCACAATTCACCAGAACGTGTGAATATTTTTGTAACTTGCTATAATGTACAACTTGCTATTCCAGGGCGTCGTCTATTTCCTGTCTTACTAAATAGATACCCTAGTAGTACGAATTTAGCAAAGTTAAGGAACTAACTTGGGATGTCGTTCTAAGACGGCGAGAAATATAAACAAATCCTGCTTTTGACGTGAAGGAAGACAGTAAAATAATGAGAAGAGTGCACATGATAAAGCAGTTTGTGTGGAAATTGGTCCTGCTTTTAAGGCAGCAGTGTCACTTGTTGAATTGAGCAATTTTCTTTGTCACATTTGCATGCAGAAAGTCAGAAAGTCGGGTGCGGTAAAAGAGTTAGTTGGCGGAGAGTCTTTTGAAGAGGCTGCTGGTTGTTTGGTCGGAGAAAGCAAGAACTTTCCCCGTCATCCCTTTTCACATACGCATCAACTGCCAAGGCCGTCCTTCTACATATGCATACTGTATGATGGCAAATTGATCCTTGTAACTTTTCCCTCGTTCACCACTCCAAGTTCTTCTTGTTGACTTTTCCCAAACTCAGATTTCTTTCTCTCTCATCATTTTCCAATAAAAGGAAACATTTTGATATGAACAGGATGGATGTCAGGATTTGTGAGCTACGTATTGTTAATTTTAAACAAAATATGTAGTATACACAGATTAGGTGGCAACAGCGTTGAGACAAAGTAATATATTTGTAATAAGCTCATCAGCACACTTGGAATATACTTTCTTTGGTGATGGTACAATTATTATTTTCTTTATTAACGTAGTCACATAAATATGAAATGAACATATTAATAGGAATAATACAGTTTTTATTTCCTCCACTAAATACATACTGTTTATTACTAATAAAACTGGCGTGTATATATAAAAACCTAGGTTGATTCTGTAAGAAATAGTTTACATACAATACAAGTCGTTGACAAAAAGGAAAACTGAAAACAAATATTTGAAGAGGAATCCATCATTCAATTTTCTTTGGTAGTCTGGAAAGTTTGAGTTCCATTTTATATTATCTTCTATATTTACTATACACATGCTCGCAACTAGTGAATATATAAGGATATCGTTTATTCTCCAACCAAAATCGGAGTATAATCGATATTTTTGCACACAAATTTATGACGGGTGTCCTTAATTACTACTCTTATCACAGAGGTGAAGAATGAAGCATGCTTGGGGATTTCTGAGTATCTCTCGAATTGGTCAAAGCTGTCCGGAATCTTTAGTGTTAAGCTTTCATAATTGTTGCGGACGACTTCAATTATCTGTATTATTCATATTAGATATAATAAATTTCGTGGAAAATTAAATATAAATTATATATTGACCTGTTCTTCTGTTGGAGTACTTATGTTCTGACTAGTTAAAAATTCATCAATCTTGGGAGAAAAATGCGTTAATATTGCACGAACGTTGCATAACGCATACAGTAGCTTTGTTGCACTTATTTGATGTTCGCTACCATTGGTTGTAAATCGAGCAGCTTAAAATTTGATAAGTATTTTGTCAAAAACCAAGTGAAAACAGACATTGATCTATATTTAACATGAATGTCATGTACTTAGAGAATATAGTCCATCAAACGTTTGCTGGCAACGGATAATCTCGTAGTAGAGCTCGTCATAAGAGTTTGCTGTCAAGAGGAAAGTGTCTCCATACGTGATAAACAAATTGATCTGTAAGAACAATAAAAATGACGCACGTCTACAAATCTGTCCATATCCGTTTTTAGGCAAATGCCCATACAGCTGAGAAGGTCAGACTATAGTTGATTGGCTAAAATAAGAGCAAAAAACTTACCATGTTAACAATTTGCAAGGCCAAATAAAAAATGTCGAATTTCTTTATCAGAGAAACTTCGTTAGATACGACAAATTTGATCACAGTGAACCAAGCACTCCATAATTGCCTCCAATCGTAAGAAATTTTGGTTCTAGACTTTTTCTGGTAGCATAAAACCCGATGAATAATACCTGGAATACATAGTATTGCCTTATCAGAAATAGAATGACAACATAGCGATGCCATTTGTGTCATAAGGTGAAGAACATCATACCAGCACTCTGTATGTACATTTCATATGGTAATCGCTTAGTCAAATGTGTCATCAAGAATTCTACCATGAGATCTAGATCAGCACATATAATATCCTTCATTAAATTCATAGCTTCAAAAACTCAAAATTTAAAAAGATCACAAACCCATCAAAGCGCAAACTAGTGAAACTGGAGGCTTTGTATCTGCAGCGACTTTACGATGTCTCATAGGAACACGGTGCAAGTGTACCTATATGGAAAACAGTGCATATAAGATTAAAGATCCTTATTTTATTCATAAATGTTAAATAAACAATCTATCTAACCCGAAATACTAAATGTGGATCACTCTGTAAGACAAAAGTAAATTAGTACATATATATATAATATATAACTAAATAAATCTAACACGTGGGCCTAGAAAGTAGCAGAGGACCATGACAGAGCATACTCCAATATCTATATACTGTTTTATCGAAGATTACAATTGACTTCGGAGACAGAGTTAAGGAGATACACACTGTTAGAATTACAATGTGGCAAAGCAAAGATGCAGATTTGCAGCTCAGAATGATCGTTGTTCTTTTCCCATATACCAAAAAGGTCAACACCCTTCAACTCTTACGAAACATGAACTCAAAAAAGACCTAAACTCACCATTAAAGCATTCGCATACTGGTCTGGAATTGAAACAAGAAAGAATACTGAGTAAAAACTGAATAAAAATACTGAATAAAAACTATAAATTACCTTCTGCTATGCAAGTCAGAATTATGAAACAAAGTTTCACCAGATTTGAGCTGGATTCTGACTTTACATCTTGAGTCGCCTGAAAACAGTAAGTATTATTAAATAATACATGCATTACCCGAATTGCTATATAAATAAATAAATTGAGAATGGTGAATTTAAAACCAGAAACTCACCATAATTAAGGACCTAATACAAATATTTCAATATAAACAGCAATTAATTAAATAATGAATAATTTTTACATCTCGCTGGATGGTCACATACGTGTATTCCATAAATGTAACAAGAAGATTTGACGGAGGCAACTGGAGTGGTGATGTCACATTTTGCGATAGAGTGTTATTTGGGCTTGTGTCTGTTTTGGTGTTTGCAAGCGTTGTCATAAAATTGCGATTAAGGTGGGCTGAAAAATAAGAAAATGCAAATAGGCGCTGAAGAATTAAAAGGGCCAATCTTATGTATTATTTAACACTACGGTTTAATAAATACCTTACCCGCTTCGTAAAATGCGACCAACAAGCCAATCTTTGCACCACTGAAAAAGAAACTCAATTAAATGAACAAACAACATACAGCTAAACTCCGATACAATATAATACATACCAAAGGCTCTCATTTTTTGAATTTTCATCAGTTACAAACATCGAACCAACCATCGACGTAATGGAATGAAACCATCCAGAATTATTGTCGGAAGAAACAAAATTTTGCACGCAAAATTCAGAGAGACCAGCAGTGATTGACTAGATCATAAACGAGCCAATTTCAATATTTACATACAACCACTTATACATATGGCTTAATTGTTGAGCAATATTACTTGGCTGTAACCATTCAAAGTCAAATGATCATCCAACAGCGATAATCTCACAGCACAGTCATTCGGTCGGTCCTTCTCATAATTCACCAATAAGACGAGCATGACAAGGCAGTCATGTCCAAAATCTAAAATAAAGTTAAGCCACACGGTGCAAATTGAGTTTGAACGATGATAATATGTGATAACGTAATGAGAAAAGCTGCTAATATGTGACACTGATGTTAAATGATGTACATAAAAAATGTGTAATTTACTTACCAATTCGAGTGTCTGTTTGACTCAACAGTAGAAACAGACACTCTAGCAAACTGCTGTTGGTGACAACGTACTCCATCAGTTTATTCTTGGACAAAATTTCTGTCGAGGTCATCATCATTAGCAGGAAGTGCATGCATGATTCCTTTACACATTTTGGGAAATCTTGTGATCCTGGGCCAATTGAACGAAATACAAAGTTTTTTAATCTACAAAAGATACGTAGGAAACGAAATAGCATACCAGATAGAATAGCAGACGAATGGTTTAACAGTGAGTTAATAATCCTCGGTGCATTTTCAAATCCCATTAAGGCATCTAGCAGATCATATCCAAATTCTGTTTTGATGAGTTTAACGACTCCATCAATGATTCCCGTCATTGTCTTAAAATATCATAGTTAAAATCGGCACGTTTTATACATAAAGTGAACGAGTTATGTACTGTGCGGGTGGAGCTTAAACCTACGGCCTCCTGAAGTACCTTGTGCTGAGACTAGGGTTTCTCGTGAGTTTAGCTCCATTCGCACAGCACATAACTAACTCACTTCAAGTTTAGTAAAATCAGCATAATAATTCTCAATTAAATACCTGGAACGAGTTGCATATTTTGATGTGATAAGAGCTTGAAGTGGAATCACCAAGAACATTAACGCAGTTTATGAACAAAGACCGAATGACGGGCTGTAAATTTAAAGAAATTTATTACACAATTATTTACTAAATTAATTTAGATTGTTCAAATTCATGTCGCCTAACCTTGACGAATGACAACTGGTCTCGAGCTTTAGCGATCTCCTGCTCGAGAATACTAGGCTTGGGTTTCAAGAGGAAGAACTCGTCCCAAAAATTTGTATTTGAAAGTGATGGGTCCTCTCCCTAAAAAAAGCAATAATACTGCAACAAAAATAAATGATATGGTACCACATACTGCGTCTTAATAATACGCGTAAACAAACTTGACAAAAACAAATGATTGTTCACCTGCAGAAGCTGTTCATAGATTTGAACGATTTTTTCCTTGAGTTGTTTCTTGCCCAGAGTATGCGTGGACGTCTTTCGAAGGGACATTTTATCTTACGCCTAATTCGCCAATCAATTAGTATATGTGTCGAAAAAGCCGTTGCCTTCACGTACCAAGTTATGTTATAAATTAGCAATAACTTATTACAAAGAACAATTGAATAATTGGTGGTCACATTCAAGATTCTGTTCTCCTTTTCTTGTATACTACAGATGACAGACAGAATTATCAAACATCAACAAGCCGAGAAATTAATATGTTGTCATTTGAGTTTATTTGAAGAAACCGCAGTTTGCGTTTCTCGTATCGTGCAACTTGTCTTGGTCCCCGCTTGCTCATTTTTGTATTCCATTCAATTATTCCGGTGGTTTAATTAGTTTACTATATTTTGAACTACTATTATATTATAAATATTCACATAATATACAATTGGTGAAATCATTCATTGCATTCTATTCAAAATAATTGAAAATAAGGGTAAGTTTCATTAATTGAAATGATTGGAACTTCCAATTTGGAATACTTCGGTATTCCATAATATTCCATATTATCAATGCAAGTTTTATGCAAGCTGTTTGTCAAAGAATAACTGGATTATTCACAATTGCAGGTTTGGAAAGTACTGAATAGAGTCCCACACATTTTGAAATGTTTAAAAAGTTTGACGACAAGGAGAACGTGTCTGGGGTGCAGCAGCTCAAGTCTTCCGTACAGAAAGGAATCCGAAACAAAGTGGTCGAGTTGTACCCAGAAGTTGAACCCTACATTGATCAGATTTTGCCGAAAAAGGAAAATTTTCGAATCGTCAAATGTCACGACCACATTGAAGTCTTGGTTCCTTCGTCTGGAGAACCCCTATTTTTTAAACAGAGAGAAGGATGCTGGTTCCCCACTTTGCGACTTTTGCACAAATACCCCTCCATGTTGGCCCAGGAGCAAGTAGACAAGGGGGCTATTAAATTTGTCCTGAGTGGGGCCAATATTATGTGTCCAGGACTCACATCCCCGGGTGCAAGAATGTCAGATGTACCCAAGAACACGATAGTTGCGGTCATGGCGGAAGGGAAGAAACATGCTTTGGCGGTGGGAATTACAGTCATGTCGACAGATGATATTTCTAAGGTTAACAAGGGCATAGGAATTGAAACTGTTCATTATTTAAACGATGGTTTGTGGACGATGAAACCAGTTAAATAACCGCCCATAATAATATAAATGGTTAAATTAAGCATCTTGTATAAAAACTTCAAGTTTGTATGTTGAATAATATTTGCCATTTCAGAACTGCATGCGTTCAAAACATGTTTTGAGATTATTTTATTTTAACATAAAATCAGTATCTATTACGAAATCACGTTCCATTGCCCATTTTACAAAATGGTACCATTCAAAATAATTTAGAGTACCAACTAAAAAAGACTACGAGTGAGTTTTATATTTATAGTTTTATAGAAATCTATTGTGTAATTGTGTAATATAATAATTATTATTGAATTGGGTCGTCCGATTTTGTGTCATCATGCATACAAATGCATGAATCATACCTGCATTAATTATTATGGACTATTATAAAATTCGGAATATGTGTACGTAAAGTCGCAAAGTTGAGTAGATAATCTTTCCATTTCTAACAACATGTTATACCAAACTTCTTGCAATTATTCCTAATCCAAAATATTTTAACAATTATTTCCAAAGTTGGCTGCCAAACGAGATTTTCGACCTTGTGGTTTCGATGTTTCGGCAGATGATGTGGTCGGAGCAGACTCCTGGGGTTCAACTGGTGCCAGCTTTAGTACGGGTTCCTTTTTACTCACCGTTTCTGTCGATGTTTTACTACTTGATCCTATAATTTAAGTCATTCAGTAAGTTATTTAATAGTTAATTATTATTTCTTCTTTTGGTACATATTTATGTATGTAGAAGAACAATCTAAATACATATATACATACGAAATCAGATTAATGGTTAAGTAAGTTATTACCAGGTTGCGAAATAGAATCTCCTGCTAATTGTTTCTCCGGCAATTGTTCAGCTCTATTATTGGACGGGGTTTGTGGGATACGAGGGTTAGGTTGGCGTTTACTAGAAGCAGTAGAAGCATTCCGAGACACTTGCAGTGGCACAAAGAACCTTTGAGAAACAAATTGTCTAGAATGAAAGTTGTGTTGTCTTTGTTCCCTCTGAGGATGATTCGTGGAATTTGTAGGTACGATTGGAGCAGCATATCTATGTTGAGTCCAATTTGAGGGGGGACTTGGGACGGGTGGTCGACATGCTGAAAATGGCAAGTTGACGGGCGGAGCTGAAGGACCTGGTCCTTTTCCTTTCCTACTTTGCTGTTGCTGCTGAGATCGAGGCTTTTTAGAATTATAGTGACGGGTTGTAGCCTTGTTCAACATTTCCAAAATTTGATTAGGTTCCTGACTTCCGTGTGCTGCTGTAGGCTGTACCACGGGAATTGATTCAGGATGTACAGAAGGTGGGTGATAAGCTGTTGCTGCAGAAAAAATCTCTGAACATCCCTTTGGCGGATTCGATTGATTGACTTGTTTCGGACGGACATTAATGGCTGGCATCAGTGGTTTAGGAACGGCATGCATGTATTCTGGCAGAGGTGGTTCTTTTATTGCTGTTTCAACTGGAGGATGGGCAGGAGGGGGCTGTTGTTTATTATGAACTTCTTTTTGCTTATTTATTGGCGCAGCATTAAATTGTTGCTGAAGAAAAGCGGCTACAGAGAACGATTCGTTAATCGGCACTTCAACTTTTACCAGAGGTTGTGGTGGCCAGGGCAAAGCCTTAGCTGTTTTGTCTAAGGTTCCATTGTTACTCACTCTACCCATTATCTGTATTTGAGCCTTGTTGAGTTGCTCTGGTTTAGATGGTTTATTAGTGTAATCCTGGGGTACAGGTGCCAGTTGTTGCTTTTGTTTAGAAGCTTGGACTCGTTTGCTTTCGAATGGGACAAAGTCCTTATTGTTTTTTGCAGAGGAAGACTGGCCTGGAGCCGAAGACCGTGACTGAATAGTTCCCACTGATTGAGACATTAGAGGAACAATTCTGTTTTGTGTCAATTCTTGCAACTTTTGGGGCTGCTTTACATGTCCATTCATATGAAAGCCAGTGATAGTCTGCAATTGTTTTGAATCCTTGTGGCTTTGACGCAGAGTAACTGGGCCTTCTGTGAGGTTAAGGAGTTGGTATGGATAAAGTTTTATTAAACGGGGTTTCAAATCTGAAGATACACTTCTTTTACTAGCTTTGGGCATCTCAAAACCAACTGTTTCTTGACCAGGATCAGTTATCCGTAATAGTGATGCTAGGGTTCCACTTAATTCTTTCCGTTCGCTGTTGCTGAGCTCAACATTTTCTGGGTTATCAAAAACATCCGCGGCTGGATCGCAAAGAATGATTAATGTCATTAGTGTGGCTGCTCCAGTAGACTTGAAAGATTCTTCAATTTGTTCCGGTTCAGAAGCTTGTGGAGTTTGAATTCCAACTATAAAGTTAATCGGTATCTTATTAAGTCACAGAAACTCTTGAAATATTAAATGTTAATAATAAGAATGCTAAGTTAATCACCAATGGTCCCACGCCGGCCCACAGGAATAGGCGCTCCTCGGTCAACACAAATCACTCGGTCCAATATGGTATAAGAACAATGAGGAATTGGTGGAACACAACCTCGATCGAGTCCAGGCTGCATCATAGAAAGTAAAGGCCTCATTAATTATTAATCAATGGCCTATATATTTACTTGAAAATGTCAACACTATTACATATATACGAAATTATGCTATATTACAATGCGTCAAAAAATGCAAACCTTTAATAGAAAATTCGGCTGGACGGTCCATTTTTTTATAGTTGTCTTTTTAGATGGGCTCTTATGTTTCAAGATATACTTCCAAACAGAGTCAATGTCTTCATCATCAAGTAATTTGGTGTTGGTTGGAATTCTTGGTAAATCTCGAACTCCTTTTTCTTCCAGCCATTCTACCATCTCATTTATTCTTTCTAATGGTTTATCAGGGAAAAATTCTCCAGCATCAAATACATCTCGTCCCTTTTCAACTCGACTTAAAAAACTTATAAAGTCAGAAAATTCCATCACAAATTCTGCAATTCGAATTCAAAATATAGAACTTATTGATTAAACTTTTGTTTTTCACATAAAATTAAGATAGCAATTAGTGAGCAATAATCATACCATTAACGAGTTGAACGGCTTTCCCTGAATAAAACCAAGCACCGTCTCGCTTGGACGTGTAGCCACGAACTTCGAGGTTTTTCTTGTTGAACTTCAAGTCGAGACCTACATTAATCTTCCTCATTTCTAAAGCTGGAAAGTCATCATCTGACGATGAGTTGCTTGCATCGGTGGGGGAAACATCGGTTCCAGATCCCCGTTTAGCCAGTGCTGCTGCTTTCTTTGCCAACATTTTATTATTGGCTTTGGTTTCTTTTTCAACAGAAACAAAAACGGTGCCAGTAATTCTGGAGAGAACGTAGGAACTGATTTGACACTTTCCGGCTGCTGCATATGAACTGAAGTAATCGTGACTTTTTAAGATGTTGTGACCGACACAACTTTTTAAATTGACTTCACTATTATTGTTGTTGCTACCTGGGACAACCTTAAAGTCTACTAACACAGATTTCTTTGGCACATCATAACCTACTACTGTTCCAAGAGCCCCAAACAATTTATCCCCCAAATAAAACACATCGTCTCCAATTTTAAATAGTTCAGTATATGACTTGGCCAGTTGCCTGTCCAGATAGAATATTTCTGTGATATTTTCTTCGTACATGCAAGTTTTCAGTGCAAAAGGTTGTTGAAGTTTTGACCACTAAAAAATATTAATTATAAAAAATAATTCAACTACGTACGAATAAGCAAAAATGTTAAACACATGAAAAAACTGTAAGCAGCGTGAGACTTACAAGGGTTTCAAATTCTACATCACCAGAATTGTTGCAGCGTACTTTCCGACCTTCCATCATTTTTGCATACACAATCACTTTGATTTCTCCGAGTTTGATTCCTTTGCATTTTAAATGTCGCTGAGAAAGTCCCTTTGCAATTGCGTTAAACTCTTTTTCCACCCTGCTTCCAATTAACTCGTTATCTAAAAATAAACAACAACTTTCACGAATCATGATTTAAAATCTATTAATCCATTAAACATTAATCAAACCACGCTTTTGATAAAAAATACTATAATTGCTAACCAAGCATTATTTTCCCAGCATAATCTTGGAAATATTTTCCTTTGTAAGTTAAAATCCCAGTTACATATGCGAATGTCAAATGGGGCCAATTAACCCAAACAGTACGCCCAATAAGTTTCCTCGACAAGGCTGCAATATCTGCAGGGTCATCCTTCACGTCTTCAAGGCTCAGAATCATAGACTCCTCCCGAGTTACAAAATCAAAGACTTTGATGTCAGCTTTATCAATGATAGCCTAAAAGGTATAATAATTAAAATATTATTTTTAATCTCAATGATGACAGAATTGTCAGTTAAACTTATAACTTACATTGATCGGTTTAGACTTCAAAGTGGGAAAACCTTGATAGATTGTGTCCTTTTTCGTTTTGGGGTGAATTCCTTTTGGTAGAGTTAGAGGGTCGTATGTAACATCATTCATAGTTTCGATTTTTACATGTGATGACTCCAAAACTGGAAACAAATTGCTAGCAGATTTTATAGGACCAGTTTCCTCTGGTGTATAGCTGCACAACATCATTGTTCCTTTAGAATTGCGGTGCAACTCTTCTCGGTTTAAATTGATTTCTTCAATTTTCATAACATCCAATAACTTTTGCTCGTCTATGAAAGGAATGAGGACGACTGCTTCCCAATCTTGTTTCTTCCCATTCAGATCTTGCTCAAATTTTTCAGGGTAAAAGTCAACAATTGGAGATTTTGTATCAGTCATTAGCCACTAAAGATGCAAATACAAGGGATTAATTAATCATCAAACAAAGTTTAGTTTGTCACATAATACGGTTTATAAATGTATACATTATATTTATATTAATCCGAACCTGATAACAATTTGGAAGCAACTTCTTGCTTTGAGCGGGCAGGACAGCGAGCAACTGTTCAAATGGGCGAAACGGATTTCCAATGTCAAATTCAATTGAAAAGTTTGCAAAATTTTTCAAGTCGGAACAAAATGGACTGTAAAAAAAATTATAAATCGTAATGAGTAACTAAATTTAAACCCAATTATTCTAAATAACTAACAATTTAATTCTTCACTTACGCATAGTGGTATGGATAAAACCAACCCCAGGAGCTAACACCTTTGTAATAATACAAAAGCACCCACTGGATAGCTCGAATGTACTCTTTACAAAAAATTTGTAAAAACTCTGGAGTAATTTCATCAAAGTGAAGTTTTGAAATGTAGTAATTTCTTTTATGTTGAAGAAATTCGAGCCTCAATTCCGGTGAATCGCCAGAGTTGAAATATTTATCATCAATACCAAACACATCCGTGCATAATTTCCCTGGACCGTCCTTTGTCTCACCAAACACTTCCTCTTCGGTCCTTTCCGCCAATGCTTTAAGCTCTGGAGACATTGTGGGTTCCAGAGGCTCTTCCGTAAAGTTATCTCCGTCAAAGTCGAAGCCTTCAAACTGTTGATTAAGACAAATTAAATAGTAATATTATTAATACATAAGTAGCATTGTGAACAAATAGAATTTTTTGTACCATTTTCTCTCCAAGAACGATATTCTTGCCCGTCTTCGATTCCATGTACTTCATATCGTCATATGTGTCACGGAACGTTTCAATGTCAAATTGACTTAATTTATTAATAAAAATTTCAAATCGGCGTAAATTTAATAAACCATTTTCATTAATGTAACCGTCGAGAGTAGGCAGAACTTGAGAATATAGTTGATACAGCATGGGAAGAGCTCCCTTCACAATATGTACGTGAGGAAGATGAGGGACAAAATCGTTGCCGACCAAAATATTCATTAAAATCCAATCATCAATAACGCTCTCAAGGTCGTACCTGGTAAGGAAGTACAAAATTAATAATCATTGTGCTACACAAAAATAGTAATATTAATAATTCGCTCACTGTATGTTTGGATGATTGGCCAAGTTTTTCTTTAAATCTTGAAATTCAAAGTCAATATAGTCTCGCATTAATGATAGATGTAGTAAAAGAAATGTTGTTTTCTCGGGTAGGGGAGCTTTAAAAAATCCTTTTGCTCCTGATTCTTCAGGGGGTGGGGGTGGCGCGCTATCATCCTTGTTGCTTGTATGTGCAGAAGCAGGAGGAGCCTCAGAACGCAATGACAATTGTTCTAATGGTTTATCAATTGCATCAGAAAATGACTGTCCTTCTTTCAGCAATGCACTTTCAACAATCTCTGCAGATTCAGATGATGTTGGCAAACTACCAGGGACACCATTTTGGTCATATTTGAATATCGACACATTCGTCAAGTCATAATTGGCAGTGTCGTTATTTGGCTTTGGAGGAATTGCTTGTTTTACACCTTTTTTTGGTTTTCTAGGTCTTGAAAATTTAACTTCCTCTCTGGAATAAAAAACGGCAATACTTAGATAAATACTTAATGAAAGTCATACGATTTATATATAAAAAACCTTAAAAGTGAAAACTGTAGTTCGTGAGTTGATAATCCAAGCATGACAAGATCAGCATCTAACCCGTAAAGACAATGACGAACGGGTTCATAACTAAAGTGTAAGACAGAGAAAATAATTAGTTCAGTTTGTAAGATTTTCTTTCCTTTCAGGTCCAGATCTGCTTAAAATTATGTATACGATTAAGAAGATTAAATTTTTAAAAAATCATACTTACTCTGCTCTAGAACGCTCATGTCGGATAAAATCCATAATTTTATGTTCCCCTTCCCCGGGTACATCATGACCACTCAAATAGATCACAAGTCCTGACAAAAATTAGTAATTACTAAAAACATCAAACTAATAATTAATAAAAATGCCTAACAAAAATCATGAAGCACACCTGATCTTTGCCATAGAGGGTCCGTAGAAACTTTGACTTGAACAAAATACTTTAACTGCTCGTGTAATCTTGCCATAAACTCGGTTCCTGTAAATCATAGTTAGTTGCAAAAAGACATTTGGACTTCTATAATTACTTGCAATCAATATAAGAGTAGAGTAATATTACCTGGCGTAATACAATTAGAATCAAATCGTTCCTGCGATGGCAAGGTTTCTCCTTGCCGGATCGCCTCTGCTTCTTGATCTTCCGCAAGTCGAGCCGACCTAAACCGTCGACCCCGTTGCTGTAATTGGATTATGTATATGGCATATGGGTGAAATTAATATCATTATTTGTGATATTACTTCATACCTGATTCATCTTGGCACGAGGAGCAACTCCATCGACAGCTGAAGGATAAAAATACTATTCTGAGACAACGCCATTTTATACAATTATAACATCACCGTTTTCATGCCTTATGGACTAACTCATGTTTTATTGCAATATTTTTACTCACCCATGAAAAACACTTTGCAGGGCTTGATCATCTTAAATAAAAAATCAATATAGTGGAAAATATCCTTAAATATTTGCTGCTCAGGGATTCGCAAATGGATATCTTCATCGTTTGGATGCGAGCAATTGTGAATAATTCCATTCATATCCAAGTACAAATTGTCAAATTCTGGAATCTGTAAAAGTTTGAAGTTAATAAATATTGAACTGTGATTAGTTGTGCCATTAGAGAATTTTAGATAACATTACTTGATATTCCTTGATTCTTTCCGAAAGACAAGGGTATCTTTCCGACGTCCAGCGATAGAACTTTGGTATACCCATTTTGCAAGGTGTACTAGATTTAGGTTGAGGTTTTACACACGTCTAAGCCTGTCCGATGCCCCTGTTAACAAATAATTTACAAAGTTGTAATAAATGCAAATTAAATCATCATAAATTCAAATCATGTGGATTTTTAGGCGGAGTCAGGGCTTATGGGACCCTCATGTTCGTCAATCTGTCTGCATGCGACACACTAACCGACGAACCAGTGAACCTGATTTTTATCAACTGTCTTAAAATGAGCATTTTAAACACAAGACTTGGATAGTTCCAGTTTGATAAATTTGGCATGAGGGTGCAAGTACATATACACCAAAGGGTATGAAGGAAATTTTATTATGAGGTGTATGGTAACTTGTGACTAGGAAAGAAGTATAAGAGATATAATCGACGTCGTTGAATTTTGTGTTACAAATTGGTAATACGTCTATCTTATAGTCGTTGGATCATCGGACAAAAATTTAAAATAGGACTCTGACCCTGATTCGGATTAAATTAAGCCTACACAGTTTTTAACTTACTAACTTACTTTCTTTAATTTAATAATAAATTGTAAATTGAGCTTGATTTCACTTTGAGAATCTGAAGCTTGTTCATATACTATACATAAATACATACATGTTACATAATCTCTTATCTATCTTATCTCAACTTACGAGATATGAAAACGTTAAATTAATCTGCGAACTGAAACAATGGATTACCTGATTATCTACAACTGTAACTAAGTAGCTATTTATTTTAAGCGATTGTCAAAATCAGAACTTACTTTCTTTTTTCAAAAATCACAACAGTGACACTTAACAGATTGTCAGCTTGTTGCTGCTGTAATGTTGGGGAATTTGGCAAAAAAACGAGCAAATTCCACTCTGTACTCACTCCGTCAGCTTATCGGAGACCGGGTAGGACGAAAACCTGATTTTGATAGTATTTATCACACCGTCTCTACGTCTGAGGTGTTTTGGCGTGCTTGAAATACATATATGCGCGACGCCTGCTAACATAAATTTGCAACAATCGGGAGAAAGTGAAAGCCGCAGTGAAATTGTTTGTCGTGTTCTAACTTACCGCGCGGTGACGACGTGAGACTTTTGGCAACAGCAATTTATACGATGAGACGAAGTCTTGTCTTTCACTATGATTTGGTTTTTCTCCGTGCGCATAATAAAAACAAAACAAGCAAACAGGATTTTTTTTAGCTAAAAGTAGGGACAAATCAATTTAATTAATACGAGTTTTATTGGAGGACGAGATTTCTGCATCCATTTATTTTTGTCCTCAGAGAAAGCTTTTTTGAAGGAGCAAATCGATGTGGTGAAGTGCAGAACCACTTGACTTTCACTCACTCGCTCGCTCGCTCGCTTTCTTTCTGCTACTGTTGTCCCACAAATTTGTGAGTTATAATTTGGTTGCCCGTCTTTCTTCTTCTCTTCTAAATCCCTTTCACTTCACCACCAACCAACCACATTGCACACCTCTGCCACTTTCTCTCCTCATCACCTCCGCCTTGTAGAAAGTACAGTTCTTCTTGGTTTAGTTTGCTCAGTTCACCTCCTGTTCCGTTTATGGCAACTGTTTTGTTAATTGATACGAGAGACCGACCGATATTGGACCTTGTTCCTGTGAAAGGGAAATAATAATTGAACACTGACAACGAAGACTGGACCAGGCCCACCAATTCCACATCTACTAACTCTATACAAACTTCAATAATAAGGTAATAATAGTTGTAACTAATTCGTGTTATATGATAAAATGATAAGTATCGCTGAAAATTCGTAAACCCCATTCGGGTATCGCTATTACGTCGTATGAATACGTCGCAATACCAAGTATGACGAGTTACGAAACAAGGAATTTAATTACTCTCAGATATTAGAATTGTTAGAGCAATTCTTTACATCAGTTTATTTTGTAAATTTCTTTCTTCCATCGTATCAGACTATAAGAACTGCAAACAAATAGAATAAGGTATCTTGCATTTAATAAAATTTAACAAAGCCAACACGGTCAAGTTAATTAATAATTTTTTAATTGTTTGCTGTTTATAGATTTTACATCCCAACAACATGGCAAATGTGCAAGTCAACATTCCATCTGCAGATCAAAAGTCGGAAAAGAAGAAAAAGAAACGGCCAGATCTTCCTGTTGTTTCAATAAAAAATACAGCCGATTATCAGAGGGTAATTGACACATGTACTTGTATTAAAATTCATGATAATATCTGAATCGAAAACTAAATCACTTGTTGTACTTTTTAATTTTAGATGAAGTTGGAAAGACTTTTTGCGAACCCAGAGAAACCAGTGGTAATTCCGATAACAAAACCAAGAGATAAGAACCTTCCTCCACCTCCAGAATTTGTCCGGAACGTGATGGGTTCTAGTGCTGGGGCTGGAAGTGGAGAATTTCACGTGTACCGGCATTTAAGAAGGAAAGAATATGCTCGACAAAAGGGAATTGTGGAAAAATCGAGGGTTGAACAACTTGATGAAGATTTTTTAAAGAAGATTGAAGAAAACAAGAAAATTGCTGAATTGAAAACTGCGAAAAAGAGAGCAAAGCGCCTTAAGCTTAAACAAAAGCTGAAAAATAAAAACAAAAAAGCACGAACCCAGCAAACCCCTGGTGAAAACAAAGGAAATGATGAAGATAGCAATTCTTCGAGCGATAATGATGATGATAGCAATAATTCAGACTCTACTGAAGATGACACAACAAGTGGTGATAGCAAACCTCCTTCAAATAATAATGGAAATAGCTCTCATTCTGCTGGACAGAAAACAAATGGTCACCACAACACAACTATTTCGTCTAGCAATAATAAACCTAAGCTTGTAGTTCCAACTTATTCTTCTCTCATGTCACAAGTACAAGCTTATCCTGACGTTGCCACCAGTTCCGATTCAGATTAGGCTATAGTTACATGTTTGGCGTTTAGCAAAGTTATGATAATGTTAATAATTAGCAATGTGTAATTGAGTCCATTAAGCATTAAGTTATAGGTTGAATTATAACCAAATAAGTGCTAGACAACTTTCCACTTTTAATGTACAAATGATAGATAAATTCAACCTACTTAGTTAGCTGTATAGAAATGCTAGGAATAGTAATATGTGTTATTTTCTGAAAAGACGCACTTTTATGATGTACTTTAATTTCATTGCAAGTTTTATAAAACTAGACATTTTACTGATAAGTACTTGTATTAATGTGAAAATATGCAACGAGCGATCATCTATGCAAAAGTATACATAATAAGTACTTTCAACAGCAATAATTTGTTGGATCCAAATAAAGTAAATACTTCCTTAAATTATTATGACAATTCTTCATTCTCAATTTTCATATACACATTCCTTTTAACGTACTTGAATCTAATTATTTTTTTTAAGACGCTTTACATTTTTTGCACTACTTCGGTGTTCCCGTTGTTGCTGTAACTTGTCTTTAATTACTTGATTTTTAGGTTTCTGAATTTTGTTAAACTTTGCTGTGATTTTGAATCCACAAAGCGGTCCATTTTTCACTTTTTTGAGAGCTTCATATGCATCTGGGATGTCGTTAAACGAAACATAACATCTCCCAGCATTAAATCGCACAATATCTTTGCAGGCTGGAAATTCCTTCTTGATCGTCTCCGTCTCTAAAGTTTTGGGAATGGCTTCCAAAACAAGACTAGAAATATAAAATATGTGTAACGCTTTGTTCTGTGAACTTTCCTTGCTTGCAAATAGGTATACATATCTAAATCTTACGTTAAGGGGTCAACATTTTTCATCTCTCCAAAGTTTACTGGCTCGTTCAACTTGAATTCTTTATTTTGGACCTTCTTCGGAAAGAGTGGTCCCAATTCGGCAATATTCACGGTACGGATAGCCTTGTCCACGGCATCCTTGGTGTTCCCTTCTTTGCAAAGGACGAAGAAGAATCTACGATAAACAATCCAATGTATTAATACAACGTGAGTTTTTTTTTATCACGAGAGAAATAAAAGCTAGAAAGGTTTGTGACAGAAAGAAAGCGTATACTTCTATAATAATGATTCGCTCTCTTTTCACTTTTTATAAAATTATTGGTGTAAACTATTAATCTCTAAAATTAGATAGTGCGTTATCTAATATTTGAGCATGTATCGGTATATGCGTAATCTCTGACCTGGGCACCCTTTGTCTAGGGAAGAAGACGCGTTCAATCCCAGAATGAACGCCCTTCACTAATTCCTCCATCACGGCCTTATCCATATCGACACGCTTTTTCATCATCACGCACAAGGACCTGTCTTTTCGTTCTGCAAATCGACGCATTTTAGCGAATGCCACAGAAGGGCCCTTAGCCACCATTTTGTGTAATTAAATGAGTCGAAAATTTAACAAAATAATAAACAACAAAATGTGTTGTAAGAGTTTTGTAATAAACAATAACAAAAACAAAACGGTAGAAAGTTCACTTGTCACTTGTAGAGAAAGCACCAATTTGAGTACAACGTGGTGATCCAACATGCGCCTTTTTGCTACAACAAAGTTCCAAGAGTGTGAGACAGAAAATTGAGACTTTTCTGTCATGTAAATACTCGTCTCAAATCTCAAATTGATTGATTTTGTAACAAAATTTTTGTTTGGCTTATTTCAGAATTCGCATTAATTTCACTACAAAAAAGATGTCTCTTTTGAATGATACGAAAGTCTTTCTTCTGGATGGAGGTTTGTCTAACGATTTAAATAATCGGGTTCCCTTTGATTTGCATAAGGAGCCCCTTTGGACCGCGAAAGCTCTCATCACAGACCCTGACGCGGTGGTTGCAACACATTTGGAATATCTTCAAGGTTCTTTATTAATTGTATGATAAAAAATCAATAGCTAGATATTTATATGCATGCGGTGAACAAATTATAGCTGGAGCAGATATTATTGAAACATCATCTTACCAAGCGACACTGGAGGGCTTTAAGGACTTCATGAAAGTCGATTCTGATAGTGGCAAAAAGTATATTAGAGATTCAGTGACTTTGGCTAAAGTAGCAGTGGATAAATTCAAAGCCTTGGGTAGTTAATTTTGATAAGATTAATATATGTATGGTATGACAGCTTACTATAAACTTGAACTGTCTTTTCAACAGATGAAAGTTGCAGTAGATTCCCTTTGGTTGCTGGTTCTATAGGGCCTTACGGTGTTTTACGATGCGATGGCTCCGAATACTCTGGTTCTTATATGACCACTGTGACAAAATCTGAAATTGAAGACATGCATTTGCCACGTATAATGTCACTCGTTGATGGAGGCGCTGATATCTTGGCAATTGAAACAATGCCTTCCCTGGAGGAAGTAAAGATTATTCTGGATTTGGTGAAACTCCACTCACCCAACACAAATGTCTGGGTTTCTTTTTCAATTAAGGTATTGAAGACAATTTTCAATAGTTCTGAAAAATTGTTTAGTATTATATCATTGTTCATTGTCAAGAGATTTGCATTTCTTGCACAGGAAGGCAAACCGTGTCAAACAGCATTTGGAGACCCTATGGAAGATGCGTTCAAAACAGTTGCAACTTATGCACAGGTTGTAGCATGTGGAATAAATTGTTGCATGCCTAAGGACGTGGAAACTTTCTTAAAAAATGTAAAAGTCTACAAAGCAATTAGACCTTTGGAGATTATAGTATATCCAAATTCTGGACAGGATTGGGTACCTGGTCAAGGGTATGCATCTGCTGACGATTAAACCCACATGTGTGTGTGTACTTCATGTAACTGAATTCTTAATTTAGGTGGATCAAAAGCCCAGTACCAACCCTGGACACTTATTTGTCATCTTGGATATCTTTGGGGGCTAATATTGTTGGTGGATGCTGCCAAGTTGGACCTGATCAAATTAAAACAATGCGGTCCATCGTTGACAAGCACAACAACGAAAATTAATGTTATAGCGAATAATGATGATATATTTGATGCTCTCAAGCATTGAATTGTTATTAGAATATAATTTCAGGATTAAATGGAATCGTATAATTTAATAAATATTAATTCATGATAACGACTTGCTTTTTAATCACTGTCGTCGTTATGATTTGTTGACGCGTGCTTGTTTAAAGGTGCTTTTGTGTCTTCCTCGTCTGAACCATATAGAACATCATCGTCGCTATCATTGACCATTGAAAATGAGGGATTGTCCTTTGTTATTTGCGATGCTACAAAGAAAATCAATTACAACATGTATATTAATAGAATCAGTATATCCAATAAATTGAAATAATTAATTATGCAACCATACATGAGTTTAAGACAGCAGAGCTAGAAGGCGAGTATACATAGGCCATCGTAAATATGTAAAAATTCAGTGTTCCATAAAATGCCATAAATTCTGCGGACGAATTGTATTTGGTAGAAAGGTCCGCAACAAAATGATCCTCCAATATATCCATACCAAAACGCAAATACGTGATGGTTAAGATCATTTTTACTACAATCAGTAGTAATCCCGTGAGAAATTTTAGCCGCAGATCTATGCATAGATTTTATGTATACATTTTGGAGAGGAAAACTAATAAACATGTCGAATATGTACTTTACCAAAATATGGCATTGATCTCAACTCGCTGTAAGCCTTCAATATTAAGAATAGGAGGTAAACCAGGTAAATCACTCCACTCACGATAAAAACATTCTTCAAATTCTGTAAATATCAAGCATCGACATAATGTCACCATGTTTTAGCATAATGTATTTTTATAACAAACGTTAAAATTATCAGTGTCCAAAATGTAACTGAACGTCGGGTCTTTCGCTGTATTAAGCTTTTGCCATGAAGCCAGAATGATGGCCGATAACCAAAGACTCCCAACCAAGATCACTTTTGGTAAATAAAACGTGAGCATTCTCCTCTCAACCTAAAAACCATGATTATATAATAAGTCAAATTAATAATTAAAGCATTTTGGAGAACAGCTTATCCCACCACCTGCCGCAATCCATGATAAGTTGAGAGCCAAAAAAAGCATAGTCCTGACAGAAACGTTACTTGGAACAAGGCGTCCATCATGGATGTAAACGTCGAGTTGACAAGAAACATGAGAGGAAATACAGGATCTATAAAAAAAACAGTGAAATAGTTAATTCCTCTTTCCAAGTAGTGAGTGATTGCATTTATTCGATATCGCTCCTCCATACAAAAATATGTACAAATTGTACTCATCGTGCATACAAAGGGGTTAATTAAAATGTAAACTTATTGTATTTCTTTTTTATTGATCGTGGGCGTCACATTCTTATGACACTGCGATTTCGGGCGGATTGTGATTTATTTGCATTTATTATCAAAGTGTGAAAGCACATTATTAGTAAATTATTACACCTCCTCCTCCTCGCCACGCACCATGCAATAATTCAACCCATTACCACTTTGCATCATGTGCCAAATGATGCCTCATACTTATGTATGTGTAATATCATAGCTCAAGAAATGACTTACTGTTATAGAGAAAGAGTAGAGGAAGCAGCACAGAAATCCATCTTTGCTCAATGGACCAATCGGTCATGATAAAGCGTCGTAGTGAGTACATGAACCAGCACTGCAGAAGAACCAAGACAAATTTTTTCAAAGATTAATTTGTGTAACCTCAAAAACTCATTTATTTCCCCCACACAATAGATAGACCACCACCGTCATCCCTTTCAACCAATCTCACTTTTTTACTCCTTAATATAAGATTGTCAGTAGAGAATTAAAGTAAAGAATGTGCTGTTGTAATATCAAATTCTGTATACGAAAACGTGAAGATGATATTTTCTACTTCTTCATTCACATTAAAAATTAGTGTCTGGATGGCCACGACACGAAAACGAAATAAAATGATATATTAGGTTGAGACATGGAAAATAAAAACTGCAAGTGAACAATATTGGATAATTAGAAACCATTGTACGTAGGGCTATGTGACATTATAGGAATATCTGCAGGATGAGCTTTTTGTATTGCAAAGCAAAGTGACTGTTGCAATTCGGTATTATCTCAAATGGATCTATAAAGTAATGTTACTTTGATTACAAATTGAAATGTGTGTACTTACAGTGATTGAAAAACAGGCAACGGCATAGATGAATCGGCTGTAAAAAAAACAGTTCAGTTTGCTCTGAATATTGAGTAATACATACATAACTAACTAATGCATATGAAAGATGCTACTTTTTAAATTAGTACTCACAACGACATTTCTAATTGGGTGAAGGACGGGCTATAGGTCTTAAACTGTAATCCGATATCACCGATATAAAAAAACGTTATTTATTAGTCATTCTTAATTATCCCTGGTCATTCGTTTGATTTCATTCGTAAAATTGGACTTACATGGAAGCGAACGTTCTTTATGTGGTAGCGCTGGTTAATATTTTCTAAATCTGAGAACCTCACAACAATAAAATATTTCGCAAAGTCAATGAAAGTCAGATGGAGAACAGTGAAAGGTTCACACGCTCCCCCGCCACGACATTCCAACCTTCGAAACCTCCTCGTCGAATGGTTCAATATCTTTACAACCTTGCCGTTCTCAATGCCAAATAAGTCTATGAAAATCTCAAAAGTCTTCTCGAACGCTTCATCTAAAGGATTCAAATATGAAGAATATGGCTTCAGTTTTATCATGTATTAAATATTTCGTATAAATATACGAAACACCCAAAAATATTCACGCACCGTCTTGGTTCTGAGTCTCAATTCCTGCAATAATCCACAATTGTTGATGGTAAGTTGTAAGGAGTGGAGATTTCAAACCGAATGGACCTTTAGCCAATTCACTTTCGTTGACTAAGGTCATTCCTTGAATTTCTGTTTCCCATGTGATGGGTGGACCTAGACATTATTTTTTAGGTAATTAATCGATTGGCTCTACCAAACCATCGTGTATTAAGCATATAGCTTGCTACATACATAAATAAGAATATGATATTACTAACCCACAAGGCCAATAAAAGTGACAAGAGCTATTGCCACAAAAAATCCTAGAATTATGATCACGAATTCTCTTTTGTGTAAAGTGTAAAGCTTCATTTTTACAGATCTGTAACTCAACGAAATGAGATTTTACAATGGAGATACAAATCTAGGCTAGCAATATTCTTTTGTGTACTCAAAAGAAGTCGCTTATTACCTCTCACACCGATCATGATGATACGCAGGGGCCAAATATCGGTTAAACACTCCAAAAAGCTCACAACAATTAAAATCAAACATTTTTTTCAGCCTGTTTGGAATACCACCTTGAGGCATGTAATACGAGTAGCCAAGCGTGTTACCAGACTCCATAATAATTTACTTATTTTCTGTTTCTTTCCGAAATTTTTTTTAAACACTGCTGCAAAAGACTGATTTATATTTTTGTAAAATTTTCTCAAGCTGTTTTTACCCACTTTCACCACCTGTGAAATACCCAACTTTCACAACGCGTGGACTGACTTTTACTCTGCCCTCCTTAATGCTATACGTAGCTTGGAGTTGTGCTCGAATCGATCGTGCGAACTTTCTCTCCAACATGGCCAGATCGCATATGGAGAGAAATTGAATTACTCGGAGAGCAAGTAGATTTTGCGTATTTATTTAAAGAAAAAGTATCAACATGTAGATGATGCTCAACAATTTCGTAAATTTATTTTTATCATGAACTATCGATAACTGCATGCGTTTTCGATATAAAATACAATACACATAGTTGCATATACATATTTATAATAATGGCAAAGAGGTGTTATAATAATATATTTCAGTCAAAAGTATGGAATGAATGGGTGAAGAATATTTTGAGGATATTTATCATTTAGAAATGAGTAATTAGACTTTTTGAATTTCAAATAGCTTGACTTCGGTGTCGTACCAAATTGGAGGATCCGTGTTTACCCTCCACTAATAATAATCCACTCTATAATCCACTCCACTAATCCTCCATAATTACGGGATGTATGCTTGTGAATCATGGAACCTTCCAGTATACGATCCTTATGAGAAGAGTGGATAGCACTCTAATTTTGTTGTCATATTGGAATTGATCTTGACCCAAAACGTGTGATTTATGTACAAGTTGAAGTTCATTACATGTCATGTCCAGTCATGTCCCATTTCCATACACGTGTGTGTTACATCTTTTTTATTAATAAAATTTGCAAAATTCATTTCCATTACTCTACTTCTTTTCCAGACCATCACGAATTTCCAACATTCGCAAATTCAATTTCATGCATAATATATTTAAATAAGCGTGCATACATTTAAGACGCAGTAATCAACTAAACTGTCAATACGAAATTACCTTCATTAATAATAACTGCGCTCCATGAATGCATGACATGGCCCATACGGATATCTTTTTTTAATATTTAAATTTTATAAATGCCCAATACATACATACAACATTCAGGGGGAGGAGATTAATGTTGGCAACTTCAAAAATAAGATGACTAAATTTATTTCTATAATAAATTCAACTTTAAGTGGTTAATAATTTTCATTTTTTTAGAAAATCTGGACAAACTATTACCAGCAGCACAATTCATTTCTAGCTCACTTCTCCTCATGCTTCGGATTTATTAACAAGTCTCAAATTGAATTACTTGGTTACAAAAATATAAAGACCATAACTAATTAAGTAATGCCTTATTCACTCCCATCAGGAATACTGGTTTACCGTTTCGGTGAAAGGGGAAGTGGTTTCAAATCAAAAACTGGGAAAGTATTGGATTATTATGAAATCAAAAAGGGTACTTACTTTTGACAATCCGCATAAATTTCCTGCATAAATTCCATTGAATAAATTGTTATTAGAAAGTGTAATGAAATTTCACAGAAGCTCGTGGCCCATCAGGCAACAAATTATTTACCGACATGAATTTTCCATGCGAGGATTCCTCCATTTTCCCAAAGTCGCCCGTCCATCCTCCCGTTGAGTGGAAACGACCGTCGGAAATCGTCTCAAATCCAGCCTTCTTCTCACAAATGTCCGGCCGCATTCTCAACTTTTACAACAATTTTACACTTTTACAACACCCGCAAATGTACATAGTTTTACAACTAAATAAAGTATTTATTCCAACAAAAATCGGTGCGCGAGAACAAAAAACCAATAACAAAGGTTAATAAATAATTCATTTTGTACTTATAGAAGAATAACAAGTTAGTTGACATCAATTTTCTCTACTTTTCCGACCAGCACCTGGCGACACAAATTTACAGGATACTCTCCGTGTTCAAATTTGCAGTCTTCCGAAAGTTCCTCAAATACCACTGGTGGAATGCCCAGCCACGCCAACCGGATGCACCGTTTGATCTCCTCTTCGGAGCACAAGGCAAGCCACTGCCACTCCATACGCTGATTGATTATGTCAAAGTTGATCCCGTTTGCTCTAAACCTCATGTGAAGGAAGCTGTGGAGCTATAAAATACCAAACACAAATTTGTATTAATGTAATTAATATTTCTGGTAAATATAAAATTAAATATTACCAAACGAAGTGCTTCCGCCTTTCTCGCCAGGACCCTGGTTGCAAAGTTCTGTGTCGCGATGCGGATGCCCGTTCGGTTGTTGTTGATGGATGTGTTCAAACTGCTACGTGGATTATTCGAATGATATTCGGCCTCCTTTTCTGTGCTGTTTACCCCCGTATAGTCTCCAATGTGCAGATCTTCCTTCTGTCTGGTGATGACCTGTTTGCATATTTCGGGTGCACTCTTCGATGGATCAAAATCGTTGTTGTCCGTTGTGATTACAGTATAGACCGTGTGGGAGGGGTCAAAGCTGGCCACTTTCTCTTTAAATTCTTTGAATCGACGATCCACCTCCACCTCGATGTCCTGTGGGTTCATGGGGCGAGGGAGTTTGACAGTAACGGCGCCAGGTTCTGGTTGACTATCAATCCAGTCATCGTTATCAGAGTCGCTCGTCTCCATTTCGTCACCGGTTCCAGGTTCTGGCTCATCAACCTCCATTTGTTCCTCCGTGGAGTCATCTTCCTCCTCGGCGGATCGTCGACGTTTTGACATATCGACTTTCAAGTCAGCCTTCCAGTCAGGGTGTATATAGGCGAAACACTTTGGATCATCACATTCTTCTTTAAGACACAGAAAAGTCACTCCTCTAACACTGTGCTTGATCTCCTTCCGGATCTTCCCATCGGGTAAATCCATCATCTCATGGCGCTCTCTTCTTTGATTCAAAATCTTGTATTGGGGGATGCCAGGGGCTGGTTCAAACTCTGCATCGTTTAAAGCCAATTCCTGAAAAAGAAAAGCATGCATTTTACTTACATAAATATTGTACCTAAATTAAATTAAGACGTACAATGTATCTCGCTTCTATTTGACGAAATAGATTTGTTCGTTCTTCAAAAGTTCCTTCTACAAATTTGCGTCCAAATAAAACAACTTCCAGGAACCGGCCAGGGCAGGTGGGGTCGGGTTGGAAAAGGGGGGAGTCAAGAATTCGATGGTAAGGATTGATATCCGGAGAAGAGGCGCCCGAACTCCTGCCAAAATAGAGACTTAGCTGGTCCGGGTTTTCCTTAATGAATGTCAAAACATCCAGACCCTGGTGATATTTAGGACCCAGCACCCCGACAATGTACACGTAGGACCCTCGCGCAGCATGGTTTTTGACTACTTGCCCCATTCGAGCAGTTAACCACTCGAATATCCATTTTTGTTCTGCTTCGAATTTCGAATGCGCCAGGTTTCTGGGAAGAAGTTCTCTCAACGTAAAACTATGCCCAGAGATTAGTGGAGAGCGTCGTGTCTTGAAACTCTTTCTGTGTCAAACAAATTGTTGAAACAATTATAGTTAGATTAAACAAATTTGGAAATATGCTTTGAACAACTTACCCCAGAGGAGTAAGCAGTGGTACCAAGGCATGACTTATGTTGTGATGTTTGTTTAGTTTGCTGGAGCTGGAGAAACTTTTGTCGCAATTCTCATAGTCACAAAAGTACTTTATTGTGCCATCCTCCTGCAGCTCCCCAGTCCTGTAAAATTAAGAAACATGGTTATCCAGGTCCTGGTTTATTAGATGCTCGCCGTATACCTATGTATTTTCTTCTGGAAGGCTTCAAAATTTGAATTAGCGCCATGGAGTGACATATGATATCTAAGCATTTGTGCATCACAAAAGAATACGTCACAGCTGTCACATTTCCACGTGTTGGGTTGCTCACCGTTTCTACATAAAGGCATAAAAGGTCATAAACATTTAATGTCTCCCAGGTCCTGGATGAAAACTACACTCGCATTATAAACTGCATGCTACATCTACTTTAATATTAAGCACCTTATTGACGTCGTGTGATCACGTTTATAATGAAGGGTTCGCTCGTCAGACGTGGTGAACACTTGTGGACAATCCTTTACTATACATGGATAACTTGACACACCATCGACCGTTACAGCTGGACTGTTGATTTAAAATTATATTCTCAATTGCGCATCAAAATACAATTAAAATGTATGATTGATGAAATTATTGTGCTTACTCGAAGCGAGGACACTTTCCGTTTTTCCGTCGTCGTAAATGGCGTGTCAAACTGCTTTGCTGACTAAAGGTTCTCTTACATTGAGGACAAATGAACCCCCTGAAACAATTAAGTTAAAGCATTAATTAAAAGTACAAGTCAGGACCTGGAACCAATTGAGTAATTTGCTTACCCTGCCATGATGATAATCGTTAAAACTAAATATGTACACTAAATATCGTATGAACTATAAAAAACTTGATAAAACTATTCGCTGGAGTTCAAATGTCCTCAACAGCAGAAAAATATAAATTTAAAACGGTTTGGAACAAAGTTTTATAATATTTTGAGAGGAGCAATGATCGAGGAGAACAGAGCAAAAAGTGGTGGTACTTGCAGTGATTGCTTGGTTGATGTGTTTGTCAGCCATCTCTGTCCACCACCACCGCCCCGCGAAAATCTCGTCCAGTTGAGCAGAGCAGAAAATATCACAAAAGTCAACAAAATTCTCTCCCGAATATAATAACATAATAATATAATATAACACACAATTTGAAAATGAGTATTCATGGTGGTAAAAATATCGGATTGAGTACCCATTTCCCTTCCGAAAGTTGGGTAAGTGTGATTGTCATTAATAGCCAGGACCTGGAGTTATGTTTTTTAATTAATTAATTATTTAATTAGGTACTTTTCTTTCAGGTTACGTTCTTTGGAACTTGAAGCTTTTTTTAAGGAAAATACTCTCTCCCTTTCGTCGATTCTCTCTCCAACGACGAATTCGACCCCAGAAATTTCCTCCCTCAATATATTTCCATAAAAAAATATTTCCACCACGAAATAATTACTCTAGAAAAAAGAATAAAATCTCAATTTTCCACCACTTAACAATTTATTGAATGGATTAAACTGTGCCACGCCAGACATGATCATCCTCTTACACAACTATCGACAACTGCATGCGTTTTCGATATAAAATACAATGTACAATAATTGCATATATAGTAATGGCAAAAGAGGTATCATAATATGTTTCAGTCAAAAGTATGGAATGAATGGGTGAAGAATATTTTGAGGATATTTATCATTTAGAAATCAGTAGTTAGACTTTTTGAATTTCAAATAGCTTGACTTCGGTGTCGTACCAAATAGGAGGATCGATATTCCTGAAAGTTCATAAAAAGTCTTTGTTTACAGTAAAAAATCGTGTAAACTACAATTTACTTTAGTGATTAAAAAATAATACCTTAAAAATATTACACCCCACAAATAGGTCCGGAACCACATCGTAGTTCCACTGTTAGCTTGGTATTTTCTGATGAGGATTGGATGCGGCACAGGTAGCCTATGTAAACATAAGATAAGAAAATATTTGAATGCTTGAGAAGTTCTTTTACAGAGATCTATTTACAATCCACTACTAAATAGATTTATATGGCTTAAAATAAACTTACAATCCCACAAGAGTCCCGTGTTGCAGAAACTTGAGAATCTCACTTTCATCCGTGATACCTCTGCATAATACATATTAGAAAATCATGAAGAGTTATTAACAAGTTATTAATCCTAAATTCCACAATTAAGCTTATTCAGTATCGGATATCTGTGGCATAAAGTGATATTGCATAAAATTCTATTTCACAAGCACGACAAAAGTAAAGATGGATGAAGCGTCACTTTCTAAATACGTTCCAAGACTGATGGACTTGCCATTTCCCACTTTTCCAGTCGCTTATCTGTCTTATTAGCTCACCCTGCGTAGCATGAGAGCTATTGAATTCCTCCTGTCCGTCCGTCTGTCTGTCCGTCTGTCTGTCCGTCTGTCTGTTAACGACCTTTTTGCATCAATTTATGCTAATTAAAATGTCCCTGGTCCATTTTTTCATAAATTAATAGCACCGTTGGTATCTGACAATCAGAAACACCAAATGATGCGAAAGAATTGGGGGCCTTGATGCATAACGCACCAATAATGCATACTACTCGGCGGATTTTATTACACAATTTTGACATAAATTTTTCAAAATTATCGTTGATGGTTGGTAGGTAATTCTGCACCAGTGATGCACAATTTTTGGACTTTCCTCGATGCATAGTAATTATTGATCGATTTTGTTTAATTTTTCTGCACCATTGGTGCATAATTGCAAAAAAATTATGTATCTATTTTGTTGCTTTTTTCTGCACCTTTGGAGCAAGTTATAACCAAATCATTATTACAGGGTGAGCTACTTCTAACGTTACTACGGTTTATTGCTATTCAACTTATCCAGTGTCTTTCCACAAACAATTTTATTATTTTGGTACACAGATAAGAAAATTAAATGTTTTGAAAATTAAATCATTTGATTTCTTAAATTTTTCTCTATAAGGAGAAAAGAAAAGTGCCAACGTAAATCATTTACATAAACATGTACGTGTACATTTACCCTGCACGACAAAAGTTCCCTCATTAATTTGCATAACATATATTTATGTAGTACGCGTGAAGGAGAAGTAAGTGGTCAGAAGGATGTGAATATAAAGTATTTACTATTGTGAGATGTCCGACTTGTCTCTTTTTTCTCATCCTTCGTGAAATCATCTCATCCTTTTCAATTGTAAAGTAACCACCATCCTCTCAAACCAACATCAACATGGCCATTGAATAATCAATCAATCATTCAGAGTGATGAACCTTTCAACTAAATTAACTCAACGACGACGGCGGCGGCGGTGGCCTACCTAATACATGCCTACACAGCTAAGCTAATAAGTGGTTGGCATTTCAACTCATACATTCTTACTGTTGCAGTGTTGTAATGTAATGCAATTAGTAATCACAGTATGTAATTGCTATATGGGAAAACATAAGCAAACACAATAAAGAGAGTGAAACAATTACATGTCTGAATAACAAATTAACTATGTGCAAGTTTTATTTTAGAATGCAACACTGACTAATTTAATATTTACAGCACGATGGGAGTCAATCGAATTATGTATTGGCTGTTGTGTTGTGGAACTAATGAGCAGAATAATGATGGATGCAGCAATATCAGAAATAAATGATAATAAATAACGAAGGAGAGGAATAGCATTTATTAAAAAATTGGACTCACTTGTCGATGCAGATCTTCTCAACTTGCGGAACCAACACTTGCAACAATCGCATTACAGTTTGTAAAGGAAGTTTAGTTTTCCAACCCTGCACCCAATCCTGACTCGGAATCCACTTACTTTCACTCTGTATAAAAACCACACAAAAACGCATTGTTGTCAATCCCCACGTTACTTAGATCCATCAAAGCATTTGTTGGCTGTCAGCCTACACGACCACAAGGCAAACAATAATATCTATGTAAATGCTCTCAACAATGCAATACAGTCAGAGATTATGTTTTCGATATGGAAATCTGCATGGGTCTGACCAACATTACGGCTGTGGACTTGGATGTTATTGTACAATTATGCAATCATAAGAAATTATGTTGGGATTCTTAATGGAACGAATTAATAAACAGGTAATAATTGTTGCGGTAAATATTTTAGGAAAGAAAAGGTGTTATCGAAAACTACAAAACGTATCAACTCACCCCAGCCGATAAAACTGAGAAGGATCGCTGCATTTGACTATGGTTGCTTCCCCGAGACGAAGATGCAACGGAAGACCTGTGTTTCGCATTGGGAGACGACGTTTGAGAAAGTGGCATACTTTTAGATCGAGACATTGTCGAAGAGGAACTTTCGGTTTCGTCAGGCTGACTTTTGTTAGATAAGCTAATTCCACTATTAGATATATCCTCGTCTTTGCTGACGTTTGTCACCGTCGTGCCGGATGTCTCATTGTTATGAAAGGTCATCGCCTCATGCCCATCGTCATCATCCGTAATGATAAGATTGTCCTCCAGCGTTGACGTCGGGGTGCTCATCCCGTTACCATTTCCTCGGGAAGAAATATACAATTGACTCAATTGTTGTGGGGATGGATGTGCAGATTCTCGCTCAGTCATTTTTTCTATGCCTGGGATCAAAGTAATGCAGTAGTATTAGTATTTCTAAATATCCTGTCATTGTAATAAATCAAATGAAATCAAAATCTAAGTTTTTGGCATAAATTTGAAAAGTCATTGTATGAGTGAATGTATTGTAATAAAAATTAATGATAAAGAAATAAAGGGTTGCAATTCCCTAAATTCATTAGAACAAGAAATTAACTAATTAATTAAAAAATTAATTAATAATTTTTTGCGGGCCAGTCTCGAAAATATATGTATCATAATCAAAACTTGTCAAAATCATTCTCATATTAGAAAATGTGTCCCGTACACAAAAAGTTAAGAAATTGTTGATTTCCATCAAACAAATGTAAGCCAAGCCAAGCTGCGTTGGCGTGGAGGTTTGGAAAAATAGGAAATGATAAGAAATCGTGTTGCTTGTGTGCTCCGTTTGTACTGCCCTGTCGTAGCCAGCACTCACTCAGTCAACACGGTTTGATTTACGCTCATGAGGTTAACAAGCTTCCGAATTATTTGTTTCGCCATATCACAAAATTTTGACCTAGTGTTACGGTTATCATGTCGTCGAGCAGTGACAAACAGCCTACATCGTCTGCGACTACTACTCCCCCAATGAAGAGGAAGAAGTTGAACATTAACCAGACTGTTTTAGCTCCGGACGAAAGTTCAAAAATTGAACAATTGTACGTTAAGAGAGATGACGGAACGTTCGAGCCACTTGAGCGTAAGTTTATTCTGAGGAACTAATTATTGCACCTAATAATAGAATGAAATGTTATAACTAATTAATTATTTATCTTCAGGGTGTTCCCCTATTCAGGAAGAAAATGTGTCAACCAGATTTGACTGGGACACTTCCGTAGACATTGACGATGAAAAGTGGACGCCACCAACACCAAGGTCTCAAGTGGCATTTGTTTTTGACGCCTTGAAAACTCATCTTAAATGGACCGGAGTGGACAAAGACATGAAAAGCTCATCAGAAATGAAGAAGTAAGTTTAAATTAATAAGTTTTTGTAACATTTCTCCATCTCATAAATAGATTTATCTGAGCAAGACAAAATTTCAAACGTTTGAATAGGTTGTTGCGATCTGGGAAAACATTGATGATCAATCCACCTAGCAAAAATAAAATTCAAGTAACTGTAAAAAATGGATTTATAACTTATGGTACAACAGGGATTTGCAAGGACGACTATTGTTGGAAAGTTAGAAGTCTTGGGTTTTTCTGTGATGAACATGGGGATTGGAGCAAGACACATTTTTTCTTAAGGGACACAAGCAATGTCACACCCACTTTTGCACTTTTGACGACTCGCTCAACCCACTCCCCAAATAAGAAAATCACGTTGCAGCACATTTTGAATTCCACGAAGGATGCTACTAAGTTTATGGCGTTCAAAAATTATGAAGCCCAACAAGTCAGACCCAATGATGATGGACAGAATCATCCCTCACCTTGGGTCTTAGTCACTCCCCGTCCATGGGTCACTACTGGTCAGAAACAGTCGACCGAATTCCAAGATAGTGTCCGAATAGCTATTTCGATCCTGTTCTCTCTTGTCAACTCACGACAACCGGACCCTGAGAAGCATTACGTGTTGATCGCTGACCAAGTCTTTGTTCGGAATGCAAACTGGCCTTTGGTCAAAAAAGTACTCGAGCATTTCGGTGTTGCACCAGAGTTCACTGGGCACTCAGATCTTGGGGTGGGCACTGAATCACCGCTCATGAAAGGGACTGTTTTGGATCGAGGTGTGGGAAAGTCTTGGATTTACATGAAGATGGGAACAATTGGTCGTATTTATGTGGGTAAGTAACTATCAGAAGTATGATCAAAGTGCACCATAATTTAAACTTAATCTAGAAATGAAATATTTATGTAGGCATCAGAACTCAGAAAAAAAATTCAAGTATCAAAACCATTGCAGAATATCACAAGACCGATAAGGATGGACCAGATCTGTTTCAATGTCAAGACGATACGTTGGACCAGAAGAACGAGAACGAAATGATGGAAGCCGTGGGTCAAGTTGCAATCTGTCTCTGCGAGATGCTTGGTGGGGAAATCGACGGGGCTCCCATTAGATGTGATTTTCAGAAGATTGAGAACAAGTCAGGATGGAAGACGCGATATATTGAAATGTTAATTAAATTAGTTGGATTTTTCAGTAGCCGTTTGATTAAGATTGATATTCCAGACAGCATTGATTTCAGTGTTGTTGATTAGCAGCCTGTGAGAGATTATCTCCAACCCCCGTTTTTCAAGTAGTTTGATATTTTTGGAGTTGTTTGTTTGTAATAATTGGATTGAATATGAATTGACAAATAAATAATTATTAAATTGACATATATATTCGTAGACACAATTTCTTTTGATAATCATTGTTGAATTCCTCCACATGTTTTATCGACGAAACTTCAGTCTGATTTTGACAAATAGTTAGAACTGATACTTAAATTTAGCATTTAAAACGTTACATTATCGTCTCACCCGGGATCGTCGCCAAACTAACTTTGAGCGTCCCAGGTTCTGCGGGTAAAGCAGGTTGAGAGCCTTCCATGGAGGGCGATTCCAACTGACTGGATTGTGAAGTCGTGCTCTCTGCTAATGACGGCTTTCTCTCCTTTTTTATCGCCGGCAATGAAGATGATGCCGATGGGTTGATGGTCGGAGAACTACTTTTGTCTTTAATTAGGTCAAACTTGCCTTTCGAAGGTCGCTTTATCAAGGGCGACTTCTTCATTAACGATCTATTTATACTGCTCGAGTCTGTGGCAAGACTCGCAAGTGCATGAAACACGTGACGTTTGCGAATAATTGTGTAAATCAGGTTGGAATTTCCTGAAATGAACACGGCATTCATTTTAGGCATATAAAAATAAAACGCATTGTTTACACTATTAAATATGTACACTAACCATCGAATTGGTACTGAATAATGTTGTTGAATATTTCCAATAAGAAGAAAACGAGATGATGGTTGTTGGGAGATGAAAACAAAAACCACGGTGTACTAAACGCTTCAAGAAAGTGGAGCAGCTTGGTGGCAGAAACCATTGACAGCGTTTTCAGGTAAGGTGATACATTGACCAAAATGGTCAAAAGGCAATCAAATAATGGTTGCAAGCGTTGATGACTGTAATTTATATTACAAAATATTTGTTAGTTTATAAAATATATATTATTTTTATTTCCCTATCAAAAAATTACCCGGTGGTGATAATTTTGTGGAACACAATGACGAGAAGGTCGGCATGAGTTCCGGAGAAAACGGGTATATCAATTGGTACGGTGGTCGTGTAGGGTTTATTGAGACGAACTCCAAAATTCCTTTCCCCACTCAACAGTAGTAGAATAAATACCTAAAAGGTGTTAATTAAGTACAGTTTTTAGTTTTTTTCCCATGAGGAAGTACAATTTGTGTTGTGTTATCATTGTTGCAGTCACGCAGCATAAAAGGATCCATTTTTTTAAATTAAGAAAACTTACACCAATGTGCATCAGACCAACTCGGGCTACAAAAATCATAAACAATTATCATTATTTTCATTCTCATTCTCATTCTCATTCTCATTCTTATTATATATATTATTTATAAGCTACACTAAAGTTGCAATAAAGTAGGATAAATCAGTCTAAAAAAATCATCCGCAATTTAGGTATATAAATAGCCAGCAAGAACACGGTTACAAATGTGCATCTTATTTATATACGTTTTCAACCTGCCTTAATTTTTTAATCACGATTCAATACGGAATTATACATCTACACCCAAACCATCGTATACAAATCTGTCAAAATGTTGGTAAAAAAACATGATCTTACATTGGTCAGCTCTCGCCTCGTTCAAGAAAAAAAGAATCGGCACCAAAATCTGCAATGTCTCACTGCTCTTCAAAACAAAGTACAGGAATTTCTGAAAGACAGAGAACAAGAAGCAACCTTAACTTTAATTTTTCATCGAGGAGTAAAATCAGGCACAAGTAAATTAAGTTGCATTCATTTCATTATGATCCATTAAGATGGGCATTTCATATTTATCCCTTGATGAGCTTTCAATGCATGAAGATGTATACACATGCATGCATATTATGTACACCTACATATCTCACCTACTAGAACTAACTACTCTACAAACAACATATTTAACTCACCTTGTTGAAGTCGCAGAACTTCCAAAACGCTGTGATAAATTAAAGTTAGTTTAGTTAAAGCATGACTTGTATTCACACCAAACTTTTAAAACATTTTCATTAATTGAGAATTATCGTGATTAGGCTTATCATTTACTATCATCTTTCGTGGTAACTTTGTACATGGATCTGTATGATGTTGCATTGTTAATAATGTTTTACGTTGTATGAGTCAGTTTTGAGCGTCCTAGTTCTTTGTTTCATACATATTTATATCATATTGACGTACGCATGAAGTATATATTTTTATGAATGAAATACTTGGTTTTCTTTTTGGTAATTCTGCCATGATCAACAATATCACCAAATTAATTCCAAAAAAGTAAATGTTCTCACCAACGAGCAGCTCTTGGTGAAACTGAATCTTTTTTGTAGAGTTTGGAAGATATGTCTGTGTCAAAGGATTGTTTAGAAGGCGTGTGAAGCCTTTAAGAATGAAATAAAAATCCTCCTCTCTGAAAATATAATTAATCAATTATACGAATTTATGCATATACCACAAATTTCATTTTTGACTGCCTAGATCAATATTTTATTCTTTACTTTAGGTACGAAGACTCACCGGTGAATTCTTGAGATATAGTTGATGAATAGATTGTCCATATTGGGTGCAGTCTACAGCAAACAAAAGGAAAATGCATTAAACGTTTATTCCTGAGCTCTAAGCGTTGACATGAGAGGACGGAAGCGCTTCTTTGGTTTGGGTTTGCATGACGAGATAATGCGCTTATCTCACGTTTTATTAACCATCGCTCATCGTGATGTGATCAAGGAGTGCATTTAATTGTATAAGAGAAAATCTCGACTGACAATAATTATTATTGTGAGCAAAGACGCAGCAGCTATCAGATTAATCGTGTCATCGTAATTGTTGTCATCAACAAAAAAGTGTTGAAATCGTTGAAACAGTTATTTTAACCATCCACTGCCAACATGCAATTTGAGCTCGGTTTAGAATTAGACAAGGAGTAGCGAATGCGAAGCCTTCTTGTCATAAATAAAATTTCAACAAAAGTGGGTTGAAATTGCTTTCCAAATAATACGAAAAGTAAATCTCAGAAATTCTTACATCTTCCTCACACGAATTGTTACTGTCATGATCCAAAACTACGATGAGGACTTGCAATGCTGCTTCCACCAAGGGCTAAAAAATAGAAAATAGTAGTAGAGCACCGAGTATTATTATTACATATTTGCAACTTATCTCGAAATCTGAGAACGACACATGACATTAAATATACTTTGCATACCTCTCGACTATCTGCAAAAATGAGATGATTATAAGGCATTCCAATTCCGATGGGGTCATATGAAGCCACAACATTAAGCAAAGAGGTGAATAAGGGAAGAGCATGTCGATTGTCTCCAGACGAGAAAAACTCTATCCATCTGTTCGGGACGAGGGCATCTCCTGACGGATTAGGTAATTCAATTAAGGATTCAATTAGAATATGTCAGATGTAATTATCACATAATCCTGGTCTTTATAAGATAACGTCACCAGCACCAAAGGCAGCATGTTGGGTCTCTAGCCATACATACATACGTATACATACACATGATGCAACTCTACTTCTTATTAAATGATGTTCACTAATTAACATTCACCGCACCAAAAGGAAGGAGGAAGATTTTGCAGATCAGGTCACCCATCATGGTGGTTGCACAACGATAATTACAATAATAAAATAGTCATCGATCAAGCTTGATGTGACAGTTTCATGGCATGTGAATTGACTGGCCTCGTATCCACACACATCCACTTGGTTTGGTGGCAGTAGTGCACAACACCACCGAATTTTCTCATGTTGCATCAAACAAAATGTGAGATGTAATCACAATCTTATGAATGTGCATGCATATGTATTATCATTATGCATGTATCTGTGTGTGACACTATTATGTTACATGCATAGATCTTAAGGAGAAGTAGTGTGCTATGCGCTCCCTTGGTGTCCTGCCGCAGGTATCTCTAAACCCATGATAAATTAAGACTTTTACTTTTCTTGCGGCAAGAAAAAGACAATAAGAACATGGGGACATCGAAGAGTGAATAAAGTCTTGCAAATCGCTGCTTTTAACGTTCACTATATTTGCAGAGATGAGATCAAGAGGAATTGAGATATTTCACTAGATAGGTTTAGAATGGAGCGACATACATTTATACTTGAATATAGATTACAGATTGCATATTTATCGGCTCAGCTCTGTGAGTAAAAAAGGAGAGGACCAACATTTTAATTTTCAATGATGAATGTGCTAGACAATCTCTGAACCGTGCAAAAAGAAGATACCTCAAAGGTAAACGGATTCCATGTGTCTGTCGTATCTCATCCCTTCAGGAAATACTTTTAATTATGTACGATGGACACTAGGATTACAGGAATGATGGATGAGACGAGATGAAATTAATATTAAAGTTGGGGAGATTGAGACAGAGAGAGAAAGTTAGGGGGCAAGTTGAGAGAAATTATAAAATCCAGTTTGCCTATACGCACAACTATTTATGTACAAAGTAGATAAAAACTTACCCACAGGTTGGATGTAAATCGTCTCACTGAAGCAAGTCAGGAGTAATTTCAAAATTTCTGTTCTCGAGCTGTCGTGTTGAGGGACATGATTTGGATGATTGGCGAACCCGACACCTGCTTCCCATATGTACTCGCAGCTAATATCCATTAAAAACAATTAAATTTGTTGCATTTAAAGAAAGTTTACGATTAATATAAAGAAATGTAGATCATATTACCTATCAACTGATTGCAAATCTTCAGCTCGATCCTATGCAGAAACATATAGTCAAAATTCTTCAACTTCAAATACATTTGGAAACTCGTAAGTAAAAATGTCCCACAAATACATACATGCAACTAAATAATAAATATGCATAATTGATGAATTTATAAAGTGGAGTCCAAATCTTCACTACACTCAATCAGACCATCAGCTTAAAAGCGTTTTCAGTAATCAAGAGCTAAATAAGTCGAAGATCGTCCAATTTAGAATCAAATTAAGGAATCGTTGACGTTTTGGAAAATGAGATAAGTGGATTGGCTTGACATTTCAATCACTAGTAGTTGATTGGTGCAAGTAGATGCATACACAATTTGAAAAATTAATACTAGATTTGGAAATGCAAACATTTATGCAAACGTTTCGAAATTTTACACTTATTCACCTTCTGTGTTGTGCAACATAATAAATTGAATTTGAGTTTCTCATAATTTGATCAAACAAGCCGATTATCTAATTGTAATAAGTGATTCAATTATCACTTTCTTCAGTAAAAGGTTATGTCCACTAGAGATCTGAATAATATAATTGATTCGAATTGCTGTTTTTTCTCACAATCAACAATCAGATACGAATAATGGAGTGTACTTTAAAATCTTAGAGTAATCATGCATATTAAATTTGGTCAGTGGGGCAAGAGTCAATAATTACGTTGCATGTAAATATGTAAGTCGTAAAGTTTCTTCCTTACCGGACCAGTCTTCTTGTTTGCCGATACTGTAAAATCAGGACAAAACAGCAAGTCCTGAAATAAAAAAGTTGGTGCTAATATTTTTCAAGGTATCGTCATGTCTCAACTATTTGGAATGCTGTCATTAATATTGCGTCACATTCACACACTCTTCAAGGGACATAATAACCTGACGCTGTGCATACTCGGACAAACAATGTTGTAATCATCGCCATGAATAGAAGTTCCCTTAAAATAATTGTGTCCATGTCATGATAAAAACTTTTTATAGATTGATTCACGTACGCAAAGAGCGCTGATAAGTGCCTTGGCAAGTGGCATTGTATCGTCATCATCGCGGGGCTGATCACTGGGTAGGCTTGACCAAAAGAAGGATCGCCAGTCTGGATCTTTAAAAATACATAAATTAAATGGGCATCATTTTCTCCTGTGCAGCTCTAATTTCAAACCCAACCAATTTTTTACTAATCCCGTCAACCATCTCGTGTCATATATTTCATGTGCATGAATAATATGTATTTGCAGTTGCAAACCTTCAAACATGTACGGAATTATGTGGGTCAGGAGACGAATACAGTTGAGAGCTATTGGCAAAAATATGTATAAATATTTGAACTTCAATATTTGTTGTATCATCAATACTTCTGTTTGACAGGGACCTGTTTGCTGATCTTGCTGCGTCCTACAACTTGTATCCACGGCTTTGACTAATTTTTCTACGGCTTTGTAGCACAGCGTGGCCAAGTTATTCGGAGACTCATCTCGTAATTGTCGAATTTCATTGCCAGGGATAAGTGTAAATACGTCGTGGGGACCTGCTACCGAGTCCGACCAGAATTTGTCCCAAAAATCATCATCATTTGGATCCACTGGCTACAATATAAATCACAGCACAATTTAATTACATATATCATTGATTCATGATGCTAATATTACTGCACAGTTATATTAAACCAGTTATTTGGCAGATGCATTGACACCCCACACCTTCTGTGGAATGCTTAATACATAGTTTATTCTACTATCAACTGTACAGATCTGCCCACCAGTTCTGGCATTGGAGTGGAGGCAGAGACCACTATTAGAGATCAAATTCAAACTTATTGATTAATGCTCAGTACTTGACCTGATTTAAAAATGCATCTATCATAGGACCAACATCTAAACTGGGTTTCATTAGTCATTGATAAATAATTAATCTTCTACAATACTGAAGAAATGCATCAGTCCCCACCCATTAAATTCAACTATTGTTCAATAATATAATATTCTCATTTGACCACTTTGACTGTTTAAAACCGAAACCCCACTTTGCGACATTTTATTGAATACCCAAAAATAATAAAGTAATTGAAAATGCATAATTTGTCACATACCCTGGTTTTCGTAGCCAACTCCACAAATGCTTTTCTGAAATAAAGCTTGGTGTCCGCATTCCCCATGATGGGTTGTCTTTTCTTGGAGACTTGTGCTTGCAGGTAGTTATTTCACAGATCGCATGTGTATAAATATGTTTGATTTTTATGTATACTTTGCATGAAAAATTGAAAACTATTCATGAAACGTTTAAACAATTTTATATTATTTTTTATAATGTATTCTCAACTAAATTGATTTCTAGCTTATTAATAATAATTATTATTACTAATAATAATCAGAGAATGTTTGTTATCAGTTATCAATGTTACTATAGTCCGGGAGTCCCAGGGGCTAACTGCAGAGAAAAAAAATCGTCAGGAAGAGAATGGAAGAGTGAAATTTTACAAGAAAAAACGAGCAATATGTTTGAGACGTGTCAAAATGTAGCTGGACGGAGTTCAATTATAGTTAGTGGCGAATGCGAGCAACAATAATGACAACGTTACCATACGACAACTAAATAAGTAAGCTACTCAAATCCTGCGGTTTGTGTTAATCCGTGGTGTGGCTTATTTTATTTAACTCTTCTCTTAATGCGTATTAATATGTAAATGTGGTCGCAAGGAAGGGGACAATATGTGTAATGCATCAATAGTGGTGGAAGAACAAATACCAACATATTGAACGTGTGGGCTGAAAGTTGAGGAAAACCTGGTCGTATTCTATGGCACTTCACGCAAGCGTTGTTCAAGATATCGATCCGATAAATAATTCTGGAGTACAAGTAGCTAGCTAAACTATGAGCTTTTTCACTTTCATGCATAGCTGCATGCTGATATTCCAAGTTCTAATTGACTCATCACAAATAATTAAAGATGATGAAAAAATTGATTGGACAATTATGTAAACATCCACTTCTACCGATAATTGTAATTCAACTAGCAAAGAACATGCAGAAACATACATGGAATATTACTTCATCTTCCCAGATTCATAAATATATAGTGCAGGTATGAACAGAGTATGCTTCTAGTAATTTTGAATAGGTACAGTTCACCAGTGTGACAAATTTCTTGACATCAAACTAGCAAAATTGCACTGATGCAATGCTTTATTAACACCAGTGCCACTTGGAAATGAGACATTCGTGCAATCGGGCCTAAATTTTTAAAACGAAAACACTTTTTTCTATTCAACCGTTACATAATTTTGCAAACTAAAAAAAAGAATTGGGCTTCAAATTGACAAATGAAGAATGAAGGTGCTCAAAAAGTTAAAGAAAGATAGCTGCTAGGGCTGTACATATGTAATTCAGCAATATTTTTTGCGAATGTGAATGTTGATTGGGTTGCAGAGAGGAAAAAGCGAAGCAATGAACTACCAAAATTAAATTGAGTGAGTCTGCCACATTATCATCAAAATCGTAACGCATTGTTTCGCACCTGTCGATAATATTCCTCTTCTGCAATTACCTCCAATCTTCCACCTGTCTCTATCAATGCTATTGAGCATAAATTAACTGCTCTAAAGCATTGTACATTGTGCACGCCAAATGAACATCTTCTCTGCGAGATAAGATGTTGCAGTCAGACTGTCACTCGTAAGCATTTATTTGATCTCAATCTCATCGCAAATAAATCATGTTTCCGTTATCTCAATTTTGCCAATTTCTCTTCTGCATAAAGTGTGTGCAATACTTTTTAAGCACAGTAATTTAATTACAAACAATTAAAAAAAGTTCTTTCAATCTTGGGCTTTATCGTGGTTGTTTACCGATGTATGCATGCATGTATTATGTAAGGTTTAAACATGTATTAATGTGTAACATGCATACATATCTGGTCATAAATGACCTGAACGGTTGAGAGTAGGACTATTGCCTAATTTGCTGTTTTGTCGCTCTAAAAGCAAGCGCATAACTGGAAAGCAAATCATCAAAGAAAACAATGAAATGGACTACAAGCTCTCAAAAACTCATAACAAAGTTAGGTAACAGCTTACTTACATATTTCACAGTTTTTATTATTTTGTATTTTAATTTGCTGCGGCGTACATAGCATAATATGTACACCTGTTGCATACCTGCAAGTGTGTATGGGAACTTTGGCCCCATACTATAACTATGTAATAACTAGCATCTAGTACACTCTTGATTGACAATAATCTCAAAATGCAAGTACGATAAACAAATTCTGCAAATGTAAGGATACAGCATCACAATTTCTACTCTCAGACCAACGTAAGTATGTAAGGTGTATCCCCGTAGGCAAAATTTTCTACAACTGCAATTACTTCCCCTCCACCTCAAAGGCTTTTAAGAAGTACACACAACATCTCGCCATTACTAAACATCATCTACACCTCTATGCAGCCACATTTTAAGCCAGTTTCAATTCCACACGGTGCAGTCATTCATCGAGTCTCACAAGAAGAACACCTTACAAAGTGGATCTACGAAAGAACTACCTTGAAGAAGTCAAAGTTTTTACCATAAAGCATTCATAAAAAGCTTTTGAAATTTCAGGAAAAAATGTGTAGTGTTTTAAAATAAGAAAAGTGATTCTGCGCTTATTTATACACGTATTCATCCGAAGAAATTCATCTCATTTGTGGTACAAGCCGACACTTTAAAACTGACAGCGAAAATTGTTCTGACGTTTATGTTGAGTATTTTGAGGTACTGAAAATATTGCGATAAGAAGTGAATAAGCAGAAGCGCAAGGGTGAGGTGCAAAGGAAAATTGGCCGACGTTGTGCTGTTTGGCACCATTTCTTATTTTCTTGAATCAATTGAATTGAATGAAATGTGTGTTTGATAAGTGATCCGTAGCAGATCCTTTGAACCATTTCACTTTTGAAAGTTGCAGAAACTTATTACAATAACATTATACGACACACTAGCGAAGCAAAAGTTTTACGACGTGAATTTGTCACCTCCTACATACGTACTTACATACGTGCATAATTATTTGTTTTTTGTGTTCTGTATCAGTGACCATCTCATGAATATGGGTTCACTGGACTACTGACCATATCGTAATATTGGATCGTTGCACATGTAAGTTTCCATTTATTTTATTCGTGGCAATATGTTACACAAAGTTATCAAATCGTATTTTATACATAAGGATATGCAATAACGAAATGGTATTGGTTCTTATGTACAAGTCCATGGTACCTATACACATATAAAAAAAATTGTCTTTATGATTTGTCATTAATGATCTCACATCCTGCTGGTGATTTAGTTTCATAACGGTTCGGTACTTAAGAGACAAGTTCATTTAAGGGGTACTTGTACAACTCTGTATCTTGGCATTTCCTACATGGTTTCTTCTGGGGATCCCAACCGTTAATCAGCAAACCCAAACCCAAGTAAGCTCTTTTGTCCCTCAAGTGAACCCTCGACCATGGTGAACACCTCTTAGCTACAGTGTCAAATGAGTCAAATGTATGTAGCTGTAAACGTATGGCTTGGGAATTCCAGAGAAGATGAGCTTCACTTTCACATTCTATGTACTTCTGGGTTATTCCATACGGGACATGACTCTCTGTTCAAAGAAGTTTCGTATGTTTATTATGTGCACTGTTAATCGATGATTGCATGTGTGCAATAGACAAACAGAAAAGGTTGACCGTGTCAACGGACACGATCCATGTCTTGGAAAAGGATATTTGAGATAAACTCTCTGAATTATTTATACTCTATTTATACAGATGATTGGATATGTTTTGTGGCAGTTTGTGTTATCCTTTTCAAGTAAATTATTTTCACAAAGTTCAACAACTCAGACACAGCATTAAAATTTAAGTAAAAAATTGTAACTGAGAATATAAACATAAAAATAATTCATAGCTCCGTGTACCTGAGACTAACCAGAATTTTTAATAATCCTTACAACACCGACACTTCCTTATGGGTTTGACATTGACGTTAAACTAAAGATCATGAACAATCTTGGTAAATGCATTCGGCTGGATTGAATGGGCACCGAAAAGCCATAAATTCTAGAATTTTATTGCAAAACCAGTAAATTAGAGTGGTAATAGACATGGATTTTTTGGTATTGCAATATATTGCAATAGCATTTCCTTAATTTCATACAGAGCTCGGCGGATATAGAAGGCAAACTTCTAAATATCCGTATTGCCGAAATATCACCATTCAATATCCAGATATCCAAACTCCATGGGTGACACGAGCTATGGTTTCATACAATCATACTGTTGAAACACGTTTCATGTATTTTTTTCAAGGAACATTTGCACATTAGCTTAATCGAGACAGAAACACGTATGTGAGACAATCTCCCACTGGTTTAATTCAACTTGCAACGAAAATTACGGCAAATTTACGGATTAGTTCAATACTGCGTGGGAGATTGATTGTCGTCACTTTTGCTATTTGTGGTTCTACTCTGTAAGCACTAAATACTTAATTCTTGTTTAGTTGTGGACATTGATTCTTTTTGTTTGCCATTTGCCATGCCCATTTAGCTGCACTTCAGATATTTTTAACCTTCACCAAATACATATACACGTTCTGGTGGGTTCGTGTGAGTAGAGCTAACAACAATGTTGTGGTGGTTCGGTTGAAAAGATAACGAGATCGAAAACCAAATTAATATAATACAGTTTGCTCGTTGAGTGTGTATCGTTACTCTCGATTGTTCAACTTTCTTCCTTTAAAACCATTGTAGCGGAATTGTGGTTTAGTTTAATGAAATTTCGATCAGGGTTAAAACAACTAATCGTAAATCTTCGTTCTTGATTTAACTAGATCATGTAAAATTTTGACGTATCCTTTATTTTACTCGCCGGTCTTTCAATCTAATCGTGCTTAACTAAAATCATAAATAATAACTATTATTGGTTTGTTCTATTAAGTTGATTGGCTGTGTATGACATGGTACCAAGGCATTAAGCAATTCTGTAATTGTGTTTCACAAAGCAAAATTCTACCATAATTCATAAGTACAATCGACTACAAAGAAATGTTTAAAAGTCGGCTAAATTGATAGAAAACACTCCAACACATACACCTCTTTCAAACCAATCCAGTAGCTGTCATAAAACGACGTAACGACGTCTAAATTGCACGTCATTCTTAGAAAAAGCAAGTTGCACATTCCCAGTTTCCGACTGATGATTAAAAGTCACTAAAGCTAACGTTGAAAAGATAATAAGGAATCTCGTGAATATATTGTTGTAGTATCTGTGTCGGTCATGTTGTAAAAATATTGCGATATTACTATTATAATCCTTGTAATTTTTGCAGCTTTTCTGATAATCTTGTGCACGTGATTTTTAAATGGAATTATGCAGGCATGACCTGTGATGCAAACACGTTATAGACATAAAGTTCTCCGTATGTTGTCTTTTGGTAATTCGCTAAATTATTCCCTCTGATAAACATAGTAAAACACACATGTAATATGAAATCCAAAATTTTGAGATATCACGCCCCATTTCTGTTTTCTGTCGTTGTTGGCTCAATTATAAGTAACAAGAAGTTGTACTTCTTTGCTCTTCTGGGGTATAAAATAAACGAACAAGAACGCAAGCATTTGCATACATAAATACAAAATCTGTAAAAAATAGCTAATTTATAACACTCTGAAGGATTGAGAAGGTGATACGGATTTTTCCTTGTATCCGGTAACATTGTTTTCAGAAATAGTTTATCGAGTAATGGAAATCTAATTCAAACAGTATACTTTTTATACGTGAATGAAAACTGAGTGTATTATTAATAAAGATTTTTATCTCTTCAACATGACACGAATATATGTACATGTACATACATTGCAACCCGTATTTAATTATGGGTACTCAAATTGACTTTTCTTTATAGATTGTCCAATGATGCGCTTAATCTGTGTGTATCTTTTCAACATAATCCACCTTGTTTTACATATATATATATTTTTTGACAGCTTAGCAATTTCTGTGTTGATCCCACCTCCAAACAAAATATGGTTTTGGGTGGTTCTTGCAAGTAAACAAGGTCTACTATGCTGAACGAAATAACCAACTTTTTTTTTGGAATAGAAAACCTACAGCATGCATCGAATCAAATCTACCCTAAATAAGAACAAACCGTGACATTGCAAATTAAAGAAACTAACATTGATCACATGAACTTTTGCAATGTTTTAAGGGATGATTTTTATGGTCGACTGTTTATTATTCTATCATCCCAGTTTTAATAATTTGTCAAATAGAACGTGGAGTTCGCTTATAGATTTTTCTCAATTTTCAATAAAAGTTTACTGGAAAATGCTTATTGTTCCATTTATAGACATCTCCGCCAAGCTGATCTTTAGCAATTCTCCAATTTTGTCATCATCTCAGCAAATTATAAATAAATATCTAATAATTTATTTACTTTAGCAGAAAGTAATCATTAAATATTATTTCTGTTTACTACCGGATGTTAATGTTCTAAATTGGTTCGTGGTAGATAACCTATTAACCACATATAGTTACAAGCTCAATATTTTTTGCAATGTCAAAACCAGTACTGAAAGTAGCAAAATCCAATGATTTACATTGCTCGACTGACTACCAGTTCCACCTTTCCATTGTTTTTCATTTCCGCACGCGTTGCTCTTGTTGTTATGTGCATATGATGCCACATTAGACTACATTGAAATTGTGACAGACCACACAATTAAGGTATACTAACCGACATTCCACAACTTATTGCTTTTACCCATGAGGAATAACCTGCTTTATACTTGGATGCATATGCACAGAAAGAAACAGTAGAATCCTCCTGAAAAAGTGAACAATATCTTTATTACCATTATTACATGGCATTACGTTTTCCTTTGCAATATCACCTATATAAAATTCCTCACAAAATTTAAAATTCAGAAACCGGTTTTAGTTAGAACTGTCTTACGTGGACACACATGCACGTAACTATTTATACTAGGACAAGACACAAACGTACACTTATTCGACGAAAATGTATAACATTTGGAATTGCAAAGTGGTCGAACGTTTTGTAACTGACGACTTTTAATAATTCAATATTCAGCGATCTTAGTTCGCAAGTGTGAAACAATGGAAGGAAGTGCATATGTGTATGCATGGATGGTGCATGGGGAATAAGATGTGGAAATGAGTCACTCCTGCTAATCAGAATTGCAAATACTAGGACTTGTGCAGTTCACATCATCTTCCTTCTTCACAATTGATGAGGAATGCAAAAATAAGAATATGAACTATTGGGAGTTATTGCAGGTACTATAGGCAGATGTGCATCTGCACTCTCCAACTGCTTGATGGTATGTTTATATAGTAAAGTAATTCAGTAAATGGTCATGCTCAACTTCATTGTCCTGTTGTCAATAAAGACGTGAGGAAGAGAAAGTGAGTGAGTGAAGTGATTCAAATCAGGCAGTGTGTACAGATATAAATTTGAATTCGATTTTGTGAATAAAAGTGTGATTGCTTTGCTAAATAATAAATATGTGTCGTATCAACTCATCTTCCGAAAATAACTAGCAAAACAGAAAGGGACCACTGCTGAGAATTTCAGCTTCTCGCTACATAGCATTTTTTGCCTCTTCAGCAAACACGTGAAATTATAGCAGGTCTGTTCATCATTTAAAGCTGCTTAGAATTAGTCAAAAGCATCAACAATAAATTAAGGATAATGAACGCTTCATCATATATGTAAAAGTAACCAACATTTGTAAACTACGCTTAAATTGCGTGGGCCCAGTGTGAAATTTCGGTGAATGTTAAATTACTGTAATAATCATTCCAAAACTCTCACTCTTTAAACTAACGGTGAACAGTAAGTAAAATCACAGGCGAGTGGTTACTCGTACGACTGGGGTGTTTGTAAAAAATATCGTATCATTTAATTTAGGATTCGTAGATTTAACAGTAAAACAATAAATACGTGAAAAAGAACTCACAGAATCGTGAGCAATTTGTTGACATATTTATTCACTGAGATTTAGCTAAATGCTGGATTATATTATTATAAGATTATGCACAGATAGTGTTAAACTACTATACGCAAAAAAAATTTGACTCTCACAAATCTCATTGTCAGTTTGATATTTATTTTTCTAATTCCCTTCATTAAAACATGGGCATTTAAACGCTTCACCTGCCACTCTGTCTGCACTCGTGTCATTATACTGTCGCTAAAAAATATATGTTTTAATATTCTTGTGAAATTCTCCACAATTATGGGCACCAACCAGTGAGGGATTTTAGCTCGAAGCTAGAGGTAGCAAATTTTTTGAAGCATTTTGTGACTTTACAAAAGGGCCAACAGGGACGAGTGAAATTGGAAACATTTCTTGAAAGGATTTCAACAGTGAAACAAGACAATTTGTAATTCAACTGCGAATGAAATGAGACTCACTGGGCTTAAGGTTGTGTAATTTGTGTTGTCAACAATTATATCAGCAGCAGCAGCAGCGGTCTCTGAATATAACCAGGCGAGAGATTGCTGATTTTGAGGACCAATTCAATAGAGATGGTCACAATGTAATGAAATTGATGTGCTTGCATTTTTGAATAATTCGGAATGGTTGCAATACCATTATTCTGTTTTCTTTTTTCTGCTGACTCCCCCCGAGTGTTCAAGGTGCCAAAATTTAATAAGTTAAAATGTTACTAAAATAGAATAAAACTACTTTTATTAGCTATTCCAAGTACGTAAGAAATTCACAATCAATTCGTTGCATGGCTTGAAACAAATTTTAGATTTTTTTTGTTGCTGCTAAATTTTCAGTGAATGAACAAACAATAAATTGCACGTGCAAGAAGGCTGTCTTTCTAAAAATAAATTATTTTGGATATGTATTGACTGGACTTTGTTCGATATGGTATCGCACACGTACATATCTATTAAAAACGTGGCATCCTATAATATAGTTACTTAACTGCATGAGGAGCATTAATTAAAAAATATATACAATGAATTTTTGTATGGATTGCGTTTCCTCCTTTTTGGTCTTTTCATGTATGCTTAACTTGGAAGCATGACAGATTCAAACACATTCAGTCAGTCACACATGATTAAATTCATGTGCAATGAATGAAATCGCAATATCTTTGGAACTTCTTTATGAGACGTAAATGGAAGAATAAAAGGAATGAAAAATCATTCCTCTGCGGTCCGTGCATTTGCTTGTGAGCTGTAAACTGAGCCTCCACACCCTTTGAAAATCAGCATAATTAGTTTCTGTCCATTGTTTTAAACGGTCTAATGTCTGACTAATCCCACCGTTCGAATCTATTGTACAGACGTCTGGTGTAAAAGACCATTGTTTGTGTAATGCATTTCAATATCGTATTTAAAATAGGTGGTGGCATTTACAATGTGTTTTCTCATTTTTGTAATGTGAAAGATTTCAACATTTGTGGAATTGCAACAATAATGAATTATTTAAGGCCAAAGGTCAATATGGTTCAATTTGATATTTATATGATCGTGAATTGATAAGGATGAGTAAAATTGCAAGTTCAAATTGTTTTCATAACTAAATTGACATTGGTTGTGTGCATTTACTACTTTGACTGACGTATGTACGTTGGTCGGTCGTGTCGAGCATTTCTTCAGAGCACTCAAGCGACAAGAAAACCTGAGAACGAGCGATGCTTATCTTTTGTATACGCACTACACGGTCACCACCACAAAGTTCATTTGTTATATGGCTTTCTTTTTCCTCACATACCCTTCACGACCAATTATTAGTAAAACCGTATATTATATGCATGTTTCTGTCTATAATAAGGCCTTGGCACATTATTTATGCCTGTTTACTGTTTACTCTGAAATTAAAATTTACTGTGTAGCTATAAAATAGGCGAAAATAAATACACATTGCAGCTACAGGTTCCAAAGTCTAAAAAATCTATCTGTCCCTCTAACAATCGGACATTAGCTTCTTGTGTAAATGAAGATTCCAGATAATTAGTGACATTTTTATAACAAGATACCCATAATCGATTTAATATTTCGGTTATATAGCATCAACGATACTTATGCACATACGTATGTTTAAACAAGAGAAAATCTTGTTATCTCACATGATTTCAACTGAAATGAGCCAATGTTCTTGATGATATCAGAAAATTTAACCATATCCATATATTTACATGTATGTTATGGGAATCACATAATAAGTAACTTATGGTCTACGTGCTATAAGTTACGCATATGTAAACAAATTAAAATTTCTTATATAATTCACACAAACCATCTTCGTCCAACAATGATCTGAAACAACAGAAACATGGCTTGATACATATAATGAGGTACGAATGTTTATCAGCATAAATAATCAACCATTTATTTAGTCTCCACCCTCTTCTGATTTTATAAGTTAATCAATATTTTGAGGCATTTACATATTCGTTCTGAAGAGCTAAATAACTTTTCAATATCAAAACTGATTAACGAAGAGTTTCACAATATTACAGGACATGTGTAACTGTGTTGCAGGCTTTTTGCTCATCATTATTATGCATTATCTAGGTTTCATGAGAAATATAATTCATAATTTCTTTGGTCGACGGAAACAATAGGAAAGGCGTGAATAAGCAGCCTTGACCCGCACTGCTGTCTGTGTGTCAAAGTACTCTGTCTGTAATGTTAAGATGGAGTTTAACCATTAATGGGAAATCTTTTTCTCGACGTAAATTATTATTATCCTCATAACCATCTTCTTAAGCAGTAATACTGCATGAGGAGTGCATTACGAATGCAACGCAACAATGTGGGAATTCTTTATCGTTGGTTCGTCAGGTTGTCTATTCCTTAATTGTTTATCTTGTTGGTAGATATTAGCATCTCATAAATCACTTCAGCTACTGCATCACTTTTTTTATTTCGTAATTAATATTGAATCGATATACCTGCGTACACATGTAAACGTTGAGGCACAACGTTTCATTTCACTCGCAGCTTCATTTCTGTAGCAAATGCTTATTTATGCAAGAATAAGTAGTTGACATCGGCGCTTTTCTGTTTTCTTTGTCTACATATAATCGAAAGCAATTTTGCGTACATCCGTTTTGTAACTGCCTGTGCGATAACTACATGGCAGCATCAATCATTATGAATAAATAAATAAGCATCCACTGAATAAACATGCTTCTTGCGAGTTCACGATACATGCATGGCTTGTTAAGCAAAGACGTGTGAGGTGGTCGGCATCCGGAATATCCCAAGTGAAAATCTAGGTCAACAAATACCCTCAAGCTAGCCTGACATTTGTCTCTTCTCAATAAACCTTGTGGCATGATGAGATCTTCTGCGAGTGACGTTAATAGGAGTGAGTGAGATGGACCAGGCCTGATATGCACACATGCATTAGGGGACATTGCATTGATTTATTAAGAATGACACGCATTTTTCACTTTCCTTACAGGTGAAGAATTTTAATGGCCCAATAACAGAGTTTGTGGCAATGTTATCTACGAATAAAATGGCGAATTGATTAAAGGAAAAGTATTTTTCAGATGTAATAAACTCCGTTCATCATCTCAGTTTTTATGGCTTTTTTGTTTTTTATACTGTTTGTTTATTAATAGATCAGTTTCTAAATTTTGTTTAATACAATGAAGCTGAACAGATTAGACATGACATAGTAATTGGTGCAGACTATTTCTTCAGATTTTTAGCAGAATATAAATTAAAAAACGTAATGACCCAAATGGACCCAAAACGCAAATTTCTATTGAATTCCTTTGAACATGTATACGTTTAAGCCTGTACAATTGAGTAATATTGGGTTTGGGGTATGTAGTTTAGGTTAGTTAAAGGTAGTTATTTTGATAAGATGTTTATTATTGTGGTTAACTCTAATCAACTCATTATTATTATTATTTGTTACAGATTTCATAGAGAGCCCAGAAGTTTTCAAGTTTCGACTCCTGACCAGCCACAAACACAATGGGGCGATACAGCCCCATAAGAAATGCGTCACGCCGATTGGAATCCAACGCCACTTTTATAGAAACCACTCACGACACAATCCCAAACAACAATAGAACAGTGATCATGGATTCCCCACCACCAGTGTACAAACCCTTTCGCGACAATGATGGCGAGTCCTCCCCGTCTACCCTCCCAATTTACGCCAAATCTCAAATCTGTGCTCGGAGAAAACAATGTGTTTCGTCGCTGCATAGGAAATCTTATTTTAGAAAATGCAATGCCATTATTTGGAAATTAGCCGCAGTATTTTTAGTCGTAGTACTTTCTTCTGAAACTCTTTTTTCCTATTGCTCTGCGGAGCCCGTTGTGCCAAGAAATGTGCGTACGCTGCCCACGCGAGTGACTTACGGAGACATAGAAAAGGCAAACAAGACCTGTTCTCCGAAAGATACCTGTGCACCGAGTCGACACGGTATACATATATCATTTGTATTCTGTATGCATTATTGATTTTTTATTAATCTAACCTTTGACCTTATCAGATCGGAATGGTGCCATGTTCAACGATATAAAGAGAAGAAATTGTTTTTGTGATAAGCAATGCATAGTGTATGACGATTGCTGCATAGATGCGACGTTTCGACGAGATCCGAATGTGACATACAAGAAGAGTCTAGATGTAATAAGATCTATGTACATATATAAAATCGGATAGGTTTTGGTAGTGCGAAGTTGCTAAATTCTAGGTTTTAATTGCAGGTCTTCCAGTGCGTTCAACTGAGACATTACGGATCTTACTATGTAAGTTCCTCATGTCCCCAAGTTCCTTGAACCTTACTGTTTCTGCTTTTTTAGATATTACAAACTGCTACTTTTCTCTTGTCCACACTGAAAGTGGCTTAAAATTAATGAGTAATAACTATGCTTTACAGATGAATTCCAAATGCCCAGCTTCATGGAAGGATGATATGGTAAGTTCCTTGACATGTCGTTATGCTATTGCATGTATATTTATATAATAACTGACCACTACATATATATTCTTACATATATGCTGAGGAATATTTAAACCATGTTTTTTCGTAAAGTGCATGGAAAATGTATGAGAAATCTAGATCCATTCGCTTTCAAAATAATTTAGCACTTTTATGTACATGGACAAGACCACAAGTGAATTTTACACGCTATGAAAATAGGAAATGTGCCGTTTTTTAAGTAGTTACTGATTAGATAATAATTGATGTACTGCTTAATCAGCTATAGCATCACAATTTCAATTTCAGTGATGATTGCTCGTGTCTGATTGATAATGATGATAATGTATCCATTTCTTTACTTTCCAATTAATAGACTTACTTACATTGTTCCTGAATGGTCTTTTCGACGACGTAGACCTCAGCAAGTAATCAATTTTGTTGAAACTGTTGGATGCTGAAATTCTGAAATGCGAATTACTCGATCAGTACTCGAAACTTTCCCTAATTAATTTCCTTATAAAGGAACGCTCAAAGTAGATTACGCAGTTGAGTGCATCTTGTAATTCATGATGATCATATAAATATATCCACATTTTAATTTATATATAAATATATAAATATATATGATTTTCCTTATGAAAGAGTTATGAGCAATCGTTGCATGTCTATTTTGGTAATGAATTTTTGATGGATGCTCATTTCAATGAATATCTTATAATTAATTGTGTGTACAAGGAAAACTTTGCAACATTTGGCAAAAAATAGCAATTTTTTTTTGCATTTGCATGTTTAATACTCTTTCTGGTTGATATTTCGTAATCACAAAAGGAAACATGCATAAAAACTTAAAATCTCGTAACTCAAATAATTCGACGAGAAAATCTCCGCCCACCAATTCATCAAACTAACAAACTGCAACGACTTTAAGTGTTGGGTTTCTACAAAACAATTTTGGAATTATTTGATGAATTATAAATATATGTAATAACCATCACCAGCGTCATCAATACTACAATGATGGACGGATGGCTCTCCCTAAAAGTCGATAATAAAACTCAAACGCATCTATGTACATACAGCTTTGAATATATATGCTAATTAAAGTGGACGCTCGTACGTTTCTTTACAATGATTTACAACATTTAACCGCAAATCATGTGCACAAACTAGACTGCTATTGATATTCGCAGGGAGGAAATGTCTTGATTATTTGGTTGCATCATATTTGAGTATAATGTCATCACCACAGATTTTTTATGTAAATAGTACATGTGAATATGTTACAGTAAGAGTAACATGTTACTTGTTAAATTAATCATTTTTGTTATTATGTTTTTTTAGATTAAAATGGGTTGCGAGGATCCCAAAGCCACTGCATTCGATCCAATCTCTTCGCTTCCCATAACAAATTTGCGGACTGGATTTACGTACAAAAACTATTTCTGTGCCCTGTGCAACAATCAAACTTTCACCGATGGGATGGCGATGTGGCAACCGCAATTGGAGGTACATATTTAATACAGAAACCACTTGAAATCTCGTACCTCTAATACATAGAGCTGATATGCAGCAGTGATAGTAGATATATACATGAGAATCTCAAAATATAACATATTTTTTCAGTGTCCTTCTGTGACCAACAAAGAGAAATTGGATTTTTCCAATCAAACTATAAACAATAAATTAACATATCGAGCAGGTAAGGAAGCACGTGCTTATTTACGAAGCTGCCTTCTTAATTTTGCGTAAAATTTGCATTTTATCACCTAAATATATGCATTATTTTAATCCAAATTCAGACCAAGGAAAATGGGGTCTGCAGTTATCATACGGAGATTATGAAATTTTCCATGCCTGTAATGTGAATGCCTTCATCCCTGGTAAGATATATATCTGCACATTTTACTTATCCGTTTACCCGTGTAATTTTTAAATAATACTGACTGTGCTTAGTTAACTAAATCAATATGATGATAATCAATTTCAGACAGTGTAACACATCTCGTAAGACCATGCACTCCCGTGATTAAGGATTGTCCTGCGAATTACAATAACACAGACGTAAGAATCTTATTTATGTACTTGTAATTTTATACTATGCTATTTTTTATATGCTTATGAAGGTATTACTGGGACAATACAAAATGCGACAAATAATTTTCTAGACTCAGATCAATAGTAGAACATTAAAAATACATAAGAAAGTCTACTTTACCAACTTTTCTTAGCAGACAATAGGCAAACATGCATACATTTACATGTTCTAATTAGGAGACGAAACATGCAACACATGGATTAAAACTATGCTTCCATACCATAACATAATAGAACAATGTAGTGCAATTTCCTACGACATCACAATTCTAAATTATACGTCAAATTACTTCCTCTCACAACAGATTCATCGGAAATGTCTTAGCTACACCGCCCAAGTATATCATCTTGCGGAAGGATATCGAAATGTCCACTGTGCTATTTGCAATGGCATTTCTGTCGAAATTCTTAGATGTGACTATCACTCGAGTCAAGGGCCAAGGAAATTTCTGCCTGGTAAGTAGGGGATCATGGGTCAATGGGGGCGAAGGGTTAAACTAATCTAAAATCGATCTTATTCTTCGCAGATTTTAATCCAGTGGCATTTTCATATCTCTTTGATTTGAATCCCTCGACCGGAAATGAAGTCGGCAGGACACAAAAATGCACAATTGCTCAAGTTTATGATCCCTTTTTTCAAAGATGTAGAGCAGTTCTTTGTGCCCCAGGTAAATTGAATTTATTTATGTGCATGTTTATCGATTGGTGTATTTATTTACAATTAGAATTACATCATTTTAGGCCAAATTTATAAAAACGAGCAATGCATCTCCGTGACTGTGTCAACTTGGAAACCAATGAATCCGAATCTTCCATCTGATATGCATGAGGAACTTGACGGAAATGATCTAAACCCTTTGGACTCCAATGTTTTAGAATCTACTACACCCAAGGACGGCAACACATCTGCAGCATCGAAGCGAGATAACTTTGAAATCTGCCCTAAAGTTATTCTTCAACGTTCAGAGTATCAAATTCTGGAGAATGGTAGCGTGTATGTGGAGCAATATGGAAAAGTGCTGTCGAAAAAGGACTATTCAGTGCAAGGCCACGATCGTTTGGTTGTGTGTGCTATCGAGACCAAATATTACACTGATAAGTTCGGACCAACCTGGGGATACCTTAGTTTTGTAGGGGTCCTCATTTCTGTAATTTTTCTCATTTTGCATTTGGTGGCATGTTTCTTGGTCCCGGATTTAAGAAATTTATCAGGAAAGAACTTGGCATCCTTGTGCATTGCGCTACTATTGTCTTACTCAATATTTTTGGGATTACCGTTTGTTTCAATTCCAAGTTCTTCATGTACCGTGATGGGAGTTGTGTTGTACTACGGGTAAGTGGAACAATTAGAACAATCAAACCAATTTACATTCTCTGTTTGCTGTACACATGTTACTATTTATCTCTCTTTAGTTTAATGGCGTCATTTTGCTGGATGCTAGTCTTGGCATGGGGTACGAATTATCTCAAATCCATTCCTACATATCGTCTCATTTCATTATACTCTACGATTTAAACTATAATTTTCTTCAGATGTGTCCATGACCCTTCGACGAGCAACCCAAGAATTACGAATTTCAACCGGGTCCCAGTGGACTAGATTCTTCTTTTACTCTACATTCGGGTGGCTATTTCCTGGAATGATGGTGACAATTGCAGGTGAGTGTGATGCTGAATAGTACATAATCACTGAGTCAGTTAATTAGTACATTTGATAACATTTAACGTATTTGATTCCAACGATTGCAGTTGTTGCCGAATTTCTACCTCCCGATGTCATGACATGGCCATACACTCCAAATTTCGGCGTCAACAATTGCTGGTTGGTCAATAATGATCATTGTCCCCAATTTTACATGATAAATATCTATTGAAATCGTTTTTAGGTTTGGTCAAAAGCCGGCACTGCTCATCTATTTTGCTGGACCGGTTGCCTTCATCTTGCTACTTAATCTGTTGTTATTCATTGATTCTGCAAAGGTACGTAAGAAACTGACAGTAACACGGACATAAACGCATATTTAATGATATATGCATGTATGCCCGTTATATAACAAGTTTTAACTTTTCTTTGAAAATGTAGGTTATCGCGTCCACCAGTATCGGGACTGCAAAAGCTAAAGCTTGTGGTCCATCACACAAAAATTTCCAGTAAGACAATGTTAAATGGCATTCTAGTTTATTTTCATATTTATGTATATGATTACGTAATCTGACTATATTGAGACCATGGAAGATTTCCCTTTGCATTGTTTTATAGAATTTTATCATGAACGCTCGTATGAAATTAAGTAAATCAAATTCAACAGTTGACAGCGGGCATGAAAGGAATATGATACAAAGCGTAGGAATTGCGGAACTAAATTACACCCTCAACGCGTTGATTATGCTCAAGCAATCTGACAATTTAGTTGCACCCACGAGTTAATTGAAATTGCACACTACATATATGCATTTGTGACATGTATTATTTATTGTATCATTTGTATCAGTATTATTTGTTTGTCATTTGTTAATGATACAAGAATAACGCTTATAAAGGTCAAAAATATGCTCATCGTTTTATGTTCGCTTGTCATTGGTTATGCATTGAAAGTTGTCTCCCACGGTCTCAATGATCTATATCACGAAGCACTTTCTTAACCTTTGTCAACTGCAAATCAGATATATGTAAATAGTAGTATTAAGTGCAGAAGCATTAATTTGTTTTTATTTTGCAGGTTATATGTCCGACTCGCTTTGCTCATGGGGATAAGTTGGTTAGTTTTCATATAATTTCTACATGCAATTGAAAAATATTAAAATGCAATAAAATTTCAAGGATCCTCGGTATCGTTGCTGGTTACGTCGATGTCCCTGAATTGTGGATAGTCTTTGTTTTCTTCAATACGTGAGTGATTGGTTACATTTTAAATTTCTATTAGATTTAACAGACACAAAATTGATGGTAAAACTTCATTTATTTATTTCAGGCTTCAAGGACTCTTTATTTTTGTGGCTTTCACATGCAGTGCAAAAACGAGGAAAGTTCTTCGAACTAAACTTTGCTGCAAAACTTCAGCCCCAACGGCGTCATGGACATGGACAGGCGGTGGCAATCACATGATGAGAACTACTTCTTCGTCCTCTGGAAACACAAAGAGGTCAGATTTGGAAGGACGCGACTCTTACGACTCTTCCCAGATATCTACGAATGTCCATCCCAATAGTCGCAATAACTCCCCTCCCCACCACCACAACGTGCATTACCATAATAATCATCACATCCACCCAAAGAATGCTACGTCCTCTCACCAGGCGCACCCACATGGCCATGTTCCCTCCCTCCATCACCCCTCCTTCCACACTTCTGTTGGGAATGGGAAAATGTATCGAAGTCCTTCCACTGAACTTTATCGTTCCTTGCAACAAAATTAGTACATTTGTATGTGGCTCATATGCTGATGATGCGAAGGATTGCCATGAATCTCTTTTTGTAGGTATTCACTTTTATGTACGCTACACAAAACATTTCACTTTTGCAATTGTTTAGTTTGGACGAAGCCATGCATAATATCCACCTTGTCCCAATTATTTACAAAGCCAGTTTTTTCTTGCATAAAAATATATACTTCTAAACCCTTTTTGTAATTCCTTGAATGTTATTCTGTTTAATTATGTAATGTAATAATGCAAGCACAGTTGTGCATTGTGTTAAGTTGTGACTTAGATAGTTTGATCCCTGTGGTTAATTAATTATGTATACACGCATTGGGTAATAAATATCATATATATAAATGTGCAAGATACACATAGATGTATGTATATTTAAAAATCGGAATAAAGTGTTCCATGATGAACAAATGACAATTAATTACTTAATTATTTTTTATTGAAAGAGATGAAAATACTTTAGTGAATTAGACACACAGCTGTGTAAACAATTCTAAAAATTCGTACAGGTGTGCACTTGTAATTTGTTTAGAGTATATAGAATTTGGAGATACAAATTATTAGATAGTGATGACTACTACTTTTTCTGTTTTTTCTTCTCTGCTTCCTCTTCCTTTTCTTTCTCCACTTCCTTAACATATTTGTCAATAATGTCGACATCCAACATCTAAAACCAAATATGTACATTAATTTTACATATATTGAACGATCTATAAGGAATATAATAGCACAACACTTTGAATCTTTTAGTACCTGCATCTTCTGATCTTTTCGCATAACTGCAATTTCCAAATTCTTGCCACCAGATTGGACAACCTCGAGCAAGGCACGAATTGCAAGCTTAACCGTTTTTTCTTCTGAGCTAGCCTCGTCCGCATTATAGTATTTCTCTAAAAATTCTCTCACCTAAATAAACCAAAATTGTATTAAGTACTAGTTGCTAACTACGATTGTTTCTATCAATTGCAATTATTGTATATATTGGAGTCGTACAGTTTTTGCATTTCTCCCAGTAGCATTAGCCTTCCACTCGTGATAAGTTCCAGATGGCTCGGTTTGATACAATCGAGGGGTTCCATCCTCATCAAAGCCTCCAATTAAACAAGAAATTCCAAAGGGACGTCTACCATTACTCTGGGTGTAACGTTGTTTTAATTCTGAAATTATTGTTATTTTCACAATAATTAAAATTAATTTTTATAAGATGCTGAAGAAAACGCGTTATTAAAAATGGATTTATGCTAGAATCACGACATTACCAGCAATATGGCGAGTAATGTATTCCAAAGAAACGGGATCTTCAACAGTTAAACGATGGGATTGGCATTCAACCCTGGCCCTATTGATGAGTATCCTGGCATCGGCAGTAAGCCCCGCAAAAGCCATCACGACATGATTATCCAAAAGACAAATCTTTCGCACAGTCCTCTCTTCTTGCAGTTTCGCCACAGACTTCTTCTCCACGCCCAGGACAACACAATTAGAGCCTCTCACACCAACCTATTCATGTCGAAACGAAAATTATATTAAATTCCTTGTGTAGATCTATTAAATAATAGTAGAACTAAACTCCGAACTTACAGCCGTCGAACCCTTTTTGACAGCCTCTTGTGCATATTCCACTTGAAAAAGGTGACCATCCGGAGAGAACACGGTGATTGCACGATCGTATTTTGAAGCCATTTTTCACTTTGTTTTGATAATTTTTCTTTGTGCCTGCAAAAACAATTTGTTTTAAACAAAACAACTTTAAAAAATTCTACATAAACAAATCTATATTATTCTTCCAACTATATCCCACTGAAATAATTACAACATTCAGTCAACATTATTATTTCGCTTACTTCTTACCTGTTTTGGATCAACTGTATTTTACTGTTAAGGTCAATAATTAATTATATGAATTTTAGCAATTAATTTGAGACACCGGCGATACAGAAATATCTTATTGCTGAGGCTTCTTCACACCATGAGAAAAGCTGAATCACGAAGAATGAAATTTGAGTTTGTGACATTTCTTTCTCCCACCGCACGATTTCCGCGCCGTATTTAGCTCCTCTGCTTATTTTACCCACAACAAAAACTCGTCATCAGATTCATTTTCATGCAATTGGGGGATGGTCGAATATTTATAAATAAATCCCCCCACAGGAATTTATAAAAGCAAAAGTTGGCTCCCATTTGTTGAACTATATGTAACTATTTTATTTTCAAGTTATAAACAAAATTTTAGTTCGTAAACCTTTGAACTTTAGAGAAATACTATACTAGTTATCAGAAAACAATTTTTCATATTTCTGCACATTTTGTAATATGCAGGATTTAACTTTGACTTAGTTGATCTACTAATCAATAATATACGACGAGACTAATTAACCCACCGAGCTTCAGGTCTGGGCGCAATAAAACTAGTTGGAGTGGTGTTGTGGAGGAGATATTGTCTCAATATTTCTGAGGAGGGGGTCTACTTGGGGAGATAATATGTATAACGGCAAGCCAATCTTGTCGGAAAGGTTGTACAACTCTGGCTCAGGTTCATACGACGACGAGATGGGGACGGAATTCTGGTGGTACGATTGTTTGATCTCGGAGTGGTGATTCTGAGAGGAGGACTCAGGTTTTTGGGGTACTTGACCTTTTCCTCTCCCTTGAACGACGGAAGAATCCTCTCCTCCTCCATAGGATCCCCTTGGTTGGTAGTAAACCGAGGATGTGGGGGAGGAATCAGGAGCGACATTGTTGTAAGAGGAGGGTGGACCAATGCTGGCTTGACCGTTCCAATTGTTTGCGTTCCCACCCTCAGAAAAAATAATTTGGTAATATTATTGATGCTCGATTATACGTAAATGTTATTCAAGGCTATATTACGTAACGTTATAATATTGCATGTATTATATTAAATAATTATATTTACCTGAGGGTAAGCTGGTGCCGGATTTGGCGTCGTGAGTATCGGGTACACTGATGATGATGATGCTTGAGTTTGATGATAAGGATTGACGTTGTGCGAATTTACTAATTCCAAATTCTGCACTTGCTGCGAAGATGTTAATGAGGAATACTGGGGGTTAGTTGTGTGATATGGGCTTCTCAGGAAGTGGTAGCTGTGGGGTGGCCCACCATCATTATTGTGGATTGAGGGGCGAGACTGTTCCTTATTTTTCTGCACAATTAGTGGGAGGAGATTATAACTAAAGTCGCAACCAGATTCCACCACTACAAATTCCCGAAAAAAATGCCCATTTTTAAATCTCTCCATAATGGATTGCAACGTTGGTTTTGGGTCAAATATGTCGCTTATTCCTCCAGAGTTCTCCATAACGTACACTTCGACTGCAGAATATCTCTGAAGGTACATAAATGTATTAAAGGTCTGTGTAATTATTATAATTCTTTCTACTACATTTAACTACCTGCTTGCAAATAAAATGGTTCCCTGGACTCGAGAGTACCTCAGGGGTTGCATTTGAGCAACGACTCACCATCACTTTTTGAATAAAAACTGGGGGTATTTGTACAATCTGGACCAGATCTAACAAGTATAATAACATTCATAATACTGCAATTTTGTAAGTTCACACTAAGTTTATATGGTTCTAGTTACGTTTCTTTGTAAGACTAGTGGCATGGTGAGGTTGCGTCATAATGGTTTCGACTTGACACGGTGAAATCATTACTTGCATGGAAGGTACCAACATCTGGGAAAGAATAAAACTTGAGGTTGTATTGCATTTTCAAGTAATAATTTATGACTATGTTTGTATTGATTAATTATTTTTTAATTATAATTATACGCCACTCACGCAAAATAGAAATATCCAACTAATCCAATATTTCTCCATTTCTAAGTGTATGATTTTCTTTAGCGAACACAGTATTCTACGAATAACACTGAAATAATAGTTTCGTTCAATTTAGAATTACTTGTATCTATTAATTTCAATCTGAAAACGTGAATTGATCATGCACCCATTGTAACAAATGTACTCCGCTCACATTATATCTAAAAGAATGTCGACAACATTTTAATTCATATGAAAATAGGCGTCAACGGTTGACGGTGTACTGTCCAGTGCAGTGTTACTACATATTTAGATACATATTTATCTACAACGGATGTAAATCTTAGGATTAGATATGGAGAATCTGAACTCGGTTTGTCATTCAATTTGATTCATTAGAATTGACATTATAATTTCTTTTATCTCTTTCGGTTCAATTTACATAGTTATTGGTCATTATGGAATAAATGATCGCAGGATATTTTCGCGCGAAAATCACGTGCCCACTTGATTACATTGGGAGCGGGGTGAAATTCAATTTAAACCTGCGATCAGTTATTCCTTACTGCCCAATAACAGAAAACGGCTCTACTTTCCTTATCAGGCAAGCTCAAGCAAGAGATTTTATCTGAATGAGTCTCATCTCGCCTCCTTAAAACTTTTCTCAATCACTCAAGTAGGAAATATTTATTATTATTATTACTTACTACACGTATCCACTTCCAATAATCCTGTGTTTAGTGTTGACCTTTGACATTGAAATTTGATTTAAAGTATTGACTCAATACATTGAGAATCACAGACTGACAATTGGGCCATTGGGAATGTGAGACTTTTAGCTATGAGGCTTTCGAAGAGCTCATGGGTGTGGTTTTCTCAACCCCCACCATGAATCCCACATGCTACAAGCTTAATAAATTGCTGAGTGACGTATTATTTCACAATAATTGAGTAATTAAGTGAAACAGAAAGAGTTTACAAAAATAGCATGTTCCAGTCGTCGTCAGTTCTTCAACAACCCCAATATTTTGTATGGTTCGCCGCTGGGCGCTGATAGCAAAATCTAATCAAAAAGTAGGCGAAATTTTGACAGGCAGTCACAAGTTGTTAGTTTAACTTTATCTTTTATCTTAAGAAGGGTAAGTGTTTTAAGGTGACTTAAGTACATATTATGTTTACATAAACGTAAATATTTATGTCTAGAAATACCTTTAAGCAATCATCTCTCTGCCTGGGTTTATTAAATGGTGCTGGACGACTGGTGAAAACTAGTTCATAATTTATCTGGGGATGGAGGACGAGTTGGATGCAACCACCAAGGGGGACGTGGATGACGAGCAGGCAAGCACTGCCTCCCTCAAAAGCAACTCCGTTCACGATATCCTTGCAGATGAAGATGAGGAAGATAAGGTCAGGCCTTTCCCACAATTTTAGTTTTTAATACACACACAATATGTAAAAGACTTTCCTCGTCATATTTATTGTGGGCACTTTTCAGCCGATTGACGATGACGAGTTTAATATACCTCCAGTGGACTTTGAACCGACATTGGAAAGTATTTTAAATGATGTGGACAACCAGAGTTTGAGCGAGGACGAAGTTGGTCACCATGAAAGTGGGACGACGCAGCAACCTCAGTTGGTGTTGGAACAAATTGTGAGTGTTAATAAATGCGAAAATTATTATTAAATTACTTAAGCTACATAGGCATGTTCACAGACCTATAATCTAGCAATTTAGAAATATTTCCTATGATTTAATTTCCAGGGACTGACTCCCGATGGAAGTGACACTGTGTCAATCGTTTCTCGAGGATCAGGAGGAGATAACCGGAGTAGAACATCTAGTCGAAGCATGCGAAATAACAAAACCCATCCTCAGAATAAACGGAAACCAAGCTCAATTCTAAGACATGTGTTACTCAAAGGAATGACATCTAGTTTAGCATCTGCTTCGGTAAGGTGATATATTTATAACGCAATGTGTTGCTGTTAGTGTTCTCAAAATAGGACCGGACCGGACCGATAAGCTTTGTCGGCACGGACACCGACAAATCTTATCGGTCCCGTCCTATTTTGAGAACTTTTGAGAACACTAGTTGCTGTGCATGGTTTCGTAAAAATTGATGCGCAGTTGACAATGTTTTTTAATGATGAAGGAGAAAATCGACTCTGGAACTGCTACGGCGGTGGCAATGGGGAACCTCATCACAGTAGGAACTTCACACGGATATGTGCTAGTTTTTGACTCTATTCAAAATTTTAAATGGTGTCTCGGTGAATCTCATTTTCGTGAAGAGGGAGGATCTGTTAGCAGCCTTGCTGTTAGCGGAAATGGGGCACGTCTCTTGGTTGGGTTCGCCAAAGGATTAATTCTCATGTACGATTTGGAGAATGGAAAATTGTTGAGGTAAATACGCAAAGTTTGTATACGATTTAAATTTAAACATGTGTATGTACATATACATATTATATATTGTTTAGAACAATGCATGATGCTCATGCCCCTGGTACAGCGGTGTTAATCTTGCGCGTAAGAAACTCAGAATTATAACATAAATTCAAGGCTGTTGAATGTTGTATTCAAGTCATATATGACTATTTTTTTCCGCCTGGGACCCCCTTTTGGACTTTATTTTTTAATTTGAATGAAACCTCGAAAATCGTGTTCAGCATACTTGAATTAGTGGGTTTAGACCAATTTTGGGTCTCAAAAATTTTGTATTTGGCGCAAATGGGGGATAGTTAGTTCGTGAAGGGGGTTGACATCTCCCTGTTTTCTGAGATAACCACTGGACCGATTTTGTCCAACTGGGGCTTAAAATCATCACAAATACTTCCTCTTGAGTGGTCCTGGAGATGGTACTGATCCATGACCTCGATGACCTAATTTTGACCTATTTTGAATTTGTCGCAAATCACGTTAAAATCGTATATAATTTTGAATACCAGCCTCAAACAATTTGTTTGGTGCAAATTACATCTAACTATGACGTTTGTAATGCAAACAGCAGCATGTCGAAGGTCAAGAAAAACTGTAAGTTTTTATGCATAAATATCACAATCCTTGTGCACAGCATCATAACTTGAGCTTAGTGTGACGAAATTTTGCCTCGTGTGCATTTTACCCCATTTGGTAAGAAAATTAAACACTTCAAACGCGCATTCGATGAATTTAAAGATTTTTCAATATTTTAAAAATTGGCCGGGAAAAGGATCAGTGTAACGGTTCTTTTTGTATTCACACTAAGACAATGAAAATATCTAAAGTAGTTATAAGCGAATATCATCAAAAGGATTATGTTGTAAAGCACATGTTTATGTGCTGCTTAATTTTATCACCGTCGAAAGGACGCACACTTTTGAACCTTTCTTCGAAAATGATGTAATGCGAATTTGCAAGATCAATATCAACTGTTCCAACTTCGGGTGGTTGAATTTCGTAGCACACGAATTGTTATTTATTTGTGTTTAAAACGGCGTCAGACGACATATTCATTGAGAAATATTTATTATATTGCGCCTGATGACCAACATGAGTCTACTCCCCAAACCAACTAAGTGTATTTCATATATATCAATTTTTATGTTAACAAAGTCTCAGTGTTATTATCAAATTGCAAACTTTCAACTATACATGCAGTTATTCATTATCATCAGGCCAAGTATAGTCGACAAACTAAACATCATGCCAAGTTCTAAATTCATTGTTGAAAATGCGGAAAATTGTATATTGTTACATGGTTATAATAATGGTTAATATAATTTTAATTTGTCGTTGAGGACTACTGATGTGGATATTGTTGTAAAAATCAAAATCAAAATTGTTGTAAAAGTAGATAACCAAATGGGACTGACTCCAACTCATTTTTAAGAGCATATTTTTCTCTCAATGCGTCCATTAAAGTTTTTCTTGACCTTCGACATGCTGCTGTTTGCATTACAAACGTCATAGTTAGATGTAATTTGCACCAAACAAATTGTTTGAGGCTGGTATTCAAAATTATATACGATTTTAACGTGATTTGCGACAAATTCAAAATAGGTCAAAATTAGGTCATCGAGGTCATGGATCAGTACCATCTCCAGGACCACTCAAGAGGAAGTATTTGTGATGATTTTAAGCCCCAGTTGGACAAAATCGGTCCAGTGGTTATCTCAGAAAACAGGGAGATGTCAACCCCCTTCACGAACTAACTATCCCCCATTTGCGCCAAATACAAAATTTTTGAGACCCAAAATTGGTCTAAACCCACTGATTCAAGTATGCTGAACACGATTTTCGAGGTTTCATTCAAATTAAAAAATAAAGTCCAAAAGGGGGTCCCAGGCGGAAAAAAATAGTCATATCCACTCTAATAAAGTGGTAGTATGATCCCTGCCTGTCGTGTGACGCGATTCAAGCTGCCCCGTAGAGGAGACAAAGAAGGAAGCGCAGCAACCACTGCATGAATGAATGCATGCATGAACACGTACATTGTACATATCCCCACATACATACATCACTCATCAATAGTGGTTATCATGATAAACACTATTAATTATTTTAGTTTGAGAAACTCCACCCACAGCGAGTGGCATATCAATTCGAATGTATTTTTGATGCTGAATCCAACGCCGCCAATGGTTTTGACCTCCAAGGCCCCCGTGACCTTCCCGTGACCGGGGGGTTCAAATATGGCTTATTCGTGATGTCGCATATCAATTCGAATGTATTTTTGAAGCTAAATCCAACGCCGCCCATGGTTTTGACCTCATAGGCCCCCGTGACCTTCCGGTGACCGTGGGGTTCAAATATGGCTTATTGGTGATGTCGCATATCAATTCGAATGTATTTTTGACGCTAAATCCAACGCCGCCAATGGTTTTGACCTCCAAGGCACCCGTGACCTTCCCGTGACCGTGGGGTTCAAATACTGCTTATTCGTGATGTCGCATATCAATTCGAATGTATTTTTGACGCTGAATCCGAATCCGTCAATAGCTTGGCGTTAATTGTAGAAGGTAACGGGGTTTATGGAACTTAACGGGAGCGTGAAGCGTGGGAATTTAAATAGTTAGCTATGCAGTTACTCCCACGCGACGCGAATTTAAGTAATTGGCTATTCAACTACTCCCACAGGGGGAAATCAAATTGTAGTTTGACCAGATTAATTAAAATGCAGTATGACTTGGGCAAACCCTCATTCTGATGTATGTATGTGGTATGACAAAGTCTCCACTGGGAATTATTTAAAGTATAGTATGACGGATTTTTCGCTTTGGGCACACCCCCCACTGGAACCCTAGAACCCGGCCTTGGCCGGGCTATACGCTAGTATGGTTATAATTTATTTCTTATAGTTTACGGATGACCCAGCTTTGGCACTTTGTAGCGACAGTGGTGGGAGTGTCTTTGAACTATGTTTCAAACGAACCATGGGAGTCAGAGGCTGTGACTCGAGGTGCATCTTCTCGTGAGTTTATATTTTTTATCCATTTAAATTTTGTACATCTGGAGAAACGCTTAGAAAGTCGTCAATCTTGTGACTAATCTAATATCCACAGAGGAAGTCGAGGTGAAGTTTGCACGTTTGAACCCGTTCTCCTTGCGGGTTATGCCGACAATCCCTTGAAGAAATTTGTGATAGTTGCACTTGCCACTTTATCGAAAGTATTATAAAGTTATATTCATTGGTCCGTCACTACACTGTAACGTGGCATCAATTAATATGCATTACTTTCTAAATTCCAGGTTCTCGTGGTAGTACTGCGACCAAAACTGAAAGTGATTTTTACTCATCCATTAGCGAGCGACCCAACCACTCTTCCAATTGTGCAATGGCAAATGGTTATCATTCAGACCTCACAAAACGAAAAAATTGTTGATCCAGTTTTAACGTTTGCCCGTGATAACATGATATACTTTTATCAGGTAATTGTTCATGTTTACTAATACTAGATTATTTAGATTAAATGGTTATGATGTTTTCAATCAAGAACACCCTTTGCTCACTTAGATGACACTTGGAGCTAAGAACAATATAGAACTTCTTCCCTTACAAAAAGTTAATATTGGCTATCAACTTATTGGGCTGCATTGGCTCAATTCAAGAACTATTGCTTTATTGGACACAAGAGAAACCTTGCATGTTCTTGATGTTAGGTCACAAGAAGAATTAGAAATTATCGACTTGTCACAAGTCCACCTCGTGTATGCCAACAGTCACTTCAAAGGTTTAGCTACTGGTGGAAATGTTAGCAGGGCCTTCGTAAGTCTCAATAATATTATTATTATTGAAAATGTCCAAGTGGTACAACAATTTAATATTATGGAATTGTAGGCCTTAGCAGGCGAACGTGCTTGCTATAATTCGGTTCTATGTTTTAACAATCAAATCGTTCTTCTGGGAACAAGATCGGTCCATGTAAGTGAATATTTGCTCGTATTTTCGAATGTACATTGGATGTATGTAGTTATATCATGTTTTAGGCACTAACAATGAGATCCTGGCACGAGAGATTAGATTACTTGGTTAAGCAAAACTTTTACACTGAAGCACTGCAGCTCGGCTATGAGTTGTACTTGGAGAAAGCAAAAGCTATCATTGGGCTAAAGGGGAACAAAGATTCTAAAAAGCTGATAGTTAGAGAGAAGGTGGGATATTTAATTATGATGAGATAATTCGAAGCAATTAACTTGGATATCGTTTTCGTAGCTTTTGTACATTTTAGAACGGTTTGTTGATCTCATTTCATCACTAAACTATTTGGAGGATTTAAACACAGCCATGCAGAATTATAAAGAAACAATTTATTGCGCTGTAAACTACTACGTTCGTCTTGACTGCAGGTACAAATTCCAAAAATGTTAAATGCAAAGTGGTTATGTATGTTTTTTAAGTCGTCTAAAGTCTAATATACAAACACAAATTATATTTAGGGACCCAATATTTGCTAAGCTGTACGACATTTGTCAATGCAATCCATTAAGTAGCACGGCGTACCTCGAGTCTCTGGAACCCTTCATATTAAATGATCAACTCCGAGCTGTTCCACCTGGAATTGTCAAGGACTTGTTTGTTCATCTGGAAGAACTTGGAAAATATCAGGCATGCCACATGATATGTCCGTTATATAATTTGCAGCGACAATATGTAGTATGCTCATCATATTATGTATACCTTTTAGGCTTTGGAAGCATGTATAGTCCACCTGAACGTGGAGTCTTTGGACATTCATCAAACAATGAAAATTTGTTGGACTCAAGGGTTATACGACGCCATCATTTATATATTCAATGATGGGATGAAAGATTATATCGAACCATTCGAAAGCCTCATGACTGAACTTCAGAGTGCATTAGAAGCAGGTTACACAAAAATAAATCACAAGTTGTCAAATAGTTTGGTATAAAAGGTACATTTCATTATCGTCTATTCCAGAGACTGAATTAACAAATGGACAAATTTCTCTGGGAAATAAGATTCTGGTTTATGCGTCCTGCTGTTTGACTGGAAGGGCGTATCCTTATGGAGACATTCCAATCGACCTTGTGGAGAAAGTACATTCCGATATCTTTAGGTGCATCACAACTCTTCACACTCGTAACTCCTCTGAAAGTGAAGTTGCATATCCGTATCTAAGGTCAGTACGTAATGAAATGCATGCTTACCGCTGGATAATCCTATTTAACCTCTACATTGTGTGCAATATTTCAGATGTCTTTTAAAATTTGACACCCGAGAGTTTCTAAATGTACTATCCTTAAGTTTTGAGGAAGCAATATTTCAGACGGAACTCGGGAAGAGACAAAAGCAGAGAATGGTTGACATTCTACTTCAAGTTATGGTCGAACAAGGCAATTTTACAGTAAGTAAATATATGAATATATACATGGCTAATCTCTAAATCAGATTTAAAATGAATTATTATATATTCCAGCCGACTCAAGTTGGGATATTATTCACATTCTTAGCGCGACAAATGGCAAAACCGGATAGTAGTTTGTATGTTAGTAAGCTTCTGTTTGAACAGGTGCGTCAAATTAATATTTAAAATACCCTTACCACCACACCGATTAGTATGAAGGATTTTTTTGTCTTCAGGTCTTGGAACATTTGACAAGCGCAAAAGAAGGAAACAGAGTTGATGAAAGGCAGCAGGCTCTGATTGAATTGTTGCAAGCTGGTGGAATTCAGCATTTTGATTACAATAAACTCTTGGATAAATGCTTGCATGCCAAATTGTAATACACTTACCAATATAATAACTTTCGTACAATATGGCTTTCATTATTGTTTGTTATTTTTATAGCTATCGTGTTTGTGAAATGCTCTATGAAAGAAGACAGGAATATTCCAAAATTATTGAATGTTACCTGCTCGATGCAGGTCGATCTGGACAAGTTTTTTCATACATACACAAAATGTTCTGCTTATTTCCCAACAAGAAGGGAGAATTTCAGCAGAGCATAAAACATCACTTGGAGGTAGTACCGCAGAATTTTATATGACATTGTACGATATATGTAGGACCTGATTTATGTTTGATTTTTTTGTAGGAAATGATTGATATTGACAACAAAAAAACTGCACAGCTTGTGTACCTACATTCCACGTCTACAATGCCAGAACTAGTAAAATCCTTGGAGAATAGACCTGAGAAACAGTATTTATTTTTACAAGGGGCATTTGCCATGAGGTTGGTTACATGACTTCATGGTGTATTTATGCAGTTGATTGTAGTTACCACTTTAATTTAAATCGGGTTTATCTTCTCTAGAGATCAAAATCAAGGAGGTATTCACGTGGACACAGTAACGACTGAAAGATACATTGAGTTAATGTGCAGATTTAGTCCACAACTAGTTTATCCATTCTTAAAATCCGCAGAATCGTATAGAAATGAACAAGTGATGGATGTAAGTTGTGATACTGGTGGAGGGGTGGTACATATAATTTTATGTTGTAATAACTGTGCATTACGTCACAACTTTTTAATATTTCTACAGATTTGCAAAAAGTACAAACTCATTGAAGCAATTGGATACCTATTGGAAAAAGATGGGCAACTTTTTCAAGCATTCGAACTTATGAAAGATCAATTCAAAGAAAAACTAAACACGGTATTTATAATATTTAATTATTTCTCACATATGTACCAATGCAAAGTCGTAAATAGTGCTAACAATAAAATAATTTATAGATTTTGGATATAATTGATAACAATCCGAACGCAACGGCAGATGAAGATGCAGCTATTACAAGTATAATTCAGTGGACTCAGCTTCAAGCTCTGTTTGTAGTCATCATTCAGTTCTCACAAAGAAATTCTCAGAAACTTGTGGCAGAAAAGAGAGAAGAGCTATGGCTCCCTTTGTTAGAATTAGTCATTGGAGCCTACAACAAGTTCCAAAAGCGGAGTAAAATATGCTCGGCGTTTAATGACATGGCTAAACACCTTCTAAGTAGCATGATGGGTCACGTCTCGCTCCCTACCATTGTTGAGATAGTGATGAATGATCCATCTTATCAAAAAGCAACATTTGCGGAAGTTCGAGATCTTGTGATGGGTAAGATTAGTTTGGAGGAATAACTCGTAATTCTATTCCATTCATTATGATAATTTAACATGAGTACATATATTTTACGAAAAGGTATGCTAGAAACTTGCACATATGAAGACACGATGGTTAATCTGGTGAAACAAGTGACACAGAGTGATTTGCATGGGAAACTAGCTTCGCAATTAAGATACTCAAAGAAAGGATTTTCACCAAAAGGAAAAAGCTGTTTTTCCTGTCATATGCCTCTCAACTCAACTTCATCAGACAAGGAAGATATTGATGTGGTGGTTTTCCAGTAAGTTAAGAAGATACTGTCGTTTGTATATTAAAAGTCATTATAAGAAAATGAGGGATTTTTAACAATGATTTTTTTTGTCAGTTGTGGTCATTCGATTCATCATCAATGCGCCATAGAACACGAACTCACAAACTGTAGTTTGTGTCAATCGAACCAAGATCGTCCGTCGTCTAGCGGTCCAGCGAAAGACATTACTTTTAATATTCCCAACAAATCAGCACATTTTGAGTAAGTGACATATTAATACTGAAATTATTTCAATTCAGACAATGTCGTTGGTCGTCGAAAAATAAATTATTATTAATCGGCCGATGTTTTGATGTTTTAACAGATTTGAAAGTTCTGCGAGTGAAAATGGGCACCAATTTCTTAGTCATTCCGAGTTCGAACTACAATTGGAAGCGAAGTTTAAACTTAGTTTAGAAGAATTTTGAATGTCTCAATTTAATCTGCACTTTTATCGTCATACAAAAGCTATAGTGTTACATAATTGCTACATATTTACTTGTTACCAAAAACAATGTTTAAATGACATTTTTTAAATTAAAGAATATAGATAATACCACCAATCAATGATTTTGTTATGTAAAAATAATTTACTTATTTTCTACGTGTCGATACCTAACCCTAGCCCTAGCCATCGATCTGGAACAAGGAGAAAGTATCTATCCATAGCTTCGCAAAATCGAGTTTGATATTCCGTTGGGCTGACCACGGTGGGAGTTTTACCCTGTCCACCCAATATTCCAGACGATTTCACGAAGGTCTCGATCTTCTTGTCCCACGTGAAAGTTCTAATGTAGTCTGAAAAGTTAATTTACCCAAACAAAATATCATTTTTTCGTTCAAAATATTATTTGTATGTATGATGATCAAACAGTGATAAGCAGTACCAATTATCCCGACAACAAGTGTTCCATTTTTATCGTCCAATCCAACCAATAACGAGTAATCCATAACAAGTTGGGAAGCAAGAAATCTAGAATCATTGCTTAATGCCAATGACAGCACAGTTTTGGTATGAGGTCGAATGTACATAGGATTTTCACATGCCACTAGAAACATCGACAATGTTTTTAAAACGCAGCACGTTTGTATGATTTTAACAATTTTAAGTTTAAATCGCTTACTATTAACCAGATTCTCGTCTAACAAAACCAAATCTTCTTGTTCTTTTCCAGTGACATTGGCCAATCTGTTGCGTATGGATCCCTTTAGGTCAAATTTTTGAGTTATGGTTCGTTCATAAAATAAATTCTCCATAACTAAAATGTCCATTTTGGAGGCAGTGTTGGATTGGAAATTCTTGAATCCTATTCTGTAAACTCCCATAATTTTTACTAAAACTGTTGGTTTCCGTTCTTCCAAAGATGACTTCATGTAGTCAAAATAATTTGGGGCAAAATCTAGGAAGGACTGGATTTCAAATCTCGACATTTGCTTGATTACAAAGCGGTCATCTATGTATTAAAATGATAAAACAGATTAAAAAACCTTGAAACCCACATCCAGTACATACCCCCAACTTATTGACAAGTAAATATGCAGGCATACCACTTGTCTTGCAAAACGTGGAGCCTGATTTTCCGCCTGATGCAGCCCACGACACACATCGAGCAAGAGATCGAACATACAACTCTTCACCTTCAACAAGGCAAGTTTTTCTTAATTGTCGAAAGTTTTCTGAAAAATACACGCGACAGTAGAACTTGGCGGATGAGTGTGAGAACTGTATTTCAATATTCCCATCCCCCTTCTTCGCAGATCTGAAATTTATTAAAATAAATTAAGCCAAGATTTAAGGACTAATTTGTATTGATTTACATATCCGAAAAATTTATAATCTAACCTATCTTCGTCGGTATCACCGGCACCTTTCTCATCTGGAATGGATTTATTTGATGTTGCGTTAAATTCGCCCGATGAAGTTGTACTAGTTTGGAGAACCTTCCCTCTTCTTGATAACCTGTATACAATAACAGTATAAAATTACATTTCGTTGTTTCTTATTTTTAATTTCCTTATACATTCAGTAATATTTATGCCGTACATATCATCGTCTCCGGTTGCACAGCTTAAATTACTACAACCACTCTGCTTTAATTTACTCTTGTACTCGGTGGACCCAAGAGTAAATGCTACAATTGAACTTGGTTCATTTTCATAAACTGGTATGGGAATGTTACTGTATGCTGCAGGAAAATGGTGTTCCAACGCTGGCCATGGAGTCTACAGTGAAAAATAATAAAATGTACACTCAAATCAATAATAAGGCACATTTAAAGGGATAATATTAACCTGAATGATTTGAGCCCCTGGACCAGACATGAAATGTGAAATAAGCGTTTTTACAGTGCTGCTACTTGACCTCTTTTCAATTTTTGGAAATTCCGAAGACTCGTCATATTCTTTAATTGCTTCAGACTTAGTTTTATCATTTTCTATTTTCGATGTCGTGCTTGGAGAAGGAGATGCACTTCGCTTCTGATTTGGCGTTGGAATATCCAGTTGTGTTGTACCGATTTCAGAATTTGGGGCGTCACGGTCATCACTGTTCGAATGTATGGAATGTTCAAGATGAGCTGATGTAACTGCTGATGTATTCATTCAATAATAAAAGCATATGCATTACTTAACGGCTCAAGTATGTACATACACATGTAATATTCATATTATTACAATACCTTCTGACAAATCTACGCTCAAATTGTCCAAGCAACTCAATCTTCCCATAGAATCTTCAAAGTCCTTTACAATCGGAAGTATTGGTTCGCTTTCCATCCTTGGTAGAGTTTTAGCAGTGGTCGTATTAGCAGCAGTAGTATTTGTAGTGTCCTAATTATTCAAAACTTTATAATTTAACAATTTTAAATCAGAACCTACTAACTGCGATTATATACTTTGGCTTGTTTTTCTTCTTTCTTCTTTTGACAAATGAAATTATTTAGGGACAGATTCCACTGTTGAATCGTCTCTGCAATATTACATTTGAGAAATCCAATGCTGTCCTTTACTCGCCACAAATGAGAGTCCACCTCTATTTTTTTAAAGCAAATAATTTAATGAATATTTAAATCAAACTTTTATTTATTGTACCCTGCTCGATACGATAACTGTTAAATAGTATGGTACCTGAAGCATCACTACAGGCTGGAGTGGCCAAGTTGACTTGAATATCTTCAATTTTTGACCGGAAAACGGCACGTTCCGCTTTTTGTTGTTCGATCAGAGCAGTTAGTACCTCTGAAAAATAAATGATTGCTAAAGTACTTAAAAATACTAATTTGTATGTAATATAACCTACCTTCAACTTTTAATCCGGAAGGATTTTCTTTCAACGAAGTTAACACATCGAAGATATTTGAATACACTCCGTGACCCAAAATTGCGACGGATTTGACTTCATCCTACGCACCAAATGTATATCAAATATGTTTCTCATTATCTCTCCCTTAATTATTCAATATTTAAATCTCACAATAAGCTGAGGAACGTTTTTGGGTGTTTTCCTCACACTAAACAAATATTAAACCAATTTAAATATATAATTATACTAGTTATGTATGTGTATACTCCGTATATTTGAAATCTTTTATGTATTTATTTGGACACAAAATTTTCTTCCTGGAGATGGTACATACTAATCTCCTATTTATCTATACCCACGTCACCAAACCGACGCTTCCTTACTGATAAGTAAAAGTATCGGTTGGAGTAATAATAACTGTGAATTTATGTTGTTCTGTCATTCTGAGCCGAAGCCCATCAAAATATGCCAAAGGATATCGAAGAAATTGTTTCAAGTAGGGGTTAACGAACATGACATTTCCAAATTAATAATTACTAACCTTATTGGATATTGATACAAAGGTAATGAAATTTCCCATAATTTAATTGGCGCAAACCTATTAAATCCGAAATTCTTCATTATCACACGTTCAGCCTGTATAATGCATATCAAATTCGAAATACTTACTTGAAAGCGGCGACTACACTATGCTGTGCAAAGTAGTGTTGGTGATCCTGATGTAGCGAGTGGGGACACAAATTATCGAACCCTCTTCTAGTATAAGCTTGACCGTAAAATCGTAACTCAAGATATTTGGCGAATGAAAGAGACCAACCGTCGACTGACATGGGAACTATTGGAGAAACCTAAATTGAAATCCATATACACAATTCAGAACTATTCTTACTTTGAATCAACTTTTTAATTAACCCATTTACCGTTCTACAATTTGCGCACCAGTTCCACATAAGAATTTGTTGACCTGATCCCAAAATTGGACTTTGGAGCTCGCGTAAAATCACTTCAATGCAACCATTGTTGTGCACAAACTTCCTAATGTGGTCGATCATTGGAGTTTCACACTGACGAGCAGGACAAAGGTAAGTTTTCCGAAAACAGTAACGTTCAAGAAACTGTAAAGCACATATAACCAATAAATAAAACTATGTCAACTTGCTTTGCAATTAAGTTTGACAATTTCATATATAATATTCATTACACACCATTCCTAAAGAGATGTCGTTACGCCCATACATGTCCATATTGACAACCCTAAAATATTGAATCGAATCGGATTGGAGATTAGCAAACAAACCAATATCAAACAATGCATTATTTATTAATGAAACGTACCAGGGATTCACACAGAAGTATGGCGAATTAGCGGAAACAGGAGAATAGCTGCAAAACAGAACTGACAACCTTTGATGTTTCAAGGGGTCGAGGGAGTCGATTTGTGTTTCACCCAATCCAGGCTTCATCTTGTCCTGTTCCACAGTGTTCCAACTTGACGTGTCACTAGGATTGTATTCTGCAGAGCTTAGAAAGTTGCCCCCTGGTTCTAATTCTAATCGAGAACCTTTCCTTCGGAAATCGGCTATTAATCCTATATTGAAACGAAAACAGTGGTCGAAATTATTTGCCAGACAAGGACTGATCTGGATAAAAAGTCCCTAATGTTAAATGCATACCTTGAACTTCATCTGAACCAATGGCTGAAGTCAGTTTAGACGTTGTAAATAAATGTGCTTCTTCCCAGTGAATTCGTGGCTTATGAGTAGAAATTTTGCTATTTAACATCACAGAGTCAAAACAGTCATCCATATTATTATTATCAATGTCTTCGAGAATTTGTGTAGGGTCAGTAGTGGTAATAGCTGGTTGTGGAGTAGAGTATATTACTTCTGGAAAATATTTCCGTAATTCGCAAGCCTTCCCAATTTCAGATTCCAAGTATGGAAGTGGATACTTGACAAATGGCGAGGCTGACAGGATGACTTGTGTTAACGAATTTTCAAAGTTTGACTTGATAGACTCAGTGGTCCTTGCAACAAGTTTAGACACTTCAGTGGTCTCTGGACTACCCGTAATATCCTCCTTAGCATCAACAAATTCACTATAGGATGGGGAACGCAAGCAATCTTCTTTATTTTCTTCAGGAGGCATAGAGAATGAATCAATGTGAAATGATCTCTCTAGTCTCCAGTTGTTGGCCACAAAAATTAAAAACGAGGCAATTTTTTTCACTTTAACAAGTTCTGAATGACTTCCACCACGAAGTAAGACCGTACACTGACAACAACAAAAAAAGTCAAATTGAAAAATTTATGGGAGAAAGTTAACACATCAACCATCTTTGATAAGTAGTTTGATAAGTATATATGCACAAAAAAATCTTACGCCTAAATGTGTTGCACAGCCATCAAAGAACATTAAAGTCTTCTGCTTCCCCCCTGTGAGCTGGAAAGTTTCCAAGTAAAAATTATGACATAGTCCGAGTTGAGGTCGACCTAAAGGAGTGTCTGCTGATTCCCAAATTACGCCCTGAGTTAATCGTCCAACACGTTCCATAATTGATGGTTTGACATTAATAACAAGAGTGATTCCTAATTCTAACATGAACTTCTGAGCGAGACGAGACACAGTTTTTTCGACCTATTTAAATTTATATAAAAATTTTAAAATACATGTTTATTTTTAACAAAAACAATTGAAAGATAACTTACAATTACAATATCCGGTTTCATAGCAGAAATTCTTGCAACTGTATTTTTGAGGTAATCGTGTTCCTGCATGACTAGGGGCTCCAATGATAAAAATCTGTTCTCAAATCGTTGATAGTCGATTGATGATCCAATGAGAAGGATCTGAAATATTATATTAGAGTATTAACAGTTTAGGCTCCTTCAATATGTCGATGACTGACGTAATAACTTTCATTAAAATTTGAAGCAAATATGTACAGCAAGTGTGCAGGGCCGAAGGAAAGAGAACTTTTCATTTAATGAATTAAAAAATTGTAATTACTTACATTTGGATCCTTGAGACGCTTTCGCATTTGATTATGGACCACATTTTTTGTACATACAACTCCATTGACAATTCTGCAATCTTCCTTCTTTCCTCCTGGTAATTTTTTGAACTGAATATACTGTCTCAAATCCATTTCGTCTTCTGCATTTCGTACATCTGGTCGCACAATTTCTGTGACTTTGTGCACAATTGGCAATATTACATCGGCCCATGATGGAGAAACACCCATTCTGTCTAATAGCTGATTTAGTAAATTGTTTTCGTGGTTAACATAAGAGTTGCATAGCGTTTGGAAAGCTTTGAGCTCTCCATCCGTTGTTAATTGTTGTGGATTGTGCCACCCCGTGGTTGGAACCATGTCTCTACCTTTATCCTTTTGAGATTGCAAGGTCTTTTGGAGAAATTCATCCGTCATCGTTTCAGTTGTAGCACTAGAGTTTCTGATTTTACTGACATTTTTTTGTAGTGTCTGATTTTTGGATTGTAGACTAGAAGAGGATTGAGTTGTTGTATTTACATTACTCACAACATCAACTTCGTCAAAAGTAGGTGCGTCTTTTGGTTTGGAAATGGAAACTGTGCTGCTAGAAAAATTTAAGTCTAAAGAATATGAACTTGATGACGGAAGACGTGATTTTGAGTCACTCGTCGACGTCGTTGTCGACCCTGATGTAACATCGTTTTTTGTTGAACTATTATCATCTTCTGAACCTTCTTCAATTTTTCGCGCAGGATTTGATATTTGTTTCAGCCATACCGGGTCTTGACCACCCCAATCTCGAGAATCTCGACTCAATCCTTCCCCTTCAAGGTCAACACTATGTCGACTGCTAATATTTTCGGAGTCGGTTGTTTCTTCAGGTAGGCATGAAGACAAAGGCGTTTGGACGGGTTGGACGGGACGATATAAAGCATAGGCATCAACGAATACTTGTTCCGCTTGAGACACACATTCTAGTAAATTTGCATCAATTAATAGTTGTCCAATTTGAACCCCTTGACCTCTCCATGTTATTTTCCGTTGAGCCAACAACCAGTCTAAAACAAAATATTAGGGAATTATTGCGTTTGTTGTCTGTGCAGTTTGGATTTGTGACTTTGAAGACTGCTATTGGTGCTAAAAGGTCGATGACACGTAGGGCAGTCGTGTCCTAGAGAATGCTTGTCATAATGTTTCCTTAATATTTCGTCAGTGTGAGTTTCGAAATAGCAAATTCTGCATTTCTTCTTGTCATTTCTCTTTTCATGGTGCTTTCTTGCAATATGAATGGACAATATTTTGGATTCTGTGAAAATTTCAGAACAAAAGGGCACGGAAAAGTGGTGGTTCGGAGTAGTGTGTGACGGTTGATTTTCTCAACCTTCGTATAAGTGGCATGAAAATAACCAAATCTTGTAAGGGATGCACTCAAGTTCGTAAAATGCGTGGTATTTTACGTCCAAGTTTTTAAAAACCTTGTGTAACTTTTCGGTAATTATTATATGAAAACAATCACAGAAAAACAAACTGTCCATCACTTTCTTGAAATTAAATTCATCCTCCCAATGACGTGCATGATGCGTGATTTGGTCATTGGTAATGTCTGTATAAAATGGAATATAATATTTACTATCACAGTCATATTGATACTCCCAAAGTTTTGAAATTAGGAAGGAGTAGGCTTCAGCTGCATGCTGAGCTGAATGATTTTCACTTTCAACACGTTCACTAAATTGAATTTCGTAAATCAAGATAAACTCGAGTCCGGGATTTGCTTTGTATGTATGTATGTCTTTCTTTCCTTTGACCTTTGCATATGTGTCACAAATTTCGTGGGTACCTGACACCAATGTACTAACTCTCAGTGAAAACCCACGTTTGTCGTTTAAAATTAACCAAAACTGTACTTTATACAAAACTCCAGGTTCGCACAATAACGACACTTTTCGCCAAATTTTATCTAACTTTTCACGCCTATTATTCATTGTTGAAACCGAGGGAGGAAAGTGGAACTTTGTTCGGTGAACTATTCTTGGGGGAGAGATTGAAGAAACAATTCATGATACTCCATATCCATTCTAACAACCAGCTCAACCAACCACCCCTAACAACTACACATGTAAATGCCGGGTTTTGCAGAAGAACGCATCGCTGAGGCCAAGTAGCACAGTATGGTTTTTTAATACGCAGTACTTACCAACAAGCTCACTTCCAACAACACATGAATGACAATATTTCATCATCTGGAATTGAAAAAAATAATTAAACATACATCAAACAGGTCTAAAGGATCTGAAGAAAGGTTCAAAAGTATAAATTTATGAATACATTGTGACGATGTGTTGCCCAGTCAATTCCAGTGACTGGATTCAGCATCTCTTCCCACATAGATTTCAAGGAAACCCAATCCCATACGATTTTTGGCTTATCATCATTAGTGTGAAATGAATCAAAGGAATGCTCCTTTGTACCCGCAAAACGTTCCTCTTGATAACATGCAGAAGCTTTTCGGCGAGTAAGGGATCGATACGAGCTAGAATGTTCGGAAGCCGGAGTCTGTAGTCCACCACCACCCCCAATCTGGAGAAAGTCAGAGTTATTGGGTCCAAAAAATCTGTTCTGAAGGTCTTCTTGTACAGATCGCAAATCCGTAGTTCCATCAGGGTTAGTATCCGATGAGCGAAGGTAAGATAAAACTATTTTGCAGCAATATACACATACTCGCAAATCCCCTATAATACCAAAAACATAATTTATTAATTTAATAATAATAGATTTATTTCAGCACACAAATTTTGTCAAATAATTTACAAAAATGATCAAACCCTATCTAGTAGGAAATATCTTGATCATCTACGTCGCTTAAACAATATCAAGCTCATCTTGATTTAACATAAATATATTGTTTTACAAATAATAGTTCAAGTAATATTTAAGTCGTATAATTAATATAGCTACTTATTGCTTAAACTAACGCAAAAAAACTCACCTGTGTAACCAATCACTTTGCCTGGTATTTCTTGATTACAGCATCTCGAACAAAATATCTGTTGTATTTAAAAAGCCGATTATTTTGCACATGACTAATATTTTTGGCATTGGCAAACGTTGATGAACAAATGAATTGTTTTACCTGTCCACATACTCTGCAATGATGCTTACGACGAAATGTGGTAAATTTTTCTCCGCATTCATAACACTCTTTACTGACCGAGTCGGGCATCCAATACTTCTTCAGATCAGATTGATTCTGCTTGAAAATAGATGGTACGAAAGTATTGTTAGCAGCAATTACTACATGATCCCCATACATTAAAATTAAGTCTACCAACATTCGATCCCATCGCTATAAGGTTCGTAAGCCGTCTTAACACATTTGAGACATTCCTGGCCTCAAATGAACCTGGAGATGCTGGTCCATCCATGGAATCAGGTGAAGGGTTAGACACATTGGAGTCTAGCCTGTATGGCGGAATGGTAACTGAGATTTTTCTCCCAACAGAGGTAACATTTGTAGATGACGAAGGCGAAGCACTCGTCATAACTGGAGGAGCTGGAATAGGTCCGACCCCGGAGGCAGGTGGCAGTTGTACCACTCCATTCTCAGATAGGGGAGGAGGTTCATCTGAAAAATTGGTTGACTTGATTGTCCAAAACGTAAATGAAGGCCAAAATATTATTAATTACTAGACACATACCTCCTTTCCTCCAGAATAAGAACTTGGATAAGGATGAGAATCTTCCATCCGGTCTTTCATCCCTCTCCAAAGAAGGGAACTCTGTTAATTTATCGGTAGAATTTAAATTGCTCATCTTGCACCCTCTGGAGTTTTATCACAATCAGGAATGATTCATCCTCATCAGCTGACTAGAACATAGTATTATGCTGGACTAATAAAAAATAAAACACAAAGCAGACGTCATTAGTGCAATATATAGATAGTAATCATCATAAAACTAAGAATAATTATACGAAATTATACTTACCCGAACGGATATAAATAATATGAAAAATAATGGCAAAAAATTCAACTAACTATTAAACTATTGACAGTAATTGGATGGTCATCGTATCATCATTACACTTTAAGTAACCATTTTCATAAGTTCAATTTTGGAACTGTTCCCTTTATAATCTGATTAAATATTAGCACTAAATATCTGTGCCGCAGAAAAATAGACAAACTGTCCAATATAACTGCTACAATGATGACATGACACAACTGTTGAACTTTAATTGAATATATTGTGATCCAAATCCCCAACACAAAACATCTGTCAATAAGACTGTTCCGCTTTCAGAAGGAGTGAGTGAGACGAGTGAGCATTCATATGTAATTGTACCATGTGAGAAGAGAACTTGTTGAAAAAGATGAGATTTTTTCCATGAGTTGTTCATAAAATGTTTTTTATTACAAAATTACGACATAAATTATAACGACGCTTAAGTCAATTAGTGGTTAAAGTGTTAAAAATATGTTCCAAGTCCTGGATGAATTTGACCCCCGTAGTTGTCATTGTATGCATATGGAAATTGGTTGGTTTGTTGTTGAAGGCCTCCAAGTCTGGGGTCTTGTTCGCCATAAAAATACTGCTGATCGCCTCTTCCTCCTCTGTACCTGTCGAGGGTCAAGGCTGGGTCTTGAACGGATGAAACTAATGGCACTTGTTCTTCCAGACTTCTATACTGGTGGTAACCCCTGTTGTTATTTGGTATATAGCCAGATGCGCCATGGAGTTGTTTGTGTTGTTGCTGTGGGTGGTGGTAGCCCACTTGTTCTTGTGGAATTATTGGGACAATTGGTGCTGCGAGAGGGACAATCTGTCGTCCGCCAGTACTCGCAGTTTGATGAACGTGTTTGTGATGGTTAGGTCCACTTTCATGGATAGAATATTCATATCCAAGAGAATTCTGCTCAGCTTTCACTTTGGCGATTCTGCGGTTTTAGGATTGGATGTATGTAGTAGAATAAAATATACCCAGAAATAAATTTTCAAGCATAATGAGAATTTGAGATTTTACCCGAACTGGGGGCGTGGACTTTGGAGGGGGTGGTACTGATTCCCGTAGCCGGCACTGACATAACTGTATCCAAAGCTGTAAGGGAATGCTTGGGCGTAGATTGGTCCATACCCGGGAGAACCTGGATAATTATTGTAGCCAGGTTGACCTTTGACACTTGTAAAAATTACAGCCACCGTGATTGTAAATACAATTATAAATTTCTTCATTTTCGATAAGGTTCTCCAATTGTTTTTGAAATTAAGACACTGTAAATAACGTTCTGCACTCTTGCTGGTGATTCACAAGCACAATGCATAAAAAACTATTCACTTATGATTTAGGTAGATAATTATGTTTCCTGCTCCATTGCATTGTTAATTCTTACCAGACCCTGTCCATGCCATTACCTCGAAAGAAATTGATAAAACTGCAGGAAATGTATGTAGATAAACCATCTTAATTGTAAAGGTCGGACTTTACTGATCACGTTGTGATATTTTTTAGGTTAATTCCACTCTAAGAATAATACATGAGAATTTGGACTAAGCAATTAGCCAGCAACACATGCATGTTGAACATTTAATTCAATCAACGTTTATTAAAATGCTCATCCATTCATTCTTGTCTTGGAAGGAGTTAACTTACAGCAAATTAACAGTAGCACCTTCAGAAAAATCTCAGCGGCGAAGGTAAGCGTTCATGTGCAGTAGCAGTAACTGTACCCATATTAAACAACCTACGACCTTATGATGGGAGTAAAATTGTGGGAATTTTGAGAATACTGTATTTTCCACATGTATCTACATGCATGCGTGGTGTGGCCTTGATAGTACCGTTACTTGATGGAAGTCCAAGTACTTATTCACCGGAAATTATTCCAAGAAAATGTATGCTTTTTCGAATTGGAAAACATGTACGAACTATGCAGGCGAAATTGTCTAATCAATTTAAAATCATAGAAAACTATGAGTTGTTTTTATTTGCCCCATAAACCAATGCCAAAATTATTTATTTTCATTGTTATTAAATATTTAAGTCAACTATAATTATGTTGAAGGTACGAATATATATCCATCATTTCAGCATTTTCGTCTAAAAAAGATTGCCATAAGATGGGAAACTGTGAACGGATATAAACACCTTGGTTGTTTGCACTTAATTTTTTTTGCGTTAGCCACTTTACAAATTCGGTCCCCAGATTCTAAAGTAAAAGTCTCGTTTAGTGCTTGCGTTATTAAATAAAAAATAACTTGAATGCAGTTTATTACCGTCCAGGATAGCATATATTCATCTGAAAATCCTATCCATCGTTGGATTTCTTGTATGCGTTTTGTTACTTTCTTACACTTTTCTTGCAGGGACGAACTATCTTTTGCCGAAGAGAAATGACACATCTTTTCACGTAAGCACCGAAGTATTATGTACCATGCAGTTTTCTTCTTTAATACTCCAATTATGTTATCATCCTTATCTGCAAAATAAAGGACTCGTCCTTCATACCCAAATTCGGTACGAATCTACATAGGTACATATGCATTAGAAAAAAATATTAAACTTGTGTACAATTTCATATGTGTACAGTAAACTAGTAGATAAGATATTTACTTTTGCCATGTAATCCTCAGAGGCGTCAGCATCAATAATTTCATAATCAACCGTCAGTAAGCCAAAGCTACGTGCTTCATCGATTGCAACATTTGGGGGCTTTGGACACAAAGTCTCATCTTCATCGATTAACTTGAACGAAGTCCAACAAATGAAACTGTCACAAAATCATGTTATGTTGTTCAACCAAAAATTGTACCGTAATGCACTATATTGCGTATTATTAAACGCAGAGGACATACTGAATTTGTGGGCTCTCCAAATGTGATAGATTTTCGATGTGTTGATATTTTGGCTGCAAAATTTCTCCAACGATTGTACACTTTTCGTCATTTAAATATTTGACCAGTTCTTCCAATTTTGTATCACAGTTGTCCACAATTTGTTGAAAAAAGGTTTCCGCAACCGTTCTCGCTACCAAGTATCTGCTGTCATTGTACTTTTCAATGTCAGCTGAATTATAGAAAAAAATTCTTCAAAATATTTGGTTAACATTTAACATTTGATTTTTTCACCTTTAGTTTTGACGAGCAAATGAACGTTTTTGGATCCTAAGCAAAAATAATTTTCACCAAAGATGTTTCTACATGCGAAATGAGCTGCTTCTCCATTTGCTTTCTTTGTGCAAATTACTTTTACAGCATGTTCTGTTGTCTGCAAATTAATGAAAATTGCACTGAATTTCTGAAAGAGTTTTACAATGTATGTGCTGATGGAATTATATCGCACCTGTAGAAAGTAATTTTGCCATAAATTTTGATATCCCGGAGACTCATCTTCGTCTCCCATACCTCCAGAAAATTTTTTCAGTGCTTCAAAATTTCAAAATTTTAATTTCATTACTGCTCAAACACGACGCTATTACAAAACTTACCGAAAACCAGAAACATGTACCAAATTTCATTGGATCCCTGTTTCTGAAGTTCCAAGACACAATTTCCTCTTGCCACCTGAAAAATATCATGGTATTATTTTTAGAAAAGTTGATCCTAGATAAATACATGCCTAGATCTGAAGATTAAGATACCTTGTTCCGTAAATCCGCGGAAGTTGCATATAATTTGTCGTCCGGCCCTTTATTACCATGAACTTTGACGTCAATAAGAATGCCTTTGTAACCTTTGGGCAATATTCCATCAGAAACTGGGGTTTCTGTGCACTTTACATTTTTATTTGACCGGCACCATCCTAACCACCTATCGATAAGTATTAAAAGCACACCAATTATTTTATAATACGTACGCGCATTTTAATATGCAATTTTTGTAACTGAGATAATTACCGTTTCGAAAATTCAGACTCCTCTCTATTAAACTGTTCGGTAATACTCATCTTGTACTTCGGAATTATTACGAGGTATGTATATGTATGGAATATCACAAAATTTTATGAAATAACACAAAAGCCTAGCTTGCGTATGCAATATATACCACTAACATTATACACATGACGCAACCCCGGTCCCTATTTCTATAAACTACGGTTGTATTTATGCTCTACGAAGACTAACGTTTGCAAACGTGTGTTTATGAAAAAGGTTACAGTTTTGAACATACTCGTTTTATCAATAAAGTAAAGTAAACTGAAGAGCCCGCATTCGTATGGGATTGGTTTATGTTTTTTAACGTGCGTGGACATACTATTATGTAAGAGTAAAGGGAAATAAAAAACGGTATGATCATCACTGTGTAGTATGCGGGTGAGATACATATGCATACTGTACAATGATTATGCGTTGATGATGCAAGCTATACGCCAAGCGTTACTCATGTCAAAATAAAATTGTTATTGTATTGATATTAAATGTTATGCTAAAAAACTTAGGTCAAAGATTTCCTACTTGATTTGATTGGGTTTGATCTTATTTTAAATGCAATGAATAAGTAAATCCCCAATTATGATATTTCTGACTGAGTTGTGCTATTCATGTCATTCATATTTAATGTTTTTTAAAAGAAATTTGCACTCAAGTAATTTAATATTTCGTAATTTTCGTCACTGTTTATTAAAGCAACTCGCTCATCTAATTTCAAACCTTCATACATTTCGATTGAATGCAACATTTTACAGGTAAATTCACAATTGTTGAAATAGGTACAAAACAGCTAAAGACTTGAATATATAATAATAACAATTATATAGAATACTATCAACTCCTCACTGGTTGAAACTATTATTACATTGATAAATTGTGTACATTTTGGGTATAACACCGACAATAAATATTAATACGAGATTGAGTGAGTGTGGCGAATGCAAATTGTGAACTTAAACAGCTAAGGATAAATCAGTCCAACGGGAACGTTTGCGTCGGTAAATTAATAAATTAGTCAACAAAGTATAAATGCATACTATAAACCACGGCTATAAAACTGCATATTAATAAAGTTTCAGCAAAAAGTTATATTGCTAACAAAAGTACAAGTTATAAGTATGCATATAAGTACGTTTATTATAATAGGTACGACACAAGTTGTGAACACTTATGAATATCAAATACGGTTTGGGAATAAATTAGTTGGAGTACTTTCTAGACATTTCATGTTGAGGGTTTATATTTGACGCAATACAATGCAGGGTAGAATTTCAAACGTCCAAAGCAGGTTCACTTACGTAACGTATGTATGCAGGTGTATTAAGTATACTACAATAAGGAAATACTGGAACCAGTAACTACATGCATAAGATGGATGCACTAGACAATGATTGGAGTCTCTTTCGCGTAATGATGATAATAATGATGGTGAATGTGTTCGTGAACGTGATGATGTTCATGTTTTTTCACAACAGGTGGGCTATGGACACAGGGATTGTTCGGATTATGAATCTTCTTTTTAGGAGAGAAACACTTGGTCTTGTCCCCAATGTTTTCTCGTTCCAGCCAACTAATGACTTGGGCCATGGCCCGTTCGTGCTCCACTTCTCGATTCCTATGTTTCAGTTGATGGGGAGATGCTGAATTTGTGATGTTCGTATTTTTATTGTTTCTAGGAGGAGAAAGATGCTGTTTTGAGGTCAGAATGCATCCTTGTTGGTGTTGTAGCTCAAGATTATCAACACATTGCTCGTCCTGATTAATAACATTGTTGAGTTGGGAGTTATTATTAATATTAGTATTGTTATTGTTGCAACATTCTCGGTTGGTGACATGCCCCAGAGGAGATGACTGAAGTTGGTCACGGTCCGTAGGTTGTAGACCAGACATTTTGGAAACATTTTGACTAAGGTCGTGAGAAATGTCATGGGACCTCGACCTATGATGTCCGTGTTTCTTGCACCACCAATGATTACCGTGACTGGTTATTTTGTGGTTATGACAGTCGTGCATTTTCATTCCTCCGAGACTAACCGGATGATGATGATGGTTGCATCCTCCTCCATTGTTTTGAGTCAAGTCTGCCAACTTTTGCTTCCAAAAATTTTCATTTCGAAAAAGGGAACTTGGGTCGTTTAGCTGATTGTTGTGGGTACAATGACTTTGGGAATGTTGATGATGAGTATGCAATTCATGTCGGCAGCAAGGGGACACATTGTTCTTCTCCATGTTGGCCTGAATAATGTCTATCAGCTCGGGTCGGTAGAAGGAACATGTTCTCTGCTCTCTCCACTTTTTTCGGTGCCGGAGTGGGGACGCACTACAATCGCGAAACACCTCGGGAGAAAAGTTTCTACATCCTCGACAACCAGAAGAGTTGGGGAGGCGCACCGAGCTGAACTTTGGTCTCTCAAAGTGGCAGAAACGATCCTTGAAATCCTTTTCTTTCCGCCCAGATCGTTCTCTGTGGAGATTCTCTTGTATCGTCACATTCACATTGTTCCGAAAATTGGTCGTGGGGGTGGTGGTGGGATGCCCTTCGGCTGTTGAAGCTGAGCAACCGTTGCCCATTTGACTGGTTGGGAGGTTATTTTTATTATTGTTGTTGTTGATGATATTTTCTTCTTGTGGGTTGTTTTGTGGATCATTGGAGGAATACTTTTCAGGAGTGACCGTAAGTTTCACTTTGATAGTCTTCTTGCCACCTTGAGGTACTTTGATTGAGTCGTTTACTGCTCCATAAATACTGCGTACAAGTCCAGCAACATCCTAAATATGATTGAAATCACATTTACATTGGTCATTTGTGTTAGCCGAGTAATAATAATAAGACTAAATAATTCGTAGTGTATGAAAGACTTACATCTTTGGTTATTTTCCCATATCCTGAAATAGCACAAATCATTATTATTATTATTAGTTAATTACAGTATACATAATTGTAAGTACTTTTAGTAAGTAATTTATTACCGTCCAAATCATAAAATGTAAATGAGAACTCTTTTTTCTCTTCACCGGAATCGTCCCCTTCCACTTGTAGATCGCATTCAAAATCCTGTAAAACAATCAAAAATTTGTGATTAGCTTAACCATTTTAATTCAACCATGTAAATTTCGTGAGGTCAACAGCATTGTGAAGTATTTATGTATATATATTTATATGTGCACGCACGTACTTGAATTTGATGCTAGTCTAGAAATTGTGTACTGGGGGTGACACATTTTATTACAGTGTGTATCTGTTCACCTATCTCGGCATTGTTTCATCTCGTTTCAACAATTGACAATTAACCTTGAAACAAGTCGTCCGCAGTAGTCGGTGCTATCTTACAAATAAATCCCGGTCAATTTCTTTGTATAGATGCTAAATCTTTTTACCTATTTATTATTTTGTATATGTATTATGTAATCTAAGCCGTCATTCAGAATGTAGAAATGTCAACGTGTACATATACTCATCGTGTGCTTGTAGCAGTAATAAAAATCTGCTGTGATTACTTATTAAGCAGCACTTAATATATTAAACACTTTTGATCGAATCTATTTTTCATGCGTTGCAGTCAAAATTAAATAAAGATCTCTTCCTAACACTCACGCATCACACAAGTTACTGCTTAAAGTTCAATGCACTTTCTTAATCAAAAGTGGCTACATATTCACATATGCATTTTGTTGCAGAATATCTAGAAAACTTTTGCAAGCATGCAAAACTTCAATCACATTAATGTCCACGTTCTCACCTCAACACTACCTCAACACTTTTGGGTGCATGTTTCCTATGTATGTATACACATAGATATTTATATGCCTACAAACCATTCTGATAGTTGCAGATTGCAAATAACCCTTTTGACCGTGAGTGAATTATTGACGTTGTGCATTGCCAGTTTCCTGCTGATTGATGCCATCAATATAATTTTCATAATATCTACGTATGCCATATGCAGCTTTTGCAACCCATTTTTAAGCCACGTTTTGTTTTATTAGCAATACATTATGATTTATGTACAAATATTTTCCTCTCGATTTCCGATTCCATGTTCAGAGGACAATTAAAGATTACGCGAGCGATGAGAAGCATCGCGAAGCGTAATCGCAATTGTATGAGCCATCCGGAATCGGATGGCGTCAGAAGGGGTCTCTAGAGACCCCTTCCGACCTGTATACTCGTACTACTACACGTAATACTTCTGACGCCAGAAGATGGAGGATTGCGAAATGCAACTAAATAATAAATAATTTAGTATAATTATAATTGCTAACCTGGAATTTTATTTCATTTTTTTCTTCGCAATCGTCATGATTTTCTTCAACCTCTTCGTTTTCAGAACAACTTGGCGAAATCAAGAGACAAGGGTTGATATGCGCTTCATGGTCGTTGTAGGATGATGACGAAGCATCGTCGTCTCTCACCAGGTCTTCGGTATCAGATCGTCGTTCGTCGCTCAAATTGGAACCCAACACTAAATGAACATAATCAAACAAAGAAAAATTAATAAGGAAGATATTTAATGACTACTTTGGTACATTCTTTTGAATTATGCGTTACAAAAATAAATATTTTTTTTTCAAAATCCATCCATTAAGAAAAAAATCGATTGCATTATTTCGGAACTTGTATTATTATTGCGCCCCTCCCCTCCTCCTTCTTCAAGAATGAACCAAGTTTCAGACTTGTTTGTGCTATTCAAAAATGCACTGAATTGAAGCCCACACAATGCGAAAGTGCCATTACAAGTTTTACAACAATTATCACGACCATCCAATCTCAGGCCGTGTGCATGGGTACAAAGGAGACAATGAGAAATTTGAAGCCCAAGTTTTTCTGCTGTGCCTTGCAATTGCTATACCCATTATTATTAAACCCCATTTTTCCTATTTCTTCCACCTCCTCTTCTACTCATCCTCAGTCAGCTAACTAACTAATAACGAGAGAGATTCTATTAAACTGAACCTCTCGACAGCTGACAAGAAGACGGCTGCGATGGTGGTTCTCATATCTTTAAAATCTCCAAAGCGTTTCCACCATGGCAGAACAGAAAGGAGTTTGCAATATCTAAGTGTTGATGATGATGATGACTGTGATGAGGAACGCTGAAAGAGTTTCGATCTGCACTGCATTGCAATGTGTATATTTGTTGCAGAGGTGAAAATAAGATGTACAAAAAATCTCAAACCCTTTCAAATACGATCTCAGGAGGAGAGAACAAACATTGCATTATTTCATTTCGTGGGTTTAGCGAACCAAACTCAAACATCATCATTTCTTCAAGGTAACCAACAATATGTATGACGCTCTAAACGTGTGGTGTCACTGATGATGGCAGTGGTGCTTGTATGTACTTCAGATTAGTGCTTGAGTTAAAACTTGCAGTTAAAACTCGTATTTGTATTGCCTCTCATCTTATTCTCCATGAATGAATGAATGAGAGGGCTTGGACGATGAAATTGAGGAATGCAGCAGTAGTTTGCTCCTTCTTTGTTACCCTCTCTCTGCCATCGAAGAATGGGCCACTGCCTTCTGTTAGCCAGTACACCTACCTGTGTCCCTTGTAATACAACCCTCGTAATAATGGGCGATAAAAAATCTGTTCAACCTTAAAAACTGCCCGAAGAATGCTTTGAGATCTTCCCTGATATCCTTCAGATTGCTTTGTGAATCTTGCTTCAACTTGCTCCGTAAATACCTCTCGGAATGTATTGGCTAGAGAGAGTTTCTCTTGAATATGGTTCTTAAACGACCGAGTGGATTAGTCCTAGTGGATATTTTGAGATTCATATATTCTGGATGAATCTATGAGGCTATTATTATTATTATTATGAGACTATTATATATTATTGTACGATCTCATTGCACTCAAGAAGCATATGTGTAGGAGAAGACTATGCTAATAAATGATATATCTCGGTTATTAAGAACCTCCTCAGGGTTTCATTCAAGGAATAACATTACTAACGAACTATCAAATGACTTTTTCTATCTGAGAAATGCTCCCTGCTTTCTGGTGATTTAGCTGGCATTGATGTATGTAGTTGTACATCTAGTAAAGTAGGTATTTGGCTTGGACTAAATTCTGCCAGTTCATGGTCTACTGAGGAATGTAGAAAAGAGAAATGCTACCCTTAATAATATGAATGAGAAAGGGATTGGGTGTGTCCGTGAGGAATTTGAACGACCGTTAGAAAAAAATGTGACGATATTTGCCAATAAAGAGTATAATTTTCTTGAATGTAGTCATATAACATCATTTTGGACTATTACACTACTTAATGAATAAGATTGAATTAATTTCCTTTTATTATTTTATATGTACGGATGACATATGTCCTCAATACAACTTATGGTACATAAATCTGCATTCCAGTCTTCTTCACGCGGAGCTTTAATTACAATGAAGGCGTGATTAAAAACACCAGTTGATTGACGTTCTTTAGTCTCAACTTTAGCGTTTCAGGTTTCACTCAAAACATAAATCTTGCCGACAAACGCAATTGGCATGCATTGCATTATCCAGTTGCTCGACTTTGCCATAAAAACGAAAGTACACTTACTAGACTGCCACCACCGCTACGTGGTCACATATAATATTATTCATTTGGCTACTTTTGCATACTAACTGCTGCTGCACTACTACTCCTACGAATGCATTGTTGTCTTTGAACGCCGAGTGTGAACCGCTCACGTATTAGCACTTAACCATTTGGAATAGCCCTGGATGAGGTTTGATTTGCAAGTGTAATGAGTTTAGTAAATAATAATCCACTGCTCAACTCCTTCCTCATTCATACATATTACGTATTAGTGCGACTATATATTATATCATCTAGTGTCATTGCATCACGCTTATTTTTGCCAAAAACAAATCAATACTTTACCTGCCGTATGTATAATGCATGTGTGTCTAATGTATGCACAAATAATTTTGCTCAGGATTTTTCAAGATGAAATCATACATGTGTACAAAATTGAGCTCATCTTAAAGAGTTCACTAATCTTAGCAAACAAGAACAAATTCTAATAGCTGATAACTAAGTAATTGTAAAATGTAATTAAAAAAATCTTTTCAGTCTACTAAATGGAAAGATTATTATTTTTTGTTAATATTCCTATCAGAGTACCAAGTTAAAAATTGAGCCATGGTGGTGACGAAGCCGTCGTTTTAATTTTAATTTTCCTCGAACAATCAATTTATATACATACAACACAGAAAGGGTTGTTTATATTTTGGGATGTAAGCAAGTAGAGTGCGAGAGTAAATAGTTAATACATCCGAATACGATACCGAAGACGAGAACGTAAAAAAATAAGTTAACTGCACACACAACCACTTTCCTTGCCGACACATTATTAGTCATTGAATGCAAATGTAAATAGACATTTCCAACAGACTACACTGCAGAGAGAGGAAAAAGAGATGTGCATTTTTTGTAAACTCAGTTGGAGCATAAGAAACCCTTTGAAGTCAAAGTCTAAAGTGTCAAAGTTACTGCATATATATTATGACGACGACTAACCAAGTACTGTAACACACACACATACGTATAAATACATAGTAGGTAGTAGACGGTAAAAGTCAGAGAATAACGACGCGGCTAGAAGGTGAAGCCTATAAAAAGCCATAGTCAACAACATTGAATCGTTCAGTGTCGGTCGGCGATTAAAAAGGAAAATAATATTTAAGAAAAAGGGTTGACTTGATTCTCGAATTCTCAATCCTGTTTGCGGTGAACCAAGAAGTGAATAAAAATGGAGAATCGTAATATTCCTCTTCTTCTTCTTCTTTAAAGTAATAATGTTAAGCGGAGAGTGGGTCCGTGTAGGCAAGCAATAAGCAAACCAAGAGGCAGTGCATGAGCTCAGTAGTCGTATTTAGTATGAGCTAGTTAGTGCATTAGTAGTGGAAGACGTATGATATAAATGATGGGTATGTCGGCGAGGTAGAAAGAAGCCTCAAGGACTCCTTTGATCTTCTGCCGACATCAATTGACTACGTTGTTGGGGACGTCGCAAGCTAGAAAAACCAAGAAGAAGAACCACACCAACCAACCAAGCTTCCACTACAATATATAAAACGAACAACAACGGATACAAGATGATGATCCGTCCGACTAGAAGACCAACCAAAGCAAAGCTGAGATGAGAGTGAGACTCTTATTATAATAATATACTCGTCTGACTTTTTAAGTCTTTTATGTATTCCTAGTCCAACAGATCTTACCAACCGATCTTTTTGGCGAACATGATCCGATTCCTCACACATGCAACTTGGACATTAACCACTTTTTGGGGCTAAAGACTCATTTGTATTGAACATTTGAATTAACAGTACTATTAACAGTCCTTGTACATAACATAAATGCTCTATCGCTTTCAAAACTTATGCAGGCGTCGATTCATGTGAATTATTTAATAGAATTTTAAAGATTTGGTCATTGTATGCACAGAGCTTGTTATGATTGAGAAGCAATTCCACATACTCGTATGCATGTAGATCACCAATAACATTAACTGAAAATTGTTGCATAACATTATACAATACTTTAATGGTGACGGTCGACAGAGGAAATGCAAACGGAAGTAGACATGTGACAGATTATGTCAGACGGTGTCAATAAGTCAAACGTATTTATGCATGCACAACTTACCGGTCATTGTTTTCTTTGTTTTCCACCACTTTGCAAAATGCGTAGCCATCGTCAACAACAACACCAGCACCAGTCATTTATATATTTATATTGCAGTGCTTTGTGGACATCCATGTGCTTTATGTATTTGCAGTGATTTTTTATGACTCGCGCAAAACACAATAATTCAGTACAATAAAGCAATCAACACAGAGTATAGTTGCAATCTTGCAGTGATAAAAGGTTGGCTGGGGCCTTTGATTACGCCGACTAGGTCGGGTCGGTTGATAACGATACACACACCGAGTGATGTTGAATGATAAGCACGGAGTGGTTTTAATACATAAAGGATGAGATCCGCGAACGGTTCTATTTTCATTCACATCATCAAGTGTCAAGAACACAGGAACTGCTCTTGTAGTTTTTAAAACTTCATATAACCATCATCAGCATTAGTATCCCAGTCAAACGGTATATATGGTGTTAACTTTTTCACAATTTTTAGAATCACCGTAGAGCTACTCAAATATGCAATAATTACCCGCAGTGCATAGTAATGGCGACTATAAATTTTGACTTCAAGTTTCAAGAACCTTATTATTCATACGCTTTTAAGTATTTCTACTCCTTGGTCATTAAAGTTAATGAGATTGAATAATTAGTTTTATCACAGACTTAATCTGCTTATTAAACTGCACTAAGATAAATGCTCAATCAACTGTTTTATTCGCGAATGGTAGTCTGAGCTGAGTTTCATGAGTTAACTGGACGGACTGGTTCCATCTTTTTGAGGCCTATACGCGTACAGACAGTATCTTCAAAGGAGGAGATGAATTGC